CAGGGTTTCCGAGCAATGCTTGTCCTCTGTTAATCAATCAGGGTTTCCGAGCAATGCTTGTCCTCTGTTAATCAATCAGGGTTTCCTAGCAATGCTTGTTCTCTGTTTATCAATCAGGGTTTCCGAACAATGTTTGTCCTCTGTTAATCAATCAGCGTTTCCGAGCAATGCTTGTCCTCTGTTAATCAATCAGGGTTTCCGAGCAATGCTTGTTCTCTGTTAATCAATCAGGGTTTCCGAGCAATGCTTGTCCTCTGTTAGTCAATCAGGGTTTCCGAGCAATGCTTGTCCTCTGTTAATCAATCAGGGTTTCCGAGCAATGCTTGTCCTCTGTTAATCAATCAGGGTTTCCGAGCAATGCTTGTCCTCTGTTAATCAATCAGGGTTTCCGAGCAATGCTTGTTTCTGTTAATCAATCAGGGTTTCCGCTTGTCCTCTGTTAATCAATCAGGGTTTCCGAGCAATGCTTGTCCTCTGTTAATCAATCAGGGTTTCCGAGCAATGCTTGTTAAAATGCTTGTCTCTGTTAATCAATCAGGGTTTCCGAGCAATGCTTGTCCTCTGTTAATTAATCAGGGTTTCCGAGCAATGCTTGTCCTCTGTAAGTCAATCAGGGTTTCCGAGCAATGCTTGTCCTCTGTTAATCAATCAGGGTTTCCGAGCAATGCTTGTCCTCTGTTAATCAATCAGGGTTTCCGAGCAATGCTTGTCCTCTGTTAATCAATCAGGGTTTCCGAGCAATGCTTGTCCTCTGTTAATCAATCAGGGTTTCCGAGCAATGCTTGTCCTCTGTTAATCAATCAGGGTTTCCGAGCAATGCTTGTCCTCTGTTAATCAATCAGGGTTTCCGAGCAATGCTTGTCCTCTGTTAATCAATCAGGGTTTCCGAGCAATGCTTGTTCTCTGTTAATCAATCAGGGTTTCCGAGCAATGCTTGTCCTCTGTTAGTCAATCAGGGTTTCCGAGCAATGCTTGTCCTCTGTTAATCAATCAGGGTTTCCGAGCAATGCTTGTCCTCTGTTAATCAATCAGGGTTTCCGAGCAATGCTTGTCCTCTGTTAGTCAATCAGGGTTTCCGAGCAATGTTTGTCCTCTGTTAGTCAATCAGGGTTTCCGAGCAATGCTTGTCCTCTGTTAATCAATCAGGGTTTCCGAACAATGCTTGTCCTCTGTTAATCAATCAGGGTTTCCGAGCAATGCTTGTCCTCTGTTAATCAATCAGGGTTTCCGAGCAATGCTTGTCCTCTGTTAATCAATCAGGGTTTCCGAGCAATGCTTGTCCTCTGTATGTCAATCAGGATTTCCGAGCAATGCTTGTCCTCTGTTAATCAATCAGCGTTTCCTAGCAATGCTTGTCCTCTGTTAATCAATCAGGGTTTCCGAGCAATGGTTGTCCTCTGTTAGTCAATCAGGGTTTCCGAGCAATGCTTGTTCTCTGTTAGTCAATCAGGGTTTCCGAGCAATGCTTGTTCTCTGTAAGTCAATCAGGATTTCTGAGCAATGCTTGTTCTCTGTAAGTCAATCAGGGTTTCCGAGCAATGCTGGTCCTTTGTTAAAATGTTTGTCCTCTTTTAATCAATCAGGGTTTCCGAGCAATGCTTGTCCTCTGTTAATCCATTAGGGTTTCCGAGCAATGCTTGTCCTCTGTTAATCAATCAGGGTTTCCGAGCAATGCTTGTCCTCTGTTAATCAATCAGGGTTTCCGAGCAATGCTTGTCCTCTGTTAATCAATCAGGGTTTCCGAGCAATGCTTGTCCTCTGTTAAAATGCTTGTCCTCTTTTAATCAATCAGGGTTTCCGAGCAATGCTTGTCCTCTGTTAATCAATCAGGGTTTCCGAGCAATGCTTGTTCTCTGTAAGTCAATCAGGGTTTCCGAGCAATGCTGGTCCTTTGTTAAAATGCTTGTCCTCTTTTAATCAATCAGGGTTTCCGAGCAATGCTTGTCCTCTGTTAATCAATCAGGGTTTCCGAGCAATGCTTGTCCTCTGTTAATCAATCAGGGTTTCCGAGCAATGCTTGTTCTCTGTTAATCAATCAGGGTTTCCGAGCAATGCTTGTCCTCTGTTAAAATGCTTGTCCTCTTTTAATCAATCAGGGTTTCCGAGCAATGCTTGTCCTCTGTTAGTCAATCAGGGTTTCCGAGCAATGCTTGTCCTCTGTTAATCAATCAGGGTTTCCGAGCAATGCTTGTCCTCTGTATGTCAATCAGGATTTCCGAGCAATGCTTGTCCTCTTTTAATCAATCAGGGTTTCCGAGCAATGTTTGTTCTCTGTTAATCAATCAGGGTTTCCGAGCAATGCTTGTCCTCTGTTAATCAATCAGGGTTTCCGAGCAATGCTTGTCCTCTGTTAATCAATCAGGGTTTCCGAGCAATGCTTGTCCTCTGTTAATCAATCAGGGTTTCCGAGCAATCATAGTCCTCTGTTAATCAATCAGGGTTTCCGAGCAATGCTTGTCCTCTGTTAATCAATCAGGGTTTCCGAGCAATGCTTGTTCTCTGTAAGTCAATCAGGGTTTCCGAGCAATGCTGGTCCTTTGTTAAAATGCTTGTCCTCTTTTAATCAATCAGGGTTTCCGAGCAATGCTTGTCCTCTGTTAATCAATCAGGGTTTCCGAGCAATGCTTGTCCTCTGTTAATCAATCAGGGTTTCCGAGCAATGCTTGTCCTCTGTTAATCAATCAGGGTTTCCGAGCAATGCTTGTTCTTTGTTAAAATGCTTGTCCTCTTTTAATCAATCAGGTTTCCGAGCAATGCTTGTCCTCTGTTAATCAACCAGGGTTTCCGAGCAATGCTGGTCTTCTGTTAATCAATCAGGGTTTCCGAGCAATCATAGTCCTCTGTTTGTCAATCAGTAACAATTCATGTGATATCGATAAATCGTGATGGAGGTGAAGAAATCAGACTAGCAATGTGACCTTTTAAGTGAAACTTTTTAATTAGTTTGAAAAGTATCTCTCCGATAGAAAACGACGTTGATTATGAGCGATATTTTTCGAATATCAAAAACATTACACGACGATAGATACTTGGCCCTTTTCATTTTAATGAATGAAATAGGTACTAATATCATTTGTTTGCTGCAGATAGTTTATTGCATGTAAATGTTTTTGCTCCGTATAACCAAAGGAAAATCAATTTGAATCCCAACAAAACTATTGATTTCACTGTTACCAGAAAAAGCCGTAATCACCATCGTCTAGTCTTTGATAACCAAATTATAAAAGAGAAAGAAAATTAAACAGGTCTTTAATTCAATTCCAAAGGAATATGGAGCAAGTACATACAAGTTGTTTGTAAAACATCAGATGAAATTTTAAATATTTTAAGGATGCTCATATAGAAGGTTGACAAGAATGTATTATATACACTTATTTTTCATATGTAAGAGATATCCTAGAACACACAGATGTTGTTTGGAAAGAATGCACATTTGGCGAACAAAAATTATTAGAATCTGCCTAAACGGAAGTCATGAAACCTATAACCGGATGCGAAGTAGAACATGTCACCAGAAACTAATGAATCTGGTGTGAACCTCTGTCTATAAAACGTCATAAACATGACCTTATTTTAATGTATTAAGGTCTGAATCATGTGACTACAGAATATTTATATGATATCATTTAACCTAATTTTAATGATAATGCTTCACTACAGACTCTATCACAATGTAGATTAATTCAATGTTCCCCGTTCTAAAACTTATCTGTTTAGTTCAATTGTTTTACCCAGATGTAACGAAAACATGCAATTCTATGGATCCAGTCTTAACCTCATCTACGTCACTCTGAATTTTAAGTCTAAATTTAATAGTTTGAGCGAAACACGTACATTTATTAATAATTCATTTTCAAATGTAGCTCAGGAAAATTAAGTGTAATTCCCTATAAGTTAAAAACTAATGATAATGGCATAAATCAAGATAAAGCTGATCATATGGTCATCCAAAACAGAACAGTTGTACTATTGCCCCAATAGTTTTAACCAAGTGTATAGTGTACTGGTGTAAAGTGTACTAGTGTATAGTGTACTGGTGTATAGTGTACTGGTGTATAGTGTACTGGTGTATAGTGTACTGGTGTATAGTGTACTGGTGTATAGTGTACGGGTGTATAGTATACATGTGTACAGTGTACGGATGTATAGTTTGCGGGTGTATAGTGCACTGGTGTATAGTGTACGTATATAGTGTACGGTTGTATAGTGTACGGGTGTATATTATACGGGTGTATAGTGTACTTGTTTATAGTGTACGGGTGTATAGTTTGCCGGTGTATAGTGTACGGGTTTATAGTTTACTAGCGTATAGTATACGTGTGTATAGTGTACGGGTGTATAGTATACGGGTGTATAGTGTACTAGTGTATTGTGTATGGGTGTACAGTGTACTTGTTTATAGTACTGACCGTCAATTAAATATAAATACTTTGCTATAACATGATCACAGAAACATATATCTGGCATTAACATGTATCTGCTGGATTCTGCATCAATCTAGTAGAAATAAATGAAACAACAAAATATATGAAAAAAAATGTGTGCACGAACTTTTTTCATAAAAAACCAAACAACGGTAAACATATTGCCTCCATAAATATTATCTAGGGTGCCCTTTGTGAAGCGAATGGCATTGTGTTCACTTTAAAAGGAAATGTTTTCTGTGTCGCCCTGGAATGTCATTGTTAATTTTCTCATTATTATGTAAAGCGAGACCTCACGTCCTTCAGGTGTGGCGATCACCTGTAGTGTATTGATTGTAGCCACACAGGTAAGCTGGTTGAGACGGTCCCTGAGCGCCGCCATGTTTTACAGGTATTTGACTGGAACCGGTTGAATGAAATTCATTTACTTGAATAGTACAATGGCCGCTCCCTACTGAGGACCCGCTCGGACTTGTACGACGTGGACGTTTACGGGGGCTGTATATAGGTATCTGACAGGACAGGAAGTGGTACCTGAACGGACTAGTGTACATATATTTGTAGGTAAAGAACACGATGGGCCGCGGATCGCTATGTCTACTGTTTTTCGCCCTGTTTTTCATGTTGGTGTCATTGGGCCTGACACTAGCCAGTATCGTGACAGACTTTTGGTATACTGTGGACGCCACAGCGGCCACTAACAGAACCGTTCAGACTATTTTCTCCTATAACTTTGGCATGTGGAGGAAATGTTACACCTACAGCATTCCAGATAGTAAGTAGTATTACTATGATTTACTGGGCCCCTTGTGTGTTAGTATTATCTACTAGGCCCCTGTGTGTAAGTATTATCTACTAGGCCCCTGTGTGTCAGTATTATCTACTAGGCCCCTGTGTGTCAGTATTATCTACCAGGCCCCTGTGTGTCAGTATTTTCTACTGGGCCCCTGTATGTAAGTATTATCTGCTGGGCCCCTATATGTAAATAGTATTTACTGTGCCCCTATGTGTAAGTAGTATCTGCTGGACCCCTATATGTAAGTAGTATATGCCGGGCCCCTGTGTGTTTGTACTATCTACTGAGTGCCTTTTTGTGTACGTATTATCAAATGGACCTTTTTGAGGTATAATTAGTATGTACTTGTGCCTGTATATGTAAATATTACTTACTTGGCCCCTCTATATGTAATACATACTAAACCACGTGTGTGAGTCCATGTGTGTATAATTATATATGTACATATGTATAAATTTATATATTATAAGTTCCTGATAAAGTATGGTGTACTTGGGCCTTTGAAATATACTCGTACCAGTCATATCCGACCATACCGACCCCACCCATTGTGAACTAATAAACAAAGCACTACAATGCGGATAATTTTCATTTGGCCTAATCCGCCAGTATATATTACCTGTATGTTTGTATAGTTAAGTCTGTTTACAAGTATACAGGTAAGAGTATTTAAAATCCTCTACACCAGATTCAAGTAAATCAATTATGACGTTCCAATTTCACCTTGAACATCAGAAGTAAGCACAAAACCCACTGGAATTTCGCACTACTATTTTAAGACCTGGTGAAATGATACCTACGACCCCGCCCTTTGACACTTGTCCCGTTTCCATTCTATCGCCACTCCTCAACAGTAGCGATACCACCTGGCAACTTATTGTGTTCGATTCTCTACCAAATTCTAAACACCTCAATCAGAACGTCTACATTTCAAAATCTCCTTATCCGAGACATTTTTTTTTCTTATTTGTCCCGCTCAGAAGTCAGAAGAGGTTTCGTTTTAGACAGCCATGGGAAAGTATTTTCCAATACAATAATATGTCCTGATGTTTAATGGTATTAGAAATATAAGTTTATTACTATTCGCATGTAAGGTTCGGGTCATTATGACGTAGTTAAATGTGCCTTTCTTTCCCCAGCCCCGATGCAACTTTAAAGTTCAGTCAAACAATTTGAAATAAAATAAAGCGATAACATGGAACGATAAATTAACGCAGAGAAAATGACCCCGTATGTTTTTAATGTTTAGAAGTACGCCAAGAAAATTGGAAAAAGTGGTATAACAGGCCTGTATCTTTCACCTGTAACTAATCTAAATCGTGTAAATTGTGACGACGTATAGGAAAAAGAGCTTGTTGGGAGTGGACATGGAGCATTTTGTGGATCAAATTCTAAATAACCGTTCATCCAAGCTTGTCACTGACCAAATATCACGAATTGTGTGTGTTGATATAACAAATTTAAGGATACATGAGTCATATAGACATGCAGGTGAGCCAAGTCATTTTCATGCATATAAAAATATAATGAAGTAAATTCAGGAAGATGTTTAATATTACGTCATCCAATACCCTATTAAATTCTATCTACTAGAGACACTAGCTTTACTCCTTCCTTGTTTGATAACAACAAACCGGATGTTGTGGCAGGAATGAAATGTACCAATATTGGCACCCCTCCCCCACACGGTCCTCTCGTATCAGTCACATGTACAGTAATTATGATCTGTAGGTCCACACAAAGGCCAGGACGCCATGGTGTCCTCCAGTACTTATTTGTCTTTTACACCTTGTTATTCTGAGGTGATCTTTCATCGTGTCACTAAATAAATGGGTTTTTCCGTTTTTACATGTTAATCTGTGCAGGCAGAACTGTTTCTGCCTGATAATTTTCGGCGACGGGTTCTCTAGCTAAGCTCTAGGTCACCTTGTAGACTTTCCTTCTATTCAGTAAAGACCCAGTACAATGGATAGTCAATACAGCCATTTAACTTCTCTAAATTAAGTCATTATTAATTGACTAAGTGTAGATATTTAAACCACAACATAATTAACCAATGTTGCCTGTGTACATATTTAGACCTCTAAATAATCAGCAAATATTGCCAGTGTCGATCTTTAATAGCCAACATTGTCAGTGTCGATCTTTAATGCCAACATTGTCAGTGTCGATCTTTAATAGCCAACATTGTCAGTGTCGATCTTTAATCGCCAACATTGCCAGTGTCGATCTTTAATAGCCAACATTGACAGTGTCGATCTTTAATAGTCAACATTGTCAGTGTCGATCTTTAATAGCCAACATTGTCGGTGTCGATCTATAATAGCCAACATTGACAGTGTCGATCTTTAATGCCAACATTGTCAGTGTCGATCTTTAATAGCCAATATTGTCAGTGTCGATCTTTAATAGCCAACATTGACAGTGTCGTGTGTTTGATTCTGTCAGTGGCCGGTTTTTAACATGATTTGTATTAGCAGGCTATTAAGCATACGTTCTCTGTGATATGTCGGGTTGTAAGCTCACTGTCTGGTGATGAATGACCGGAAGAAAACTTGCACAACAAGAATGTATGTAAAATAGCCACAGGCTAAGAAAGCCGTGTGTACTTCAGACTTTTAAACTTTCTGGCGTACAAAGCATGTTTGTAACATGTATCAGATACATGTTATTATTTGTTGCACTAGGTTTAACGTCGTCGCACCAGCCTGAATCATATAAGGACAGATATCAGATAACTATGAAACGAAGGACTACAAACAAAAGTTATATAACCCAAGTGTTCGGATGGTTATAGAAATAGAGAATGGTACCCAGTGTCTACAATGTCTTGATAGAGAATGGTACCCAGTGTCTACAATGTATTGATAGAGAATGGCACCCAGTGTCTACAATGTCTCGATAGAGAATTGTACCCAGTGTCTACAATGTCTCGATAGAGAATGGTACCCGGTGTCTACAATGTCTCGATAGAAAATGGTACCCAGTGTCTACAATGTCTCGATAGAGAATTGTACCCAGTGTCTACAATGTCTTGATAGAGAATGGTACCCAGTGTCTACAATGTATTGATAGAGAATGGTACCCAGTGTCTACAATGTCTTGATAGACAATGGTACCCAGTGTCTACAATGTATTGATAGACAATGGTACCCAGTGTCTACAATGTCTTGATAGAGAATGGTACCCAGTGTCTACAATGTCTTGACAGAGAATTGTACCCAGTGTCTACAATGTCTTGACAGAGAATTGTACCCAGTGTCTACAATGTCTCGATAGAGAATGGTACCCGGTGTCTACAATGTCTCGATAGAAAATGGTACCCAGTGTCTACAATGTCTTGACATCTTTTGTAGGTGTACCGGTGGACCGCCGTACCGGTATGTGTGGTTATACCTATCAAGATCTGATTCCTGTTAGAGAAGACACCCGAACCTTCGAGGAGAAACGTTACTTACGTAAGTATACCCACCTATGTGATCCGTGTCTTGCTGTAGTGTTTGATTCGATAAGTTATTATTATTAGTGATTTGCTGACGTCATACCTTCGGACAGCCCCACCTCTCGAAAATATGGTGTTGAGACTTTCCGATAGTGCAGAGGCGACATTGAAATATCATTGTACTTTCGTGTGGAGGATTGAATGAATGAGAAATCGTGGCCTCAGATCGGTTGAAAGCTAAAGCAAACTATGGTAACATGAATTCAGTTCATCTGATTGGTTGATTGGAAAACTAAATTGTCATTCTATGAAGTTGATGATACTTCGAAACATGTGGGCGCCGTCGCTGATAAGCCGGACTTCTTCTCTGCCCCGAATAATTTTCTTCATACAAAATCTAAGGTTCATATTACAAAACAAATGGTTGGTTTCGAACATCACAAAACTGACATGTCGTGCGCAAGGTATATATCCAATGTTACTGGTGTTTTAAGGATTACGAGATACATTCAAGTTGGTCAATCGTAACGTTACTATACAGTTCAACTTTATCGTTGATATAGGGATTTTATTCTAAGATCACGGATCTGTAGTGTGAACCTATCCTGATGGAATCAGCCTCACGATCAACATGTTCTGTCATTTTATTCTATTTCATAAGAAAATACCAATATTTCATTCACTGACCTTCGTAGACTAGTTGTGAACCCAATACACTGTAACAGAACCAACCAGGCCTAGGCCAATATTTTTACTGTTACCCGTCTGCTGAAAGGCGTATAAGCGAAAGTTAAGCACGTTAGATGAATAAAATGCGTCTTTTTTCGTGCAGATTTAGAGAGGTCATGGCTAGGATGTATGATGGCCTGTGCTGCTGTGCAGGTGTTCGGCGTCCTAACCTTGATTTGTGGACTCTGGCCTGCCGATTGTAAAAGCTTGAAGAAGTCCAGTCTTTATCTGGTATCCGCCATCTTGTGTCTGATTGCAGGTAAGCAGTACCTTTAGGACTATGTCGGTGATTGGTTTAGCTCCTATAAATTACAGATTATCACAACATAGGACGAGTGACAAGTCCATTTTTCGTTCACTTATGTTCCGATTTCGCTCCCGCTATCTGATTTGTAGTTTGTTGGAATGTTTTATTTGTGATTATCAGAATATTTAATACAATATTGTGGTTTTGTTGTACACAGATACATATTGAATGTTGTTATTTTTGTAGGTATGTGTGGGATAGCAAGCGGAATCTGTTTTATTGCCTTGCGGGACATTGACATTTTCACGCATGTTATTTATCCAAGTCACGTGACTTACTCTTACGGTTGGTCATTTGCATTGGGCTGGGGAGGAACCGGGCTCTGTATTCTGGAAGGATTTATCTTCTTGTGCCTACTGAGGAGTGACTATATTAACATCAACGAGACCCGGAAGTATAATTCTTTCGGCTGAGAGAGGGACATAACTGCTTCATGATTTTAATACTCAGAAACAAGATATATGCTTGACTGCACTAGAAGTTCTATTCTATCTGCCGTGTACAATATAAAAAGACATGTATCATTGCCAACTCTATTACTGTCATCACTGACACCAAAAAATTTGTGCTGATAAATAGAAAGTCTCTTTGATTCTCTAAACATTTAAATAACTTATACCTATTTGATCTATTCGTCAGGTATCTCGAACCTGTCTCGGTTTACATCAGACTGGTCTTTCCAGTATGTACCTAGGACCTGTCTCGCTTTACTTCCGGTAGCCCGTTTTCTGTTTTCTGAACCTGCCGAGATATACTTCCGGTGAAATCAGTCTGTTTACCTTGTTGGAACTTTTCTAGGTGTTTTCTGACCAGTCTCGATTTAAACACCCGGTTGATTTTTCCTTTTATATATTGGACCTGTCTCAGTTTAAAATCAGTTGACTTTTCGACGTGCATCCTTGGCCTGTCTCCGACCACAAAGCCTGGCTCTTAAGGTATATCTATGCGAGAGGGAGGTTTGTCGTCATTTCGTCCTATTGTCTCAATATCTGCCGAAAGGATGTCCATCTTTATTTGTGTTCCAAACTCAGATATATATGATAGCTTTCATCTAGTGACAGTTGCTTTCTTCACTAACTTGGACCGGAACTGGCCACGTCATGCTTCAGCGGCCTTTAGCGTTCTGGTCTGTTGACAGTATTTTCTTAGCGTTCTGGTCTGTTGACAATATTTTCAACCGTTCTGATCTGTTGACAATATTTTCTAAAATACTGGTCTGTTGACAGTATTTGCTTGGCGTCCTGGTCTGTTGACCGTGCTTTCTAACGTTTCATTGCGACGAAGTTTCTTTCACATTTTGTGAGTAAATACTGACGTGGAAATGACAATAAATGAAAATACTTTATTGGTATCCCAGAAGAAACCCCAAAACGCAGTGCTAAATACAGAAACGTCCTTGTATGATGCTATATATACTCAAACTGATTTTTGTCCGTTCTTGCCTTCCCCTGTCCCAACTAAAAGCCTGGTTGTGTTTAGCACTGTCCACTTCTTCATTATGTTGCACTCTACTGTAAAATCTCTCTCATAACTTAAATCTCTTCTGAATTTATGCATGCTCAACGACATTTTATCTCTATGCTGAAAAGTCAGAATTATCTGTGTCGTATTTTTGTTCAGTTTAGAAAATATATCAGTTAACGAATGTGTCCAACATGGATTTTTGTAGATATTTGTATACTTACGAGTGAGAAATGTTATATTTATAAATCAGCATTTTTTCCATGATGTACAATGAGTATTATTAAGATCAGTATGTAATGAAGTATACAGTGGGGATGTCCTGTGTTTTAATTTGAAAGCTGCTGTGAGCTATTTTGATATTAGCTTTAAGTAAATAAATATACACGTACATTACCTGTAAAGGTATTTTCAGCACAGGTTAGGATGTCATGTGTTTTTTTAAGTCAGAAAAGGGTCTACTTATATTCTTATATAAAATTTTAGGCTTCAGTTCACGATATAAACATTGTGGAAATTCTATGTAGATCTAGCTAGATCTATTTACATTTCGAACATACGCTCCATAATGATTGGTCCACAACAGATTTGCTTTTTTCATTCGCCGAACAGTTTGAAATGTTAACTTATACATTAGATTTTTGTTTGAATCGATCAAAAAAGCAGCGGAATTCCAATCCTTATAGAAATTACAGATGGCATTGTAAGTTCTACATTCCCCAATGTGTTGTATTTAGACACTGAGATATATTGGCAGGGGGCATTGCCACAAATTTGAGCTGTTTAAACTAACATCGAGAAAGATATTTTGATACTAATATTATTTTTAAAAGTTATTCGAAAGAGTTCTGTAAAAACATAAAACAACCAGAAATTTGCCCGGCTGACGTGCCAACTTGTGTAGAAAATCCCTTTAACCAGCTGACGTGCCAACTTGTGCAGAATATCCCTTTAACCAGCTGACGTGCCAACTTGTGCAGAATATCCCTTTAACCAGCTGACGTGCCAACTTGTGCAGAATATCCCTTTACCCAGCTGACGTGCCAACTTGTGCAGAATATCACTTTAACCAGCTGACATGCCAACTTGTGCAGAATATCCCTTTAACCAGCTGAAATGCAGGTAATAAAATGGCCAGCATTTTTCAATGTTAGTATTGTGGTCGTTTATTTTATTATTTTTACATAGTTAAGAATATGTATCTTATGTATTTGCCAATAATCGAAATAAATGTGAAGTATTTACAGTTCTGTGTTGTTTCATACGGTATAAGGGAGATAACTCACACAAGCGAGACCGGGATCTTGTCCGTTTAACTACTGTTGAGGCGGTATAATAATGTCTCCTTTGCGTACAATTTTGTTTATTAATTATAATATCGAACATTTAGTTCATTTTACATTGTAGATATTGATAAGTAAGCAATCTGGAAAAATGTATATCTGACTTGTTCAGTTACGATTTGATGACAGTGTTGAAACAAATACTATAATTATTACGATATAGCAAGATACCACATACTTTAAAAAACCTAATTGTTCCATCTTCCAACTGATAGCCAAAAGGTGTTTATGTACATGCCACAGAAATAGTTTAAAGGCTGTATGAGTAATTATACAGCAGACCGTTTAAGATGACGCGTTTTTAACGACAAGCTCCTTCATAAGAACACAAAAAGGAAGAAGACGGTCGTAAATCGAGATTAAAGCCGTACATTTTTTCATTGGTATTATGTAGAAGTTGAGAATAAAGGTTTTCTTACTAGCCTTGGCTACTACGAATTACCCTTTAGTTGAATGATAGTGTGTCCGGCTAGAGGCCGGAAGGTCACTAGTTCGAACCCCACCAAGGGCAGGATGTATTTGGTGCCGTACCCAAGGCTCGACGTGATAATCGACCATCTCTACCAAATGCACCAAAGAAGCATACTGTGTCATCCGTTTACAACCAATGTTCGGGCGAGCAGTGAAAACCAACCCTTTGAGGGACCAAACATAACACCTTAACCACTTAATTCTATCGACATCACTCGTACCTTCCGCCATCATTGAAAACATTTGTAAACTAGATTTCAGCTCAATTTGATTTGCAACAAATCAGAAGGCCTTGATAGCTCAATCGGGAAGGCATTGTACCCTACAACCTTATGTCCGAGATGGATTTTATTTTCGGGATCAATAGGGACTCGGAGGTGAACATATTGTTGATATTAGTCATTAAAATTTCTTATATGTTGCTTATACTGGAAGTGGTTCCTGTACTAGAACAATAAATAAGAGTTTTATATTTTAAGGACTTCAATTTTTCTTGTTGGGAGGGGGTGTTTTTTTGTTTTTGTTTGTGTGTGTGTGTTTTTATGGGTGTGAAATATGGACTTTGTTAAATGTGGTGTTGCTGATTGGTAATTAAGAATAGTTCACTTTCCTTTATAGTGTAGAACTAGGGACATGTTCTAAGGTATTATCTATTGTATTATAAACTTTCTAATTAAAGTATTAGTTTCCATTGATAAAAATCACCAAACGTACACTGGAAAATATTGGTTATACATAGTTACAGTAAATGTTCACCGTGTATGGGTATGTGATCTTGTTAAAATTTCTTTGGAGGACCAATCTATGTCAAAGTGGAACAAATATAAAATATCTCCCCAAAGGCAGTATTAGTATACTATCGTATTCTAAAGGTAGAGTTATATTCTGAAAAACATCCTTGTATCTTAAAATGTTAGAAACATAATACCGTTTTTAAATTCAGGATTTACAATCATAGAATACCAATCGAAATTGGCAAATGAGAAGATATGGTGTCAAAAGGATATATCCCTTGTACATATAGAACTGATAAAATTGGCGATATATTTCATCACATTTTAAAGTGCCCAGAATTCCATGAGTGAAGATATTTGATATTCATTAAAAATCTAATCCCCAGTATGTGCTTCAAAGCAAGTATACTATGCTCCAAATATCTTAAATAGTGAAGTTCACAAAATCGTTAAAAAGTGAATGTAAATTTCCATTAAAATTCCTTCCTTTTAAGAAACATCACCAATTCAGCAGGCTTTGTTGTACCTGATCAACACTAATTAAATAACAAACAAGTTGCTGAAGGTATTTACTAAATATTTCACATTTTTATTGAATCAGCGGTATATACTTGAATAACGACATCGATCGTCCTACCGTGTGTAATAGAGGATGTTGGAATGTCCGTCCTACCGTATGTAATAGATAATGTTGAAATGTCCGTCCTACCGTGTGTAATAGAGGATGTTGGAATGTCCGTCCTACCGTATGTAATAGAGAATGTTGGAATGTCCGTCCTACCGTGTGTAATAGAGGATGTTGGAATGCCCGTCCTACCGTATGTAATAGAGGATGTTGGAATGTCCGTCCTACCGTGTGTAATAGAGGATGTTGGAATGTCCGTCCTACCTTGTGTAATAGAAATGTTGGAATGTCCGTCCTACCGTATGTAATAGAGAATGTTGGAATGTCCGTCCTACCATTTGTTATAGAGAATGTTGGAATGTCCGCCCTACCGTTTGTAATAGAGAATGTTGGAATGGCCGTCCCCACACTGGACCTTTCCGTCACACAATGACACCCGAAGTAGGTTTGTGTGTGAGGTGTGTCCCCTCGCGTACAGGTAGATCTCCAGCACGTGCTGATGGCCGTTGTTGAGTGTGGTATATACCGCCACTGTTTGACCTTTAATGAGCGCTGCCACGTCATCTTGAGACAAGAATACGTCGTGCTTATGAAGTCCGGCTTGAGACACGGCTGAAGACGAAGATGTCTGGTAATGCTCCTCGTGGCGTGTGGGGTTGGCGATACTTTGTAAAGCGGTTGGTTTTTCTCGGAAATACTTGGCATTGGTAGCCATGTTCATTACAAGATCTTTAAGCGCATCCAACTCTTTGTAGATCACATTACCCTCATAATGTGTCGGTACCACTGGATACCGAAGACGCACGGTCCCGACTGCAGGAATATCCCTCAGAACAGTCTCAGTGCCAGACGGTACCACGGAATGAGTATGGCCAGTTCTATCCATAACATAACGCCTCCCGCTCGCATGACTGAAGAATTCGGCAGGAGTTTGAAAGAAGTTGCCCATGTTTGTACCATTCAATGCTTTCTCTGGCGTGTGACCATCGCGTCCATTTGCTGTAATAGTGTTTGCCGGGTTCTTGTGTACGTCCCCGGCGATGTACGCCAAGTTGTACGGATTCCAAGTCAAGAGTGGCGTCAGCCAAATGATTTCTAACGGGATAGCATAAGAATATCGGGCTGTGTCGGCAGTGCACACATTTTTGTGTGTGGTCCTGTCCCGATGGCAGGACCTATAAGAAAGAGCCGCGACATTATGTTGTGTATTGGCAGCTACCCACAAAGTTCGGTCCGCGTAACCACGATTGATAACAGTGGTACCCATGGCTCCCTTCTGCAGCACGCGGTACCAGTGATGGTATTTTCCTATGTTGAGCTTTGTGTTATTTCGGGGGAAATGTGCGTTGTATGTGGTCAGACCAAACTCACCACCCGTTATATTGACTGGATAGTTATCTTTGCCAGGAATCTCCTCCATGATGGCATCTAATGTGGAATAGTGAGAGAAGGTTGGAAGGCCTTCCCCGTGGCCAAGATCTGCCAAGAACCCACGAGGTCTTCTACCAAACTCTATTAAGTCAAATCGGGCGGATTTCGACTTCGCAAAATCATACAAACTTTTTTTGAACGATAATCTAGTGGCCAGGTCATCTTTGATGTAGAAGGATGCTAGTTTTAATTCCTGTTGGATTGGATGGCATACGATACGTGCATTCCAATGTGCATACAGGGCTGTGCCATTGGTAACGGTCATGATCTTGGTCGGGTTAAAAGTCTGGCCAGTTTCCAGTCCATCGGCGGATAAAAATTCGATACTTAGCGCTTCGCTCATCCACCGCCTCTGATCATGGGCTGCTCCGTCTAACCACGTTCCCTCTAAATAACATAACACGGGTTTGAAATAATCGGCATAGTCGCTGCGTATCTTGGTATCCTGGTATTTAAATGCCCTGAAGTACTGTTGCATCTCAGCAATCTGGTCGCTAACGTTATGTTTGGCGAGAACGGAAGGAGGCACCCTTGGGTAGGGAATGGGTTCTGTTTTGTGCCAGTCATGACTATTTTTACTCGGCATAACCAATTTGTATCTCTGGGATGGTATTTTGAACTCTACACCATTTAAGACGAATATGTTTGTATTGATGATATGCTGGTCCCGATTATAAGGCAAATCGTAGAAAACCGCTGGAAAACGAGTCACATCATCGTTGAGGTAGGGTCGCGTGCCTTTGTGTCGGAGCATCGACTGCTTGATACCCGAGTCTCCATCCGATCGGATACGTTCCTCCACCCCTAACTGTTGCATTACCAGCTGGCGAGCCAGCCCCTCTAATGTCTGACGTGCGCCACCTAGTTGCACGTCCATCGGGTCCATTGTAGTGGTGGGTGTGGTCGGTCGATGGTTCACGTGGTGAACAGGTTTATGTGTCGGCTTCGGAGTTACATGATGGGTGTTGGCTACTGTAACCCCGTTGCTATGGTGGGTGTTGGTTACTGTCGCCCCGTTGCTATGGTGTAACAGACATGATAACGTCAGAGCAATCACGATCTGTAATAAAGAGAAAGTAAGTACAGATTAACCTAAGTATATGTAATTGGGGTTAACAAGACATCTGTTCTATTGGTATGTCGGAGTACTGGCATGCACAGGGTAGCTTCATCATTTTTTGGTTCCAATAAAACAGAGATTGTTAGTTATTTCTAACAAGACTGTGAGACAATATTCTCCGCCTCGTCAAAGTAATTGGTGTATGAACATATTATTATCATGTCTGCCTTCAGCCTTACTTAAGTAAACTTTTCCTGTAAAGTATAAAAAGCAAATGCTAAAATATGATATCTTCACACAGTCTCAAAATGAAGATTTTGTCCTTTCTGTAACAAGTGATGTACTCGTAGAAGACGGAACCACTTCATTCTAAGAGCCCCTTGTTCAGTGGACTAAGAAATTAATATCAAATCATATCATCGAGTCTACAAATGAATCAAATTGTTATCAGTCTGTAACAACATAGAATTAATTACAATGGTTCATATATCATGCTTGTTTTACGATCTAATTTGTTGGTTTCTAACTAGTATGATTTGCAAACTAAGAATACATATGAACGCATATATTTAAATTATAAATTTATGAGATGAGTATATCTTACTGCCTGTATTGATTTTGATTTTAATGTACATTAATATAACATTTTCATTTGTATCGATGACTTGTATATGTTCAAGATGAAATTAAGAATATAAAAAACAGGTCTATGTGTCGACCTTGGATATTATGGATATTGGCTACAGTGACCTAGTTGGTTTGGTGTACCAGACATGCTACCATGATCTGTGATAAAGAGAAATAACAGGTTAGTGTATATATGTGACCGAGGTTTGTGAACGGCTGACGAGTTCTTGCACAAAAATCCAGATAATGGGGAGAGACCATTGAATATCGAATCAAAGGCTATATTTGAACACCATAGGACGGGAATGCAGGAATTTTGCTATCCAGAAATGGAAAATTCACAATAGGGAAATTGAAATCATCACGTCATACAACCTGGAGAAAGTTTTCCATGTTGGTCGAGATAAGAGGCTGATGTAGAACAGTCTGTCGTGTCCTGAATTTCCAGCCCTGGAAATATACCTTAACAGGTTAACAGAACGGCACGTTACACAACCGATAAGTGGACAAGCCGTCAAAGACAGACAAAACAGACTGTCTATCTAATACAATGACCGTACCATCAAAGGTAGACAAAGGTGTCAAAAGACTGGACATATTCCGTCAAAGACAGACAGTTCACATAGTCTGACCGATGATGCGAACACTTCCTCACTACAGCATACGCAATACATTTCATAGTACTTATTGAATCATAGGGTGATTGTGCTGGACCGGTCTCGGTACAGTGTTTACATACACAGGCACAGATGGGGATCCGAGGTACTCAGTACTACAGTCCCTCCACGTGGCGTGTTTCTCGGGAAACTGAGAAATGATCTGGTCTGTGCCGTCGTGGTTGTGTTCGTGGGCGAAACACATTGCCTCAATGGCTCTGGATGGTTTGCGACGGACCACCCGTGTGTTTTCAGTGAGGTAATGCTATCAGCTACTACAAAGAGACCTCACCTCAAATTGACCTTGATTGTTCACGGAGAAATACACCCAGCAATAAATCAATCCGACACCCGTCAATATGATCTAAACACACCAAACAAAATATACCCAACCCAATTACTGTGACTTGTTGGTTTGTGTGTACGTTCATGTAATTATATAGATCGAATGCATTTTTGACAGTGAAATTGAAATAACATATATCTGTTCATTTTGTAGTATTTCGTTACAAGGATCACAGCATGTATCTATTTATTCAAAATTTGACTATTATTCAAAGCTCCGTTCTCCAAGGTACACCATGCATAGTGGCATTTCTTCACTGTATATAACTACACAAAAGTTAACTTGTAGTGTCATCATAAATCTAACAAGAGTTATAATGTTTAACTTGTAAAATATGTAGAGTTTCTAGAGTAAAGAGATACTTACCATGCTGCCGTGTGGTGAAGGTCGTGATGTCGCTCTTGACAATGATGATAGTTATGTAACTGTCCCATATTATATATAATACACCAGTATCTGTTTCCGACCGACAGGTGATGACCACTGTCGCCATCAATAGGGTGACATTTGACCTATATTCTATCTTCATCAGAATTCTGTCAGGGCTCTCGTTTCTTTAGTCTCGCATTATCTAGTAACAGTGTCCTTGTGAGGACATTTTCTACTTTATTTACACACACCTGTTTCGTTTATGATAGAAATAATTTTTATAATAAAGAGGGTATCGTATTTCAGTCGACCTAAGATATCATGAAACATTATCAGGCAGTATTTTTGCGGTGCCATCATTATTGTATGTCTTTGATTGTAACAGTGAAGTAAACAGAGCCACACAATTTGGTAAACAGAGAATGATAATAGTAAACAATTAATATTCCTATATTCTATTTAGTAATTTTAAACATTCATCTATTTAATATTCTCTATCTTACACATTCATCTGTATAATAGTTCTATATTTTATTTAATGGACAAAATTTTATAAAAATATGAAAAGATGTTTATACCAGTCAGATAATTTAAATGGAATAAATTGTTTAAACATTTATAACTTCTATTTTTGTTTAGCCTATCAAGGGAAAACCTAGCTCTGACCGGACAATTGTCCTATCTCATTTTTCATCTGCTTTCTACTTCCGTTCCTTCCTGTCGTTTACTTTTCCCACGTATTGGTAAAGCATGGTTACATTTGATAGAGAATATTGCATTATCAATGATGTTTCGTTTAGTTTAATTTGGTATTTAGTTATCAAAGTGATAATATCACTAATTGGTCCCTATTTTCGCTCTAGTTTTTGGGACTGATAAGAACTGGCTCCCTGGTGAACATGTTGAATTCGAACATTGAACGTTGGTAGAGGCAGTTTTGTAAGGCGGCCAAATAGATTTTGGCTGAAAGGTTCGTTAACGCTATTCGAACGAGGTACTGGATGGATATATATTGCAAATTTTATATGAACATTCCCCCGGTTGTGCCATTTTGCTTTAAAGGTTGGTCAGAAAAACAAACACAAAACAGCTGGCACGCGACAGTCTTCGATTTTGGCAATGAAAATTTGTCTAGTTGTTTCATTTTAATGTGGAACTGTCCAGAGAAACAAATTGACTGAGAAGTAGCCACTTTTGATTTTCTCAAATTTCATTTATAGCTTTTCATTGGCCCCTATCTGTGCCCTACAAACGGCTGACAAGCGGTCATTTTGTATTTTACAGTCATTATCGTCGCTAATTCTTGAATGGAATTTTCCGAACTCCATACCTGAATAAAAGTTCCATCTTTTAAAAAATAAAAAAAGATCAAACAATGGTGGACGCCAAGATCCCTTAAGATATCTTGTTATGAGATGAAACGCACTATTTTAGGGAGCTTGATGAACTTTATTCCATTTTAATTTTCAAAAGGATTGTGTTTAATTCATAGGTTATGTTTGTGTCCCCATCACTTATATCTCGATGTAGAGAACCCGATGTTCAATAGCTACGATACGGCTGTCCTACTCGGGACACAGTGAGATTATCACACACAGCTGCCTTCAGCGTATCGGATGAGAGACAAGCAGATACTTACTATCAGACAGGTGAACTTCTCGAGGTATTTAAACAGGTACGTCAGACCCTCGGCGGTACTTCACATCTTCTCTGGCTGCAGAAATGGCATTTAAGGTAAGCACGGCTAGCTGTGATGTGTGCTTATATCATTTAATTAGATTTCGCTGTTTCAAATACTTGCTGATAAACATTGTTTTTCAACCACTTTTTCTTGTCTGAAATTTCAGACAGGACTGCCTTCCATTGGGCTATCGAACTTAAACCACCTTTGTTGATTCCCTTGTGTTTTGTTTTAGTACAAAGATCACAGATCTATATAATTGTAACAAAATATCGGTACTCTATTGCTTGTCGTTACCAGACTATCAGTGATCTGTAAATAGAATGATGGTCTCTGCGCAATAAACTGAGCGTCTTATCCCAATCCAACAAAATCTTCTACTTCAGCTTACTTACACAAAGCGCTTCATGTGTGTAACATTTACAATCAAAGAGAAAATTCATTGTTGCTACAAATAAAAGTTTGGTTCCACACAACAAAACTATTTTTCAAGTGTTGATAAGCCACTACTAGGTTACCGAACATGCTTGCTATGAAATGCGACTTATTACTTTTGAATTAAATATGGACATCGTAAACTGCTAGATTTAAACTAAATTTTTTAAATCAAGTGTTTTCAAGTCTGTTACTTCAAAAACCAGGATTCGGAAATATTTCTTGGAAAATGTCGAGTCTGGTGTTATCGAAATGTTTTATGAATTCAGAAGGTATAGTTTCATTTTTGGGTGAAGTACGTGTAGATCTTGTCTGTGTTTAAATCTTATCCTTATTTTAACAATATCGATGTTGATTTAGTTTTTTTTTTTTTTTCTTTTTTTTTCAATATTATGAGTTCCCTGTATGTTTGCTTAAAACACTAATAAAGAAGCCAACATGATACGCAATCATGTATTTGTGTATTGTACCTGATGTGTATTTTGTAGATATTGCTTTATTTCTTTGTATCCATTGTAGATGCTGTTGGTTGTAGTACTAACGGTCTCGGTGCTGACAGCCAACGCAAATCGAAACCACGATCTGGGCGTGTTAAAGGGCACAGTGCAGACTCTCGCGCGTCAACTCATGCTGCAACAGCTCTTCGTGGAGGAACGAATAAGATCAGATGGAGATTCCGGTGTCAAACAAATCCGAATCAACAACAAGGGCACCAGGAGCTACTTTTCGGACACCATAACTCAGCGATCTGCCCTCGCTACCCATGACCACTCGAACTATGACCGTACTGTGGGTATGGGCGAACTTATCGTCGTACTCAATGGAGTAGAGTTCCGTACGCGACACAACGACTACAAGCTACGTATGCCCAGTAAACACTCAAAGACATACAATGCTATGGAAGATCTGCCTTTCCCAGGTGTGCCACCATCTGTTAGAAACAAACAAACTGTGGCGGATCAGATCAAGGAGATGCGCGAATATTTCCGGGCGTTCAAGGAACAGAACACGCATATCCGTCAAGACTATAAGAATTATTTCAAGCCCGCCATGTGCTACCTAGAGGGAGGCTGGACCACAAACACGGAAACATTAGAGGAACCCTTCCACAGTGACCGCCACTTCTTGGATGCGGCTGGTTGGGCCGACCTTCACAAGAAGATCCGGTTTACGTCTTACACCGGAAGTAAGAGTATGCTGGAGAACTATAGCTTCTTACCCACCACCCTTGTGGATGTCAAAAACGGAACACCCCAGTACTCTCAATGGAACTACCGTATCCTTTGCAATCCTATCAAAACACAGCTCGGGCTCGGAGATTTTGCTCTTGTTGATGACCTGGGTCCCCGTCTGGCCAACAGAAAGACTTTAGATCAGATGTCACTGAGCAGAGCGGCCAGGTTTACACTGAATCCAACACACGGCACTCACCACTTCAACAGCACTCTCGGACACGGCAAGCTGGACATTAGGCTTTACGGACAGGGCATCATAGATAACATCATGCAGGAAATTCCAGGGAAAGACAACTATCTGGCAAATCTAAATGACAATGCATATCTTAAAACGGAATACGACATGAAGTACGCCAACAATACACGTCTTAACACTGGGTACTATCACCGCTGGTTCAAGTATCAAACACCGGGCAATTCAAGAACATACACCGCATATCGGGGTTACGCCGATCAAAACCTGTGGACCGCTCAGACTACACAACCCCAAATAACACCCCGAACCATCAAGTACTGTTACACAGACCGACACACCCATAAACGCACATGTACTAACCAGGTCTCGAGGTACACCTACGCCATCCCATTGGAAATAATTTGGCTAACACCACTGTATAGATGGAATCCATATGACCTCACATTCCACCACGGACCTTCCACAGTCTCGCCAGCAAATTCGGTCGACGCAAATGGTCGAGATGGTGGTATGAGCACGTCTAAAGCTTTCAATGGTACCCGTAATGACGTCTTTTATTTCACTCCGAACGATTTCTTCAAGAGCGGCTCCGATCCAACCAGAGAGGCAGTAGGCGTCCTGGATAAACACGGCCTTGTAAGAAGTGTACGGTCCTCGGGCACACGTACTTTCCTTCCAGATATCCAAGGCGTTGGCAAAGTGAGATTAAGATATCCCATCGCTCCAGCGCACTACGAGGGAAATGCCGTCTACAAAGAGATAGACGCTCTCAAAGAGATGGTTATGAACATGCAGAAGTACGTTAAGTATTTTGAGGTGCCACCAGCAGTTGGACAACACACGGCCAACAATCAGTCTCTCGTGATCGCTGCTGACGATGAGCACTTCCAGACGTCCAACGCCACGTGGCACACCCCAGGACCTCACGTACATGACATATATCTAACCCACAACCAGTACCGTGACGTAACTCACGCCAAGAATGTATCAGTATACACGTCCGTGGCCTTGGGACACCAGCATTTAATAGTGATGTCTGTCGACCCCAAAAACCACACTATCTTCAAAATTAACCAATGTGACGGTCACCCAACATGCGCTGGGGGTCATACTAACGTTCTCAACCATCTTCCTTAGCTTCGGCTATATCCGGTCAAGTTGTGATGTTCATCACTAAAAAGTAAATTGTTATTTGATGTCTAACTAAACGACTTATTGTTTCTTTATGTAACACACTGCCCTCCAGAGGTTCCATACATATCATTTCTTCTGGTGTGCAAGTTCGTAAGAAAATGAAAAAGTGTCAATCTTTTTTCAAACATATTTAAATCTTAGTGTTCTGATAACCAACACATTTTATCCGATACAAATGTTATGATTACAAGTGTTGAAAAAAAGAGAGACATAAAAGAGTGAATTCCAACAGATTCCTCTTCGGAAAAAGTGATAATTAGGGATGTTTGGGTGACAGTAAAGTAGTGATGCAATCGTATGTATTGGTTTGTTCGGAATATTTCCTTCATGTTGGTAATGTCAATAGAATAGAAGTTGTCATAACAACCAGTAGAAGATGAGAGTGTCACGTTTCAATGACTACACGGTCACCTTCATCAGACAACTGACCAGTGTGGAGCGTACTAACACTGACGTATGAGAGTGTCACGTTTCAATGACTACACGGTCACCTTCATCAGACAACTGACCAGTGTGGAGCGTACTAGCACTGACGTACGAAGTGTATGAGATGGTAAGGGATCGACCAACTTTTTCGGCTGTACTAAAATCATATTGAAGTCGAAAATAGTGTGACGAGATGGTAAACAGATTACAGACCAAAAGTATACAAGGTGGTAATAATGTTCTGCAGTCAATTCGGCTACGTTTTGTATAACGCTTGGTCATGGATGACCACCTATAAGGTAACAAACACAGAAGTCACCTTGTGTTTATGGTGTGATGTTGCGACTCGGAAATAATACCTTCATGTCACAATATTACACACCCGATTAATACCACCAATGTCCGAAAGATCATTAGTAAAATGCAGAAACATCTTACAAAATAGACGCATTGAAAAGCGAAACACGACTCACCGCCAAGCTTACCGAGCGGTCATCAGGTGACAGAAAACACGACTCACCGCTAAGCTTACCGAGCGGTCATCAGGTGACAGAAAACACGACTCACCGCCAAGCTTACCGAGCGGTCATCAGGTGACAGAAAACACGACTCACCGCTAAGCTTACCGAGCGGTCATCAGGTGACAGTTTCGGGGAGTGAACACACATGCAAAGGGGGAAACCTCGCCCAACACGACCAAAGAACGCCATTGGACAAGGTTGAAATGCCTAATACAGATATCTACCAATAACAACACCAAAACAGATAGGAATCTCAAGGAAACAAAACTAAGTAAATGGGTCATTAACATATCTAACAAATAGCTCACGGACAAAAACACCACTAGCTCAGGGTTTGAATTATGCCATTGTCCCGGACAAAATCACACTTAATTTTATAGTAGCCACAGAACAGACACGTAAGAACTTGAGTTACGCCGAGGCTGATCAACTGAGATCACAAGTGACAGGTGTCTTAACGTCTACAAAATTACCAGTAAACAACATATCAAAGGAAGAATGTGTTATACATCTATACCTGTGCAAGGACAGATCTATAGTGACTTTACATGCAGATAAAGGGAAAGCCACAGTTGTGGTTGTAGTCTCCGATATAAAATTGAGAGTTCAGTCGACAACATCAAAAACTATGCTTCACAAGGACTCCCAGTATACAATGTCAACAACGTATCTGAAACTCAGAATACAGTCCATCATATCAAAACTAGGTGTCAGAAACACAGAATACAGTCCCTCATGTATAAACTTGGTGTCAGAAACACAGAATATAGTCCATCATATATAAACTAAGTGTCAGAAACACAGAATATAGTATATCATATAAAAAACAGTGAAACAGAAGCAGTTTTATTCAGTTTTATTCCAGTGCAGTAACACTTTAGGTAGGTGACTACAAGTCACCCTTAATGTGCTCACACGATATCTTGGATAACAGTTAACAAGATAAAATAACTAGAGTTCATATTACAGTAATCCAAAATATATTGTAGGTTTTATCAGGAATCAGTCATATCATGCTATATCATAACCTAATTTTACTGCTTCAGAACACAAACACCAATCTCCCGATGTTACAGATTATCTAACTGGCAGTTCTCAACTTTACAGCAGTACACATGTATTGTAGTTGTTTACTATATAAATTTCACATATGAAAATGTTCTTACTAATACAATAGATAATCTGTGTATCAGATAATCATTATTCAAGTGCTAAAGCATACCAATGTTGTTTAATCCATAATAGTATGTTCTTATGTAACTACCTACAGTGCCTCTCATTATTTTTAAATCCTGTCATGGCTATTCTACATCACATTTTAGAACACTTTTTGAACGATGGTATCAAACATCAAAATCGTCATTAGAATATCAATATTAATAACACTTCTGAGTCAGGTTAATACATTTGGAAATACCAGAACTGATGCCAGTATGATGTTTTAAGTAAGCAAAGTAATTAAAAAAAAAAAAAACATTGTTCACCCCGAATGTGAGAATTATACCATAGTAACATACACTCTCTGTCAGACCACAAACCAACATAATGAGTAAAAATAATAAACATTTCAATTACTTTCATACTTTATACCGATCATGCTCCATTTAGGAAATTAATTTGTATTCTCTGTAATGGACATTCAAAAATGAAGATGAAAAACGTAGTTACTAATGAGATAAGTAAACCTGGTTACTAATGAGATAAGTAAACCTAGTTACTAATGAGATAAGTAAACCTGGTTACTAATGAGATAAGTAATCCTGGTTACTAATGAGATAAGTAAACCTGGTTACTAATGAGATAAGTAAACCTGGTTACTAATGAGATCAGTAAACCTGGTTACTAATGAGATAAGTAATCCTGGCCCCACTTGTATAAAACATCTCAACTTGAGATTTCCTCAAGCCCAGATTTTCCTCAGCTAATATCTCCTTGAAAATATCTTGTATGAAAATTCCTCAAGGAATTTCAGGACATCCTAGCCGATGACTTCCTTCTGTTCCTTGAGAAAATTTTATACAAGCCGTTTTTGAGGAGATATCAGCTGAGGAAAATCTTGACTTGAGGAAATCTCAAGTTGAGATGTTTTATACAAGTCGAAGTAGGTTTCTAATGAGATCAGTAAACCTGGTTACTAATAAGATAAGTAATCCTGGTTACTACTGAGATTAGTAAACCTGGTTACTAATGAGATAAGTAATCCTGGTTACTAATGAGATCAGTAAACCTGGTTACTAATGAGATAAGTAAACAATCAGGAAAATCTACCTTGTCCTTCTATAGTACGATAAATGTCATCTTTACTCGGCTTTCTCTTACTTTCACTTTCCAATCTTAATTCCATCACACATCTTCAACACTTTATTATTTGCTGTGATCTTCATCAAAACTGTAAAAGTATTCCAATACTCTAGAATAATCAAAAACATATGTGAACAAAGAAACAACACTTTCTTCTATTTAATGTGGGCGGTACCGTCAAATCACGAATATTCATGGGAGATTTATTTTCATTGACATTAATGTGGGCGGTACTGTCAAATCACTAATATTAATGAGAGATTTATTTTCATTGATTTCAATGTGGGTGGTACTGTCAAATCACTAATATTAATGAGAGATTTATTTTCATTGATTTCAATGTGGGTGGTACTGTCAAATCACTAATATTAATGAGAGATTTATTTTCATTGATTTCAATGTGGGCGGTACTGTCAAATCACTAATATCAATGAGAGATTTATTTTCATTGATTTCAATGTGGGTGGTACTGTCAAATCACTAATATTCATGTTGTGGGTACTCTCACTGATACAATTAGTTTAATGACATTTATTGAGCTTTATTTATCCCTTAAATCAAATGTCCATGAAAATGCTTTAAAACACTTTTCTTAAAAACCACAAAAATTGAACTCTACAAAAATATATGATTTTTCAGTTGGTTTCTCTTTCCTGATTATTTGGTCTAACACCATGTAGCCTGTTTCGTACATGACCTTATTAGTATGTTTCCTGCTATACTCTCATCAGTTGCTATCGGTCCCTTTTTCTACCTCAATGTTAGTTCTGATCAGTTGTCAGCCCCTTTTTCTACCTCAATGTTAGTTCTGATCAGTTGTCAGCCCCTTTTTCCACTTCAATGTTAGTTCTGATCAGTTGTCAGCCCCTTTTTCTACTTCAACGTTAGTTCTGATCAGTTGTCAGCCCCTTTTTCCACTTCAATGTTAGTTCTGATCAGTTGTCAGCCCCTTTTTCTACCTCAATGTTAGTTCTGATCAGTTGTCAGCCCCTTTTTCTACCTCAATGTTAGTTCTGATCAGTTGTCAGCCCCTCTATCCATGCTGATGTTAGTTCTGATCAGTTGTCAGCCCCTCTCTCCATGTTATTACTAGTTGTATATATCCTCTATGGTTTTCCTGTCAAAGTCAAATCTGAATTCTGTTCTGTTGTATTTTGCCCAGACATGATATTTGGAATGTGACGTTGTAATACACTTATAAACATCATTACTACTTACTAGCCACTTCAAAAACATCCTTCCACAGGTTAATTTTAAACATGATCTTACACATCTTGAATATGAAAACATGTACAAGAACAGAACAATTGATTCAGCAATGAGGCACAGATACCTACATTATAGAGTCTCTTCTATCAAAACCATTAGTCTACACATTTAAATTAAATTTCATTTTCAAATTAAATAAAACATTCTCCAGCCTACTAAATAAAATTATTCACATGATACTCTGTGCAGCATTATCTGACATTTTGTACCAAATGTTCTGTAGTGACTCTATCATACAATGACTGAGTCTTTTAAGACTTGAAAAAAATAGACATTTCAACATCAACATTACTAACAATGAAAACATCTGTACATCAATGTGGGAGCAATGTCTGTACATCCATGTTATTGTTCCTGTGTTGAAACAATGTCTGTACATCAATGTTATTGTTCCTGTGTTGAAACAATGTCTGTACATCAATGTTCCTTCTGTGGAAACAATGTCTGCACATCGATGCAATCGTTTCCTGTATTTGAACAATCTCTGTACATCAATGCTATCATTTCCTGTATGGAAACAATGTCTGTACATTGATGCTATTGTTTCCTGTGTGGAAACAATGTCTGTACATCCACATTACTGTTTCTGTGTGGGAACAATGTCTGTACATCCACATTACTGTTTCTGTGTGGGAACAATGTCTGTACATCCACATTACTGTTTCTGTGTGGGAACAATGTCTGTACATTGATGTTACTGTTTCCAGTGTTGAAACAATATCAGCACATCAATGTTATTGTTTCCTGTGTTGAAACAATATCTGCACATCAATGTTACTGTTTCCTGTGTTGAAACAATATCTGCACATCAATGTTACTGTTTTCTGTGTTGAAACAATATCTGCACATCAATGTTACTGTTTCCTGTGTTGAAACAATATCTGCACATCAATGTTACTGTTTCCTGTGTTGGAGCAATGTCTGCACATTAATGTTATTGTTTCCTGTGTTGGAGCAATGTCTGCACATTAATGTTATTGTTTCCTGTGTTGGAGCAATGTCTGCACATTAATGTTATTGTTCACTATGTAGGAACAATGACAACACATGTTCATCAGTGTTACTGTTCACATTAGAGGAACAAGAAACATCAATCTCCTAAACACCAGGTGATTCTATGAACACTAAACAATAATTAACATAAAGTTAACACAATCAGCTGCCATTTGATTCCTCCTCCTTTTTACTCTTGTCAGAAGAGAGGGCATGAGCAATGGTGTCCACTGCACTGGTCAGATAGGTCCGAGACTCCTGCAGGGCAGACAGGTATTTCTTGCATGCTGTGTCGCTCGACATTGTAAGTTTCTCTTGACTTTGCAGTTTCTGTTTCAGTTGCTTTACTTCTGTGGTCAACTTCTGGCAGGATTCCTCTTTGCCGACTAGATTCTTCTTTAAACCATCTGCCAAACAAAAGTGCAATAAGGCACAGTTAAATAGGATTGTGCAAGTTTTAATAAAATCTTTTCTTTTATTAACATCTAAATAATACAAAGCAAGAAGACGTGTGATTTTTTAACAATCAGTAAACGTTGTTAGAGTATTACAAGCATTTCTCACTTTAATTCAGATGGTACAAAGAGGACACTTAAGGAAATCTGGATGAAGTACAATCAACTGGTCTAAATGACTAGGGTTTCAACTATTCACAAGACCCATCCTCATCCAATAGACCAAATGCAGTCAAAAAGCAAATAAAATACCATAAAATCTCATTTTCTTTTCAATGCTTCAAATGTTCACTGACATAGCTTGACATAAAATAAACATATTTTTTTTATACTGGAATCATGAAATGGGCAATGGTAATCTCTATAGATGAACAATACAAAAAGACATCTGGCATTCTCTTACAAATTCTGACAAGAATAGGTTATAAAGGGTAGGAATTTTGTTGCGATACAAAATCAGTTTTCTTCATTGCCTTTGAAATCTGTTTAATTGATTAATAGTCGTACCTTTTTGTGTGGTTAGAGTTTGCATCTGTTTTTCCATCTCATTGCGTGTACGTTCACTCCTGTCCAGCCTCTGCATCACACTACTGATGTCCAGAACACTACCTTTGTACATGACAAACCCTGTCACCTCCTCCTTGATGTCTTTTTTTTCCTCTTCAACAGTCACCTCCTCCTTTGTTTCTGTATCCTTTATTGGACACTGTATTACTTCCTCCTGTTTCACCCGTGTCTGGATGTAACTTTTATTACCTATACAATACAAACTTGTACTGAGAAAACCTCAAACTAAACATTGTTGATGTCTAAATCTTACTTATATAACACAATCAACCTACACTGATCTTACCACTTCTAAACATAGTTACCTATTCTCATCTTACCTATTCTCATCTTACCTGTACTATACAGCCAAACCTACACTGATCTTACTACTTCTAAACACAGTTACCTATTCTCATCTTACCTGTACTATACAGCCAAACCTACACTGATCTTACTACTTCTAAACACAGTTACCTATTCTCAACTTACTTGTACTATACAGCCAAACCTACACTGATCTTACTACTTCTAAACATAGTTACCTATTCTCATCTTACCTATTCTCATCTTACCTATACTATATAGCCAAACCTACACCGATCTTACTACTTCTAAACATAGTTACCTGTTCTCATCTTACCTGTACTATACAGCCAAACCTACACTGATCTTACTACTTCTAAACATAGTTACCTATTCTCATCTTACCTATTCTCAACTTACTTGTACTATACAGCCAAACCTACACTGATCTTACTACTTCTAAACAGTTACCTATTCTCATCTTACCTGTACTATACAGCCAAACCTACACTGATCTTACTACACATATCTTACCTATTCTCATCTTACCTGTTCTCATCTTACCTGTACTATACAGCCAAACCTACACTGATCTTACTACTTCTAAACACAGTTACCTGTTCTCATCTTACCTGTACTATACAGCCAAACCTACACTGATCTTACTACTTCTAAACATAGTTACCTGTTTTCGTCTTACCTGTATTTGTCGTACCTGTACTATACAGCCAAACCTACACTGATCTTACTACAGCCAAACCTACACTGAACATAGTTACCTGTTCTCATCTTACCTGTACTATACAGCCAAACCTACACTGATCTTACTACTTCTAAACACAGTTACCTATTCTCATCTTACCTGTACTATACAGCCAAACCTACACTGATCTTACTACTTCTAAACATAGTTACCTGTTCTCATCTTACCTGTACTATACAGCCAAAAGTACACTGATCTTACTTGTACTAAACCTGTACTATACAGCCAAACCTACACTGATCTTACTACTTCTAAACAGTTACCTATTCTCATCTTACCTGTACTATACAGCCAAACCTACACTGATCTTACTACTTCTAAACATAGTTACCTATTCTCATCTTACCTATTCTCATCTTACCTGTACTACACAGCCAAACCTACACTGATCTTACTACTTCTAAACATAGTTACCTGTTCTACACTGATCTTACTACTTCTAAACATAGTTACCTATTCTCAACTTACTTGTACTATACAGCCAAACCTACACTGATCTTACTACTTCTAAACATAGTTACCTGTTCTCGTCTTACCTGTACTATATAGCCAAACCTACACTGATCTTACTACTTCTAAACACAGTTACCTATTCTCATCTTACCTGTACTATACAGCCAAACCTACACTGATCTTACTACTTCTAAACATAGTTACCTGTTCTCATCTTACCTATTCTCATCTTACCTGTACTATACAGCCAAACCTACACTGATCTTACTACTTCTAAACATAGTTACCTATTCTCATCTTACCTATTCTCATCTTACCTGTACTATACAGCCAAACCTACACTGATCTTACTACTTCTAAACATAGTTACCTATTCTCATCTTACCTGTACTATACAGCCAAACCTACACTGATCTTACTACTTCTAAACATAGTTACCTATCCTCATCTTACCTATTCTCATCTTACCTGTACTATACAGCCAAACCTACACTGATCTTACTACTTCTAAACATAGTTACCTGTTCTCATCTTACCTGTACTATACAGCCAAACCTACACTGATCTTACTACTTCTAAACATAGTTACCTATTCTCATCTTACCTATTCTCATCTTACCTGTACTATACAGCCAAACCTACACTGATCTTACTACTTCTAAACAGTTACCTATTCTCATCTTACCTGTACTATACAGCCAAACCTACACTGATCTTACTACTTCTAAACATAGTTACCTGTTCTCATCTTACCTGTACTATACAGCCAAACCTACACTGATCTTACTACTTCTAAACATAGTTTCTCACAGCTTACCTTCTAAACATAGTTACCTATTCTCATACTATACAGCCAAACCTACACTGATCTTACTACTTCTAAACATAGTTACCTGTTCTCATCTTACCTGTACTATACAGCCAAAACCTACACTGATCTTACTACTTCTAAACATAGTTACCTGTTCTCATCTTACCTATTTTCATCTTACCTGTACTATACAGCCAAACCTACACTGATCTTACTACTTCTAAACATAGTTACCTGTTCTCATCTTACCTGTACTATACAGCCAAACCTACACTGATCTTACTACTTCTAAACACAGTTACCTATTCACATCTTACCTGTACTATACAGCCAAACCTACAGTTATCTTACCTATTCTCAACTTACTTGTACTATACAGCCAAACCTACACTGATCTTACTACTTCTAAACATAGTTACCTATTCTCATCTTACCTATTCTCATCTTACCTGTACTATACAGCCAAACCTACACTGATCTTACTACTTCTAAACATAGTTACCTGTTCTCATCTTACCTGTACTATACAGCCAAACCTACACTGATCTTACTACTTCTAAACATAGTTACCTATTCTCATCTTACCTGTACTATATAGCCAAAACTACACTGATCTTTCTCACCTTACCTATTCTCATCTTACCTGTACTATACAGCCAAACCTACACTGATCTTACTACTTCTAAACATAGTTACCTATTCTCATCTTACCTGTACTATACAGCCAAACCTACACTGATCTTACTACTTCTAAACATAGTTACCTGTTCTCATCTTACCTGTACTATACAGCCAAACCTACACTGATCTTACTACTTCTAAACATAGTTACCTGTTCTCATCTTACCTGTACTATACAGCCAAACCTACACTGATCTTACTACTTCTAAACATAGTTACCTATGTCATCTTACCCGATGCTCATCTTACCATTGACCTTACAGCCAAACCTTGCCTGCTCCTCGACTTCCTCCTTGCTGTCAGCTTGACCAGGAAATGGTCGGTCGGTAAGCTTTCTGTAGTTGAGTGCATCCCTAGACACCAACTTCTGTACGAACTTGCGAACCTGAAAAACAAATCCACCAATCTGAGTGACCATTTTACTATAATGATTCTATCCTTGCTGTCACTTGACCAGGAAATGGTCTGTTGAAGAAAGTGCTGTTAGAGGTAGATTTTTACTATAATGATTCAAGAAACATTACTGTTAGAGGTAGATTGCAAGAAACATTACCTGAGCTCGAGACAGCTGTAGTCCAATGGTATGAATGATTTCCTCAACATCTTTATCTAGTAGATAGCCAGTGTGATTTTGGTCGAAGTAGGTAAATGATAACAGTACATCCCTGTCCTTAGTAAAGAATTTCTTCTTCTCCTTCTTTTTCTCCTTCTTACCTGCAATCATCAACTCATATATTAAATACATACTCAAACTAAGGAGATCCCATACAACAAGATAAACACTTCAATCAGCAATGTGGGAAAACAAACCACAGGAAACTTAACGAAGGAAATTTAGCATGTCATGTATACCTAAGTATAGTTAATATTCACACCGCCTGACATATCCAGGCTAAAGCTAATCAAACTTCCCCTACCATATAGTATAAATCAGACTGTTGTCATACTATGGACACAGTATATGTCTAATGCCCATGTAGATGAAGATATTCCGTAGCTAATGGCATTTCACTTCAGAACAATAAATAAGGTCAAAGGTCAATCAGAGGACACATTGCACTATGCATATATACTATAGATACCTGTATTTCACAAAATTTCAGCGATTAAAAGAAAGACCACAGATCAAGTTGAGGAAGCAGGAAACACTATGTCTGATTACAACTTCCTGTACAGCAAATTCCATATCAAATATTGGCTAAGATATGCTACTGAAATTAGTGTTAGCAAATAGATATGTAAGTTGATGGACAAGAGGAATACTATTGGTGTCCCACTTAATACAAGGGTATAGTAAGATGGAGATACAATAACCATCAGTAAAATATCTGTTTAAGTTTGTACAGCAGTAAGTCATGTGTCTTTAGTATTACCTTTGTCATCTCCTTCTTCATCTCCATCATTTTCATCAACTTTTTCTTCTTTTTTGTCTCCATCACTTTTCTTATCATCATCCTTCTTTCTATCTTTGTCCTTTAAAGAAGTTCATTAATGAAAGTTTTATTCATTTGGCAAAATCCTGTACTTGACAGAGAGTGAACAAACGAGAAGGAACTGGGGTTGTACTTAAATCCATAACAGAAATGAAATTGTAAATATTTACTTATTAACTGTTTAGAGGCTTGTAAAGAAAAGTGAAGCATTCAGTTACAGTCACAAAAGTGGAACATTACCTTTTTCTCACTGTCTTTTCGATCTTTTTCATCAGTTTTCTTTTTCTTACTACTGCTGCTGCCATCCTATCAACAAGTGAAAATACATAAAAAAAAATTTATATGCCATGCCAAATTTCCAAATAAAAATATCGTTTTTGCTTTTACACCAAAAATCTTTCATTACCAGGTAAATTATGACAAAAAACATTTCCTTTAATTCTACATCTCTGAAGTATTCAACATTATCACTATGTCTATAAAGCATCTGAACTTATATGTTTAATGAATGAATCACTCAAATAAATTTGAACAATTCTCCCTTGCCATTTTTTTTGTTTTGTAACAGAATTTGTCAATACTGTACTTTGGACAACTTGTCATCTGCTTTTTTGTCCTTGTCTTTTTTCTCATCCTCCTTCTTCTTATCTTTCTTCTCTTCCTCCTTTTTTTCAGGAGCCTTAACCAGTACTTTGTAAATCTCAAATCCAAAGTCACGCATCAACATTTCATTGAAGAGTTCTGCAAAAATTGACACCTAGAACAAAAATATCAACGTGTTGTTGTGAACAAATGTCACCTATCAAACCAACTCACATCATGTATTTTCTTTGTGTTTTAAATCAGGGAAAATAACAACTGTCTATAATTGTTGTTAGGTTCAAACAGTTACCAGACAAAAGAAATGTTAGCAGACACTGATGTCAGGTTGAAACAAGACACTATGCCAACGACAGTCCCTCACCAATGTAAAATTATACTCTAAAAATGCAAAGACAATGAATGCATGCAGTAATAAATTCTAGATTTGGAATGTTTGGCAGACTCACTGCAAATAAATCTACAAGATGTATACCAGTAAGTGGTGCCATTTTCGTTTGTTACAAAATTATGTTTGTTGACACCTGGAATCTCAATGGATTCCATTATTTAATAAACTTGGTGTAAAAATGTGAATGAATTCATTCATACTATCTTGTTAATATGCTTTTTCTTCGATGCAAGTGAAGTCACCCCCCAAGACAATCCAGAGACAAGTAGGATATCTGGGCCAAAGGTCAAAATGTAGGTTAAAATTTTTGACATTTTTGGTATATGACACACTGCCTCACATCGGCTGACCAATGCCCCAATTATAAGTTCCAGTGAAAAGTAGTGTAGGAAATGGAGTCTGCACAAACTTATCTTTAATGAAAAAGGTGGTCACTTTGATATACTTTTGGTATATGACACACCATCTAACCAAAGTCAACCTATACCTGAAGATTAAGTGGGAATTAGTTCAGGAAATAAGAAATGGAACTTCGAAATTTTTTTTTTAATGTAGGTAAAATGTCAAAATGCAGAGTCATCAACTTTTGATACCTGACGCACTGCCTCACCTTCATGTATATATGCCCCAAAATAAAGTTAAAGTGACAAGCAGTATAGGAGAAAACACTTGGACAAGATAAAGTGCAGAAGGACAGTCATCATGATGAATTAACAGTGGAAGAGTTCAACTTTGTATACGGTTTAAACCATATCTTTACTTTAAAAACTTACAAACTTTTCAAACATTAAAAGTTTTACACTTGAATTTTCTATGGTATGAAGTTGACATAAAAACCTCAAATGAGTGTTCCTTGTTATCCTCCGGCCTGTAATCCAGTAGAACACTCAGGGACATGACAGCACAGTCAAACTTGCCATTCTTGGCTGAAGGGTTAGGATGAACAACAATAGCAGGATCATCAGGGAGAATATATTTCCTCTCCAACGATACTTTCTCTCGTTCCTTCTTTTTCTCCTCTTCCTCCTGTTTATTCCAATATCAACAATCCAAATTACTGTAACAACTGTAGATAAACAACGCACCATATACTCAGTCATATAGATATACAATGCACCATATACTCAGTCATATAGATATACAATGCACCATATACTCAGTCATGTAGATATACAATGCACCATATACTCAGTCATGTAGATATACAATGCATCATATACTCAGTCATGTAGATATACAATGCACCATATACTCAGTCATGTAGATATACAATGCACCATATACTCAGTCATATAGATATACAATGCATCATATACTCAGTCATATAGATATACAATGCACCATATACTCAGTCATGTAGATATACAATGCACCATATACTCAGTCATGTAGATATACAATGCACCATATACTCAGTCATATAGATATACAATGCACCATATACTCAGTCATATAGATATACAATGCATCATATACTCAGTCATATAGATATACAATGCACCATATACTCAGTCATATAGATATACAATGCATCATATACTCAGTCATGTAGATATACAATGCACCATATACTCAGTCATGTAGATAAACAATGCACCATATACTCAGTCATGTAGATAAACAATGCACCATATACTCAGTCATGTAGATAAACAATGCACCATATACAATGCACCAGTCATGTAGATAAACAATGCACCATGCACATGTAGATAAACAATGCATCATACTCAAGTTCATGTAGATAAACAATACTCAAGTTCGTGTAGATAAACAATGCACCATATACTCAAGTTCATGTAGATAAACAATGCACCATATACTCAAGTTCATGTAGATAAACAATGCACCATATACTCAAGTTCATGTAGATAAACAATGCACCATAGACTCAAGTTCGTGTAGATAAACAATGCACCATATACTCAAGTTCATGTAGATAAACAATGCACCATATACTCAGTCATGTAGATAAACAATGCACCATAGACTCAAGTTCATGTAGATATACAATGCACCATATACTCAAATTCCTGTAGATAAACAATGCACCATATACTCAGTCATGTAGATAAACAATGCACCATATACTCAGTCATGTAGATAAACAATACACCATATACTCAGTCATGTAGATAAACAATGCACCATATACTCAGTCATGTAGATAAACAATGCACCATATACTCAAGTTCATGTAGATAAACAATGCACCATATACTCAGTCATATAGATATACAATGCACCATATACTCAGTCATGTAGATAAACAATGCACCATATACTCAGTCATGTAGATAAACAATGCACCATAGACTCAAGTTCATGTAGATAAACAATGCACCATATACTCAAATTCCTGTAGATAAACAATGCACCATATACTCAGTCATGTAGATAAACAATGCACCATATACTCAGTCATGTAGATAAACAATGCACCATATACTCAGTCATGTAGATAAACAATACACCATATACTCAGTCATGTAGATAAACAATGCACCATATACTCAGTCATGTAGATAAACAATGCACCATATACTCAAGTTCATGTAGATAAACAATGCACCATATACTCAGTCATGTAGATAAACAATACACCATATACTCAGTCATGTAGATAAACAATGCACCATATACTCAGTCATGTAGATAAACAATGCACCATATACTCAAGTTCATGTAGATAAACAATGCACCATATACTCAGTCATATAGATATACAATGCACCATATACTCAGTCATGTAGATAAACAATGCACCATATACTCAGTCATGTAGATAAACAATGCACCATAAACTCCTTTAAAAGTAGCATTGAGGCCATTAAACACCTCTGGCAATAGTGTATAGATACTGAAGAAGATTATGTTGAAAAATAATGCAAAAAACCCTTAAATATGAGACTCACAACTGATCAAGCAGCCCTTGTATGAATGGAGTATTACCAATTTGACCTGATTTACTATATCTCCATCTCCAGTACAGCCAAAAGGTCTTATTGATTCATTCGGTGCAAACATGTTAAACATTTCTTTAATGGCTGCGATATAAGAACAAGAGCACCATGCAACAAAACAATATACATCTGTTCCATGTCAAAGTGCAAGCATTATTGCAAAATGTCAAGACGGAAATCAGTGCAATGTGATTAAGTCTGCTTGGTTTGGAAGCAGTCACTTGAAAACTGGTGAAAACTGAGAGATTTACGAATAACTAAAAGTTAAATATGGACAGACAATGCCATAATATATCATGTGTATAAAAATGTATTTAAACTAATACTTAAAACCCAACCGGAAGAAATTATTTATAACAGTCATGTACTTGCCTTAACTGGCTGTAACATACCTCCTTTTTCTTCTCTTCAGTTTTCTCCTCTGGCTCCTGTGATTTTTTCAGGTCCTCTGGTATCTCCTCTTCCTATACATAAGAAAACACTGGTTAACTAACCAAGCATTATTACAAACAACACAACAGTTTATGGGATACAATAATCAAATAGAGAAATGACAGCAAGACTTCCTGAAATTCTGCAACAGAAATATTTGTAGTGAAAACACAAGAGAATAATTACCTGTACAAATTTGGACAAAAACAATTATTTCTACATACAGTTGAAGAAAAAACTTCATGTACAAAAAAATACGCATTCATATTTTCTATGTCTATTTTCAGACCTTCAATGATATGAGATAAAAAAATGCAAACATTTCTAAGAAAAGAAAAAGAACCGTTTCCCTACACATTAGCAGTCTTACCACTTCCATGGGATCTTGTGTCTCCTCCTTCTCCTGTTCAGATTTTATTGCCTTTGTGAGGCGAGCAATGAGCTGAGATTTGAGTCCCTTGGAGCTGAGAGTACGACTTTCAAGCTCTTTCCTCAAGTCAACAATCTACAGAAGTGATAATACTTACATGAAACTTAATTTTCAATTTTTTAACATGTTCACAGTTTGTAAATGTACATGAAACTTAATTTTCAATTTTTTAACATGTTCACAGTTAATAAATGTACACGAAACTTAATTTTCTATCATTTCTTAACATATTTACAGTTTAAAGAGAATCACTTTTCTCTGGACAAGTTGAGGTAATTATCAGTTGAATAACATTGAAGACTTATCAGCCTACCTTCATTGTCTTAGGATCCAATTCAGAAAAATGGGTTGGTTCACTATTTTCCTCTGAATTTTCTTCTTCCTACAATTATGAAATCAGTTTTAGCATGGAAGCACTGATCCTTCTGCAGTGTGAATCAATTGGAAAATTCCAACAAAAAGTGACACTATGTGGACTGGGGGATTCCTTCTGAAAATCACAGCAGTGTCCTTCATCACTTTCTATTCCTGTTACTCTACAAGTGATAGCTGATTCAATAATTTTAAAAACACCCAATTTTTGTGATAATGATTGATTGTGAAGACAGTCAGCTGTGATTTTCATTTCAACAACCAAGATTTTTGTATCTGCTTCTTACTGATACGAGGCAACTGAAACCTGTTAATAGTCCACATTGGTAAGGAGCTGCAACAATATTATCACTGTTTTCTGGACAGAATCCTGAAATATGACTGAATGTATATACTATAATACTTGATTTTATGCTTGGATAGAATTGATCTCAGGAAACGAGCAATCACATGACCTAGTTTATCGGAAATGGACGGTTTGATATATGTGACCTTAACACATTCAATCATTAAAAAAAGTAAAGAAGACAAGCTAGTCAGAGGGCAGTGTTAAAAGGATGAATAGAATGTTACAGGGTCAGCAAGGTCAAAAGGTTACAGGGTCGGCGGGGTCAAGGGTCATCTGCAGTCAGCTCCTACCTGTGGGGTTACTACAGTGACCATGAGCTATTAGAGATTAAATATTTCTGTTGTGTTGTGCCAAGGCTGTATAGGTACATCTCAGGCCTGTGTGTACTGTAGCAGGCCACATGGGCCCACACTGTACATACGTTACACCTATAACTTAAGGAAAAAAATGAAAAAAATATATATATAATGGTGGGTGCCTGTGAGTTGTCGTCCTTGTCGGAACTGGAAACCGTTGACAACTTCTTCTGAAGTTGTTTTTTGTAGGATGCCTGCAAAGTGGCCCACTCGAGGCGGGTTGGGGTACAGCTCCACACATCGGGAAAGAAAATGACGGTGGTTTCTACCCGGGCCACCACGTGTTTCCCCTTGTGGGTCTCCTCTGGCCGCAGGTACTGCATCTCGACAAAGCGATACCTGTAGGAGGGGTGGGGTGGAAACAGACCATTGTCAAAAGTTGTACAACAAACCAAGTCAACAGACCATAGGTGATCATGCATCAACATACATATCTATTGACATACATCAACATATCACTAGGTTAATCAGTGAATTTCATCAGTTTGGTATCTTCCTACCTTTGTTGACTTCCTATATTCTTGTTTAATGATACTCACCACTGTTCAATGATTGTGATATATCTCTAACAATTTTACATTTTTGTTATCAGAGTAATTTTGTTGACAAATACTACTTTGCATTAACGTTATAAATTTTTAATACTTTTCATGTGATGGGATTATCTAATGGATATAATTATTTCTGATGTACTTTTAGACTTCAGTCAACAACTTGTATACAAAGATCTTACCAAATGTATAATTGTAATGTTCGATCAATGTTATGGACTGTACCAAATAGCATCAGTGTCAGAAGTTAAATTAAAACTTACCAAATCGTCATATAATAATGTCTAATTCAACAATCATACTGTAAAACCATGACATACTCGTGACAAAAATCTCACCAATCTTACAATTAAGTCACAGAAAACCTCTGTGGCGGATAAGAACCATCTATACAGTAATATTCAAAGAAGATTAAAATCAAACTGACCTTCTCTGGGTCATGTTTTCATTTGTAATATACACCTGTGATCAATATATACTCTGATGCTAAATCAAAGTCATTTATATCATTTAGTATTAGTATCCAGACTTCCTAATAAGACATATACTTTACTGTTTATCATGGCGATTCATGTGCAAATTATTTTGATATTTCTATGTGTTAAATCTGTCATCAATCTGAGATGAATAAAGAGTGTAAATTACTGTCAAAACGTTACCGACAGTATCCATAGTTTTAGTGTAGATATGACTGTGATTATGTTGTGTAGTTATGACTGTGTTAATGTTGTGTAGTTATGACTGTGATTATGTTGTGTAGTTATGACTGTGATTATGTTGTGTAGTTATGACTGATTATGTTGTTGTTATGACTGTGTTAATGTTATGTAGTTATGACTGTGATTATGTTGTGTAGTTATGACTGTGTTAATGTTGTGTAGTTATGACTGTGATTATGTTGTGTAGTTATGACTGTGTTAATGTTGTGTAGTTATGACTGTGATTATGTTGTGTAGTTATGACTGTGATTATGTTGTGTAGTTATGACTGTGATTATGTTGTGTAGTTATGACTGTGATTGTTGTGTAGTTATGACTGTGATTATGTTGTGTAGTTATGACTGATTATGTTGTGTAGTTATGACTGTGATTGTTGTGTAGTTATGACTGTGATTATGTTGTGTTGTTATGACTGTGATTATGTTGTGTAGTTATGACTGTGATTATGTTGTGTTGTTATGACTGTGTTAATGTTTTGTAGTTATGACTGTGTTAATGTTGTGTAGTTATGACTGTGATTATGTTGTGTAGTTATGACTGTGATTATGTTGTGTAGTTATGACTGTGATTATGTTGTGTAGTTATGACTGTGATTATGTTGTGTAGTTATGACTGTGATTAGTTATGACTGTGATTGTTGTGTAGTTATGACTGTGATTGTTGTGTAGTTATGACTGTGATTATGTTGTGTAGTTATGACTGTGATTATGTTGTGTAGTTATGACTGTGTTAATGTTGTGTAGTTATGACTGTGATTATGTTGTGTAGTTATGACTGTGATTGTTGTGTAGTTATGACTGTGATTATGTTGTGTAGTTATGACTGTGATTATGTTGTGTAGTTATGACTGTGATTATGTTGTGTAGTTATGACTGTGATTGTTGTGTAGTTATGACTGTGATTGTTGTGTAGTTATGACTGTGATTGTTGTGTAGTTATGTTGTTATGTTGTGTAGTTATGACTGTGATTGTTGTGTAGTTATGACTGTGATTATGTTGTGTAGTTATGACTGTGATTGTTGTGTAGTTATGACTGTGATTATGTTGTGTAGTTATGACTGTGATTGTTGTGTAGTTATGACTGTGTTAATGTTGTGTAGTTATGACTGTGATTATGTTTTGTAGTTATGACTGTGATTGTTGTGTAGTTATGACTGTGATTATGTTGTGTAGTTATGACTGTGATTATGTTGTGTAGTTATGACTGTGATTGTTGTGTAGTTATGACTGTGATGTTGTGTAGTTATGACTGTGATTATGTTGTGTAGTTATGACTGTGATTGTTGTGTAGTTATGACTGTGATTGTTGTGTAGTTATGACTGTGAGTGTAGTTATGACTGTGATTATGTTGTGTAGTTATGACTGTGATTGTTGTGTAGTTATGACTGTGATTGTTGTGTAGTTATGACTGTGATTGTTGTGTATTTATGACTGTGATTATGTTGTGTAGTTATGACTGTGATTGTTGTGTAGTTATGACTGTGATTATGTTGTGTAGTTATGACTGTGATTGTTGTGTAGTTATGACTGTGATTGTTGTGTAGTTATGACTGTGATTATGTTGTGTAGTTATGACTGTGATTGTTGTGTAGTTATGACTGTGATTGTTGTGTAGTTATGACTGATTATGTTGTGTAGTTATGACTGTGATTATGTTGTGTAGTTATGACTGTGATTATGTTGTGTAGTTATGACTGTGATTATGTTGTGTAGTTATGACTGTGATTATGTTGTGTAGTTATGACTGATTATGTTGTGTAGTTATGACTGTGATTATGTTGTGTAGTTATGACTGTGATTGTTGTGTAGTTATGACTGTGATTGTTGTGTAGTTATGACTGTGATTGTTGTGTAGTTATGACTGTGATTGTTGTGTAGTTATGACTGTGATTGTTGTGTAGTTATGACTGTGATTGTTGTGTAGTTATGACTGTGATTATGTTGTGTAGTTATGACTGTGATTGTTGTGTAGTTATGACTGTGATTGTTGTGTAGTTATGACTGTGATTATGTTGTGTAGTTATGACTGTGTTAATGTTGTGTAGTTATGACTGTGATTGTTGTGTAGTTATGACTGTGATTATGTTGTGTAGTTATGACTGTGATTATGTTGTGTAGTTATGACTGTGATTGTTGTGTAGTTATGACTGTGATTATGTTGTGTAGTTATGACTGTGATTGTTGTGTAGTTATGACTGTGATTGTTGTGTAGTTATGACTGTGATTATGTTGTGTAGTTATGACTGTGATTGTTGTGTAGTTATGACTGTGATTATGTTGTGTAGTTATGACTGTGATTGTTGTGTAGTTATGACTGTGATTGTTGTGTAGTTATGACTGTGATTATGTTGTGTAGTTATGACTGTGATTGTTGTGTAGTTATGACTGTGATTGTTGTGTAGTTATGACTGTGATTATGTTGTGTAGTTATGACTGTGATTGTTGTGTAGTTATGACTGTGTTAATGTTGTGTAGTTATGACTGTGATTTTGTTGTGTCTGTGTTTGTTGTGTAGTTATGACTGTGATTATGTTGTGTAGTTATGACTGTGATTATGTTGTGTAGTTATGACTGTGATTGTTGTGTAGTTATGACTGTGTTAATGTGGTGTTGTTATGACTGTGGTTATGTTGTGTAGTTATGACAGAGTAAAAGTAATTTGTTCTGTTGAAAGAACCACTAGATTTAGCCAAATAGTAGGAAGTTCAATCTATTACAATTATCTATTTGAATAATTATCTTAATGCAGGCCACTTTTTTTACTTTGGATAGTTTATACTTCATAGATGACCAACAACATACTTTGCAAGACCTACTATTGACCAACAAACACTGAAGATAGAAATTATTTCTATACAACATATTAAGATTTGATTAGTGTGTTGACTTATTTGACATTCCAGAACAGACCACTCTCCCCTTCTTCCTAAAGAGAACCCAGTGATTCTTACCATTGTGTACAGGCAGCCAGATCAATCCCTGTCAGGGCCTTAGTGGTCCGAATGGCTGTCTTTATAAGCACCCCTGGGTCTTCCCCTGGATTAGGGCCATCCAGCGATGGTGACCAAGGCCCTCCAATGGCCATTGTCTCATTCTTCCCTTTCAAACCTACAAGAAAATTGAGTAGCCTAGTCGGGTGGACGAAACCTTCCTGAGCATCTTGAGAGTCCTCGGCAAGGGCACACGACTTGTGGTATAGATCATCAAGGCTGGGACAGGAAAGGAGCATCACCTTGACAACAAACATACTGTAATATCAGACCAACTTCTTACTATATATTGATTTCTGTATATGTCCATCACCTTGACAACAAACATACTGTAATATCAGACCAACTTCTTACTATACATTGATTTCTGTATATGTTTCCTTCGATGACTTACCTAAACAGGTCTGTATTAATCATGATTACAATAGAAATAATCTTAAACCTATCATCTAGATAACATCATCTTCTCACTTTGGTGGCAATTCTTTTAAACAAAGAATCATCAGTACAACGTTTTTTAAGCAAAAAGAAAATATTGGTCAAGCTGACCCACATTAATTCAAACTAAAAGAATGGAGAAGTGCTCATAGAGAAAAACCAAGGAAATTTAATGGATTCGGGTATAAGGGCAATGACAGGACAATCAGAGAAAAAAACACGTCCAGATTTCAGATTGTGGAAGTTGTTACTGTCTGACAAGTCTTATCAAGCTTCACTTACTTTGGCATTGTACGCATGGTCACTGTCTGGAGGGTCCAGTATTGCTGTACTTGGTTCTACACACTCCACATCTTTGTGGAACAAATGGAAGGAACAATGATTGCCAAGCTGGAATGGTCGAACAATGGGGAATGCTTCCGTCCACGCAAAGTTGGCATTGAAGAAGTCACTAGGAATATACATGTTTGTGTAGCGTGACTTCAACGACATCACATTGGCGGACTTCCTGTAAAATCAACAACCTAATTTATTATCAAGAACAGGTGACCATAGTTCATATTTGAATTTTTACAGATCTTGATTTTTAAAATGCTGATTCATAATCAAATTGTCTGATAATGATGATATCTTACATGTCAAATGAGATCTTTGGAACCTGAACAACATATCGAGGTACTATCCGAGGCCTCCTTCTAGCAGGACTACGCTGGTGTGTGGAATCGTTACGTTTAGCAACTGGGGACCTGGATCGTGAGCGTTTCCTTGTAATTTGCAATCGTTCCTGTCGCTCCCTTTTCTCTTGCATCATCTCCCTCTTCCTCTCACGGTTCCTCTCAAACCGAGCAGGTTCATTCCTACGTGCAGATGAAATGGGGCCTCGCATCCCTGATGCCGACATCAGACCTACAATGTTGAAAAACTATGTAAAAAATTTTGCCTGTGATATTTTAAATTGATCTAAGAAAGCAGAATAAATCTTGAAACAATGTTCAGAAATAAAAGACGATCCCAAATTTTGTAGCTCTTCTGTAAAAGATGTATAAATTATATGCTTCTACTCAATATATTGCTTTTTAGGTAAGGGCGGTTTCAGAAATATAGTATGGGGGCATCAGGTGGCAGATGAAATATGTTTTATTGGGTGGTTGGGACGACACTAAAATGTATTTGATGCATGATTGGCACCATTACAAACTGAATTATATTGGTGACTGGTTAAACGAGAACCCCCCAGAAAAATGTGGGGTTAAACTTCATACAGAAAATCAGCTTTTGTAGGTCAAACAATTCAGTTGTTTTGATTTTTAAAGAAATCAAAATTAAATCAATTTATTCTTCCAAATGCATTTTTGTTCCTGATCCAAAAGTTCAAGGGAGATAACTTGTGTTGGTTTTGAAACTCCTGTGGGATGCGATAACTAATGCAGCTATGAAAAAAATAGCAAATGATAACTGGAGTATATACAAGGTGACCACATAGCTTGGTCAAAATGGCCTTGAATCCTTTATAGGGCAATTTATTAGTAAGCATTTTTCATCAGTTTTAATCAAGCCGACTTGTGGCATGTTCGTAATACAAAATCTCATCAATATATTGTAGTGGACTCGCTACATGCAAGTTTCGTTTTTGCCTAGATTTGACGTAACCAGAAAATAATGATAACATGTGAAATAAATGGAGTAAAAATGGCATATAACAAGTGTTTCTGTCCACTGCATTCCTCGCAAACTTCCAGTATAGGAATGGAGCTAAAAGATTGAAAATTGACAGCTTCCTTGTTTCGAAATGTGTGGTGACATACTGATTCTTTTCTCTGTTTAGAAACTTCTATATTCAATGTGTTCATGTATGCAGAAATAAGAAATATTCAGTGATGTTTTTCATGCAGTTTGGGAAAATATAATGATATTTTCAAATCAATCTTTCAAGACTGACTTTTTGCTCAGGGAAGCAACATGTATTTGACTATGTAAAAATGGCAACAGAATAAAAATTTTTACGGGTGTCAAGTTAACACGGAAAGTAAAATTCTGTGGGGATTGCTTTAAGTAACAAATTTAATTGTGTGGATAAATGAACTTGGCAAAAAAATTGTATACGTGATTGGGTATTGAATAAATTTTATTGTATGAGTGGTTGGGGCAAAAAATAAGTGCCTCCTCACCCCATATCCCTCCATCCTACATATTTAATTCAGGAATAGCTCTAAAAATATCTATACACATGTATGAATAATTGTCAGAGTTGAAGCATTAGAGTAACTATATGTACTGAGCAAAAGAGTGTCTGGATTACGGCTCACCTAGAAATGGCTGGTGGGTTGGTTAGAAAATGTCACATTAGACAGGAGTAGGACAGACCTGGATGTGGCTGGTTGGTTGGTTAGAAAATGTCACATTAGACAGGTGTAAGACGTACCTGGAGGTGGTCGGTTGGTTGGTTGGTAAGAAAATGTCACATTAGACAGGAGTAGGACATACCTAGAAGTGGCTGGTTGGTTGGTAAGAAAATGTCACATTAGACAGGAGTAGGATGTACCTGGATGTGGCTGGTTGGTTGGTAAGAAAATGTCACATTAGACAGGAGAAGGATGTACCTGGAGGGGGCTGGTTGGTTGGTTAGAAAATGTCACATTAGACAGGAGTAGGACATACCTAGATGTGGTCGGTGCGTTGGTTAGAAAATGTCACGTTAGACAGGAGTAGGACGTACCTGGATGTGGCTGGTTGGTTGGTTAGAAAATGTCACATTAGACAGGTGTAAGACGTACCTGGAGGTGATCGGTTGGTTGGTTGGTAAGAAAATGTCACATTAGACAGGAGTAGGACATACCTAGAAGTGGCTGGTTGGTTGGTAAGAAAATGTCACATTAGACAGGAGTAGGATGTACCTGGAGGTGGCTGGTTGGTTGGTAAGAAAATGTCACATTACACAGGAGAAGGATGTACCTGGAGGTGGCTGGTTGGTTGGTTAGAAAATGTCACATTAGACAGGTGTAAGACGTACCTGGAGGTGGCTGGTTAGTCTGCATTAAAGACTGAAGGGGCTGATTGAGAGACATATTCCCTCCATGATTCATTGGTCCTGATGGAGGCATGTTTGATGCCAAGGATTGCATCATAGAGTTGGCCATAGACAAAGGGCCAGAGGGTTTGTTAAAACCACCTCCCATTCCTGCTTGTTGTGGTCCCTGTGAGAACAAAAAAATTTGTTTGCGGTCATGTAATATTACTTCAGGGGTATGAAATATCTTACTAAGAGAGAGTACATGAGGACTTTCAAAATGTAAAACTAGCTTTTACTAAGCCAAAAGAATATGATTCTAGTGGACAAGCAATAACTCTCATGACACATTAGACAACACACTTATTCAAAACAAACTTCTGGCTCTTTAGTTAGCTGTAATACACCAATAAGTATGCCTAATTGCATTAACAAAATTGATTTGTAAGATAATCAGCACCAGAAACAAGACAATGGCATTTAGTTAAAAATAGTAGAAAAGTGGAAAGTCTCTCAATATACCTGGTTTGGAAGTACTTGTATCCTAACAGCATTCCACTTGAATGGCATGTTGGCATTAAACGTCGCCTCCACCAAAACTCTGTCACCTACCTTAGGCTGTGCACCTTTCACACAACTACAAAGAAAGCAAATATTCCTTCTCACATTCCAGGTCTTCATTTTTTTTTTGAAGATTGTACAGAGTTTCAACATGTAGCGATATAAATTATACATTAAGTTAAGTTTGTTTCATTACTAGGTCCATGCACTCACTACGGACCAAACGACACAAACGACACAAAATATCACTTAACTAAACAATACCTAGTTATTCAATATGCTGACTGATAAGACATGATGTCAGTATAGCTACATGGAACCTCCATTCGCATTATTAACACATTATTTACAAAATGCACGAGATTTATCTGCCCTAGTTCAAGAATAAAACTTTTTCATTATGATATATGTTAACCATAAAGCCAAGATAGATGTGTTTGTTTGATATCTTATCAACAATATTGTGTATTGACGTCTTTGAAGTGTCGACTATAACACATAGAGAATAAAAGTCAAAATTTGAAGATATTATTAACAACTTAAGAACTGGTCACAAAGGTTTAAAAGTTAAAAACAAAAACAAAAAATGCTGATAATCGTATGCAAACCTTGTTTGGAAGAAAACATCTTCATCTACAAAGCCAAAGTTATCATGGAGCTTGGTAATAGTACCAGTGAACACTCGCTGCTTGGGTCCCTGAGGCTGGGCTGCCCTTGGAGTTGGGTAGCTGACATTAGGTACCTGTGTAGTGGCCAATGAGGTGGGTATAGCGATGCCTGGTTGAGGAATGACGGGTCCTGTGGAGGCAGGTGAAGAAATGGCTGGCTGTTGCATGGCAGCTTGAGCTGCTGCTTGCTGCTGAAACAATGTTTGCTAATTATATACTGTAGAACTTGTTTGAATACAACTACATTTGTACCTTACTTTATCATCCTGAATTATCTCTCATCATGTCCGACACTGACCTCAGCTTACTCAAGTTGAAAATATTCATGCTCATGTGTACTTCACCTGTATCTATGTCAGAATAAGGTGTAACAAATATTTCACCTCATTGCTTTCATATGGAATTTCGCTCAGTCTGTGCCTGAAAGATTTTGCTATGGTCCTGAATCTGACAAACATGTTCTGATAACAATACTAGTTGTACTTTTCATTGATGTCAGATTTACTTTATCATCTTACTTGTCCCATCTGTTCAGAGTTTGCTAAGTTTCCACATAACTTTTCATTTGCTGTTTTTAACATTGCTTGACATGTACATAGAATTGCTTTTTATCATCTATGTTGGCCTTTCCTATTCATATGTCATGACTGACATCATCATTAAATGAATTCCATAATTGACATGGTCATGACCATAACTGATAATATCATTTGACAATTTCCATGACACTTTCCTGTCAATATCTGAGTTACTTACAATACTTTCTTCACCCTTTCATGTGCTTTATAGTATATGATACACAGAGTTGCTCTCCCAATCAAATGAAGATTGCTATATATCTATTATGATTTTACCTGTGCCTGGAGGCCAACCAGCTGTTGGGCAGAGTACTGTGGTGCAGTGTACTGGGAGGTTCCCAGGTTGGGTGTAGAATTGTTGAGGCTGTACACTGTGGGGTTGGCTACCACAGACTGAGGAAGCATGGCATTAGCCACTTGACTTTGGTTGATTGAGTTGGCTGCAGCTATTGTGTTTGTTGATGAAACATTAATAAAGTCTGCAAAAAAATGTTTGTGGAAATGATGCGATACTTAAACACATTTATACAAATTATTAAAATAATTTATTTCTACATCAGCATGCTACTAATTGGAGAAAGCATATTATGTGGTGAAAGGTACACTCATAATTATGTGTAAATCACTGATCAGTCATACTGTTTTTTTAATTTCCATGAGGGAGATGTTCACACTAAACATTTCAAGATTCAGAAATTAAAAGTACATTGAGACTATCAGACATTGTCTTTCCCACCATGGCTGTTCAATCTGGTAGACTTCCTAGACTTGTTTTTAAAATTGGAAAGCTTCAATGATAATTAGGGTGTCACCAAACAAAGTATGTGAAATATGATTCAAGTCATATTCAGTGGCCACAGAAAATATCTAATGTGGTTATAAAACAGAAATATTCACATACCTGACTGTGACTGTGGTCTAGCCCATGGTGGGTTTTTTGTTCCCCCAAACTGTGACATTTTACTTCTGAAATCAATTAAATTTTGTTAAATGTATTTTCATTCAGACACCATTGTCCTTGACTGTTATGTCATTAGAAGTCAAGGTAATCATTAAAGACTTATAGACACTTCAAGTTAGCAATTTTGCTATATCAGCACCTCATTTTCTGAAAATGTAAAGAGTGTTTTTTATTTGTCCGACTAAATGCACCATTCCCATTAATAAAGGAAACTTTACATAACTGTGTTAACATTACTGTTGTGATTAGTTGAAGTAGGTATGTAAATGACTTCCCTCTGTTTGTTTCTTTTTGACATTACAATAACATACTTCGGCAGAGCAGTAGTTTAAAGACTCATCGTTTAATGATAAGACATGTATCATGTAATCAGTTGATATAGGTATGTAAATGACTTCACCAGTTTGTCTCTATTTGACCATGCTTTGAAATTACAATAACATACATCAGCAGAGCAGTAGTTTAAAGTCTCATCATTCAATGATAAGACATGTACAGTCATAACCACAATCAGGGTTGTATATGACATATACTTCCATGCCACAATGCGGATTATCATTTTCTTATCAAGTTCATTTCATTTCCCTTTACAAACACTTTACAGAACATACTTTTTTCCTAGGATAGGAGGGGGTGTCTGATATATTAACAAATTGAAATTCCAGCTGTTTTAGAGACTTAACAAAGTATTTCTGTACATTAAACAAAGCAATGTAATGTGAAACAATAGGCACGTGAAACTGCATGAATGCAACCTTTGGATCATTTCAAGGCCTATTGAACTCAACCGCCCTAACTATCTGAATTGGCTGGAACACATTATTAAAATAAGTAAATATTATGCAAATATAATCAAATAGAGACATTTTCATGGGCAAGATAATACATTTTCCTCGAACATCCGCATTTATGTATCATCTTACATTTAGCTGTTTAAGAAGATATGACTTTCGAGCTAAAGTATGGCCTCCACTACACTTCGTGAAAATGTCGCGGCATGGCGCCATGTGGACGAGAAGCTTATAAATTCGGGAACTACAATATTGTACTACCGATAACATCTACGCACTAATATCCATCGATATTACATTTTATTTCGAAATTGCACATCACTCACCAGTAATCAATGATAATCACATACAAAAGGTTAATTTATCTTGTCCTGAAAAAAAATCTTCCTCCTCTGTTGTTAATCGGTATCTTTCAAACGCTTGTGGTTGATTTAAAATACGACTCTATTAAGGGGAAAACGGAACGAATCATTTTATGTCATATATAGCTATATAGTTAAAGAGACCGCTACAGACGTCTTGCTTTACTTTCATGAATTACATCATATTCTCTACCTCTTACTCTTTATTCAATTCGTCCTACGACCGAGGTCCGTCGTCTGTTTTACATCCGTTAATGATTCTTGTCTCTCGGTATCGTTATTTTTGAGAAGTACTGGGTCACTACAGCGTTTTTGGAGTGGCTGACAAAAATAATAAATTGCTGGCAAGCGGACACTGTGGAAATGACTTGATGGATATTTCTCTAATTTGGCTCTCATTTTAGAAAGTAACATGTCTTACATCGATTGACAAAGAAATAAAAGGCGCTTATTCTTCCGGGATATTTGGTCATATTCTCTTGGTACTTTTTCAGGAGTTTGGGTATGCATTGTTCTTGTGTTCAATATATAGTCATAGGTTTATTGATTTTGAGTTTGGATTATGGTTTTGTTGACAACTTGGTCAGTATTTTTTTGTTTTTATTAACGTGGTCCTTTTTTCCACCTTGTGGAGACATGTCAGTTGATCTTTAATCTACTTGTGGTTCCATATGTCGGTTTACCTCCTTGAATGTTGACATTGATATAATTGTAACAGAGGCCATTTTTCATCTCAATGCCTCCGCTAGGGGTCGAACCCGGGACCCCCGGCTTACTAGCTCAACCAATCGAGTGGTATATTGCGGCTAGTATTTTACCAGGGTTACATACTCCACCTCCAGGAAATAACTCGTCCTCGAGTTTCCAGGGGTTACAGCTACGCCGGTGGGGCATGGCTAAGTACTAATCCCGGTTCCATACATGGGCGCCAATGTAACGGAGGTCATTTTTCATCTCAATGCCTCCGCTAGGTCGAACCCGGGACCCCCGGCTTACTAGTCTAACACTCAACCAATCGAGCTAAAGAAAAGTTCTCTCTAGCCGAGTGGTATATTGCGGCATTTTACCAGGGTTACATATGTGTAACAGGGTCGAAATTGTTAAATTATTAACTATTGTATTGCTTTGTCCGTGAAACGCGCGTTACGTTTTATTAGTCCGAGTTCTTACCGGTTGGCGTATATAACCAGGTATAGCGCGAGATGTATGTAAGCATGTGGAATGTGAGTGAGTTGTGGTCATCGACGGACTGGACATCTGACTCTAGATGGACTTTGACGAAGTTGTTTCATTGGTTGAACGTTTCGTACTGGTCTATATCTTTATTGTTCTTTTGTGTCTCGGTACATTTGAATTTCTTCTTTCAAGGCGTTTAGTTGAATTCCTATGTCATTGGATCGTTCCTTCGTATGTTTGGGTAAGTTTGATAATTTCTCATTTCTTATTGCTTCCCAGGTTTATTTGTCCTGTATGAATGTGTAATTGTGTATTGAATCTATTTTATATCTTTTAAAAAGTGAATGTAATTGAACAATGTATGGTGAACAGTGTTTCATGTATCGCGTACATTTTGTACGGTAATGTTGTCGTGCAATATCTCTTATCATATGGTACGTTTTGTGAATAGCACATATTTGACTGTAAAAGTTAGAATGTGTATTTATATTCTTTGTAGTATTTGTACCTGCTACATGTATTTTGACGACTGAGTGTGAGACATAGGTCTCTGGTGCGAGCTACGTCAAGTGATGTTAATGTTATATCTCTGTAAGTTTTGTTATCTTCACTCTGATTGTTAATTTGTTGAAATTTGAATACGTATTAAAGTCATATGTGTGAGATGTGAGAGAGAGATTGTTATTGTGTTTTAATATATGTTTCAGAACGTCTTCATCATATTCGATGTAATAAATGTTCTAACAATCGAACCCAGCGGCTTTGCCATTATTAGACATTGAATGCCCCGCTACATAATCTGGGAGCGTTGACATTAATATGTTCCTATGATATTGACATCACTTTGGGTTCATCTCCCTGAATATACTCGTGGTTCAATATATGAATTAGTCTCCCTGAATCTACTCTGAATCGTGGTTCCATATTTGGGTAAGTCTCCCTGAATCTACTCGTGATTCCATATTTGGGTAAGTCTCTCTGAATCTACTCGTGTTTCCATATTTGGGTAAGTCTCCCTGAATCTACTCGTGGTTCCATATGAGGGTAAGTCTCCCTGAATCTACTCGTGGTTCCATGTTTGGGTTACTCTCCCTGAATCTACTCGTGGTTCCATGTTTGGGTTACTCTCCCTGAATCTACTCGTGGTTCCATGTTTGGGTTAGTCTCCCTGAATCTACTCGTGGTTCCATGTTTGGGTTACTCTCCCTGAATCTACTCGTGGTTCCATGTTTGGGTTAGTCTCCCTGAATCTACTCGTGGTTCCATGTTTGGGTTAGTCTCCCTGAATCTACTCGTGGTTCCATGTTTGGGTTAGTCTCCCTGAATCTACTCGTGGTTCCATGTTTGGGTTACTCTCCCTGAATCTACTCGTGGTTCCATGTTTTCGTAAGTCTCTCTGAATCTACTCGTGGTTCCATGTTTTCGTAAGTCTCCCTGAATCTACTCGTGGTTCCATGTTTGGGTTGCTCTCCCTGAATCTACTCGTGGTTCCATGTTTGGGTTACTCTCCCTGAATCTACTCGTGGTTCCATGTTTGGGTTACTCTCCCTGAATCTACTCGTGGTTCCATGTTTTCGTAAGTCTCCCTGAATCTACTCGTGGTTCCATGTTTGGGTTGCTCTCCCTGAATCTACTCGTGGTTCCATGTTTGGGTTACTCTCCCTGAATCTACTCGTGGTTCCATATTTGGGTTAGTTATTTGATTATATATATATTGTTTATTATCACATGACATCGGTTCTATCGAAAGTCCCAATCGGCCACCTACATGTATCCAGTTGTGCTCTTTTCTGTTTCGATGATTTTTCGGCTGGTTTTCGGATTTATGTTATCGTCATAATCATAATGCTATCATCTTTGTAGACCGGAAGTCAGTACTTGTGTTAAATAATCAAAGCTTGGTATATTATTTCTGTAGGCTGTCATTGAAAATCTAGAAAATATGGCCCAGACGTTTGAATACAAATGGAATCTTTATAGCTGTTAACGAAAGATAGATATTTAATACCTATACTTTACATGTAATGGGGGATCGATATGTTTCGTCAAAGTGAATATCAGAAAATAAAGATTTCAAATGTCACCTCTGTAAGCCTTGAAAGTTCCCAAATTAACAGTTGACAACTTGTGAAACATACTATTTCAAACAACACGTATAAATTTTTTTTACAATATTTGTCATTTCTTTGAAGTTGCATCATGTAAGTGCATGAAATGATAAATATTCAAATTTTGTTATTCAAATTTCTATGTATCACCAGACAAGTTGTAAACATAACAAAGATCAAGAGACGAACTTTTATAGAGAGATATATATAACAGATGGTGGTAGTGTAATGACACTGGTGATTTAGTTTGAGTGGATCATGTCCACTCTTGCGATACTTGTACAGGTCAGTGGCCTGGTCGTCGCGTCCATGTCGGATCCAGGTAACGTTTACGATTTTCTTTCGCTTTTATACACACTGGTCTCAAATTGTGCAAACAAATTAACGAATTTTTTTCTTTCCATTTGAAAATCGTGAATTTTAAATTCGTGATGTGATAAAATGTAATGTGGTGTATGAAGATTTCATATGGTAGTAAATGAAGGATGCTTCAAAATATAACAAGTGCTAACTGTAGCTATAAGATACATTATTAGAATTTCAGCATTATAACGAAAACTGTATGGCACAAATTTTTACCTCTACATTTACTGTTTTATATAAGTAAACTATCAGAGAAGAACGCTGAGGAAATGCTGAATAGGTGATATAATATGAAAAATAGGATTAGTTGACGAGGAAAATAACACAAAGCAGCAGGAAATCGCTGGCAAGAAAATAATGAGTAAACTTATTGCATTCAAGGATAGTTCGAGGTCTGTAAAACATCTGTAGATGACGGCTGGAGAATCTATACGGTTCCGAGATATTATCACTCTCCTTTAGAAAGAGACTGTGGATTACACGATATTCCATTTTTAGAGAAAATGTTTAAATTAACAGACATGTTCAGCAGAGAAACAAAAAGTATAATGAAGTTTGTCTATATAACTAATTTTACTGCGTGTTGTGTTATTAACATAATTTTACTTATTATGTGTGTGTGTGAAATATATCGGTCTATCATTAACAAATCGAGTCGGTGAGATGACCAATAGCCCAGCAGGCATTTTACGTCGGATTTGGACTTAATCCTGACGTCAGGATTACGTCAAATAATGGTCAGAAATGAAAGTAATATTGACGTAAATGTCTGATATCTATATTATGTCAGTATTTTACGTCAAATTTACGTCGGATTTGGACTTCATCCTGACGTCAGGATTATGTCAAATAATGGTCAGAAATGAAAGTAATATTGACGTAAATGTCTGACATCTATATTATGTCAGTATTTTACGTCAAATTTACGTCGGATTTGGACTTCATCCTGACGTCAGGATTACGTCAAATAATGGTCAGAAATGAAAGTAATATTGACGTAAATGTCTGACATCTATATTACGTCAGTATTTTACGTCAGATTTACGTCATTTATTAGTCAGAATTGGTCAGAATCTGACTTCAGATGCGTTAGGTTGCGGATGCTTTGATGAATTAAAAAGTAATATTAATAATATAAATCAAAATATAGTTCCTCTTACAAATTTTATTTATAGCATAATTGCACAAAAAATCATATATGTATCATGACAATAATCAACAAATTTACAAAAATGACAAGAGCGACAAAAGAAATTATTCATGACATGATCTTCATTGTTTAAATATAACAAAACTGTTCTTAAAGACAATAAAAACAAGCTTCTGTATATATGAACTCTCGTGTGTAAATTTTCTATCAAAGTCATTATTTTAACAAATGCACAATAGAAACAAAATATTCATTTTCTTTTCAAGATTTTACAATAAAACCTAATTTATAAATACATACACAAAAAGCAACCATGAAACATTCCAAATGCACAAATTACAAAATGTTTGAAACATAAAATGTTCATATCTATTCACTGTTAGAGTGAGCCCCTAACAAAATTAATGTATATTTTATTATAATACCGGTAACCCTTCTTAAAATTAAGATTTGAATACCATATTTCCCATGAAAAGTTGACAATGTTTTTCCCAATACATGAATGTCACAATATGTTACAAGAAGGACTTCAAATTATTAAATACAAATAAGAGGAGATAATAAAAGAGGAAGTTTTCCATGAAACTTTATGCCTGAAAATAGGTTTGCAATATCAAATATTGATTGTTGGTACAGAGATTCATGTAAATAAATGTTGATAACATTATTTACTGGTGTCTTCCTCCTCCTCCACTTCTCCTGTCGGGCACATGTTTTAATGTGTACCCGATCACTGCTTCCAGGTCAGCGTCTCTGCAGTCTGTACACCTTTGTGTGCTTTCTGAAGGGATCAATGCAATAGATCTTAATACTAATGTAACATTTGTTGTTCTTTATTTTTTTCTAGTATTGCATTTAATGTTAAAAAATATTGCAATGGGGAAGAAAATTTATTCCTTTAAAGATTTAAAGAAGAATGTAGAATATGAATATTCTACCCAAGGTGAAGAAGTTTGGGTTATAACTTTTTTTTCAATTTCAAAATATTTTATTGTTAAAAAATAGTATACATAACAAAATATATAACATATTATAAATAAATAGTCTAAACTTAGTATTAACAATGGGATTAAGTCTTTTCCCAAATGATACCGGTATATTTCAAATTAATTAATATATTCAATTTTTTTTAATAATAGGATGGTATTTTTCAGTTTATAATAATAAAGAGAGAATAAAGAAAAGAAAATAAACCACTCACATTCTCACTCCCACACTACATCCACAACTACTTAAGTATACTAAATATTATAACTTTGGATTTGTATGTATATATTATTACTTGTAAATTGAGAATCTTTTAGTTTTTTTTAATAAGAACTAGTATGATAAAGTATAAAACTACTAAATTCATCTGACATTCCAATGATACCATAAAGCAAAACAATAAGGTTAACATTTCCTAATAAATTATATACTGAATTAACATGATGTCTAACATGTGAGTAAAGAGGACACTGGAAGAAAAAGTGTATAGCATCTTCAAAATTTGCACCACACAGGAGCCATTTGGGTTATAACCTTTGAAGCTTCCGTTAAGACCCCAACTTATACACCCTTAGGTAGAATATCCATATCACACATACCTACATTTGTACATTAACTATTTTTCTCTCAAAATATCAGCCAATTTTGTCAAAATATTGTTGTATGCACGGTAAACCTGGTTAAAAAATCCCAAAACAATTCAACTTGTGAAAATGATTTATAGATACGTTATATGAAAATTTTAGCAAAAAAGTGCTGTATCTCTTTGTGTATTCTGCATGGCTAGAAGTGGAGAAAATACTGCTGGTTATTGCATTTCTTTCATTCGAGTTGGTTATTTTTTTTAAGTTACAAAAGATACAAACTTTAGCGAGTTTCTATTATAACTTTTAAAACATAACTAGCCTATCTCGAGTGAAAGAAATACCGTACCGGTGGCCACGAGTTGTATAACCTCGTGTAATCGGTTTCCACCATGATTTTTTAAACAGTTAAAAAGTCAACAAAAAACAAAAGTAAAATTATAACGGTGCAAATACGGACATTGAGTGATAAACCAACTCACCTTTTCCGAGAATGAAGCAAAATAAACCAGCTGTAGACAGAAATCCAAAAGTAAATGTAAAAAATTCAAAAACCGATGTGACCTCGTTTCCCGCCGTAACACTCGGCGCCCGCTAGAAATTTAAAATGACAGGAAGTATGAACGAACTACTTCGGTGATAATATTCATATCGTTCCATATTTTACTAAAAGTAGTTGAATTTTTAAATTAAAGCATCAAATAGCCAACAAAAGCTTTTTGTTGACACAGAACAATTTCTTATCGCGTAGATGTATTTGTGATGATTTTATTTTTCGAAATTTCGATGTGACATTAAAGGGAGGTAACAAGAGAAAAAAAACCCACCGGCTTCTGGTGATGTATTTAGGGATCTGGATTTTAATCAGATTGACATCAACCGCAATATATACCAAGATATTTTTTTCATTTATACAGCTTGGTTAAAATTATGAAGCTGTAGAAAGAACTGCTTAATGAATGATAAAGAGTATCATATCACACGAATGTTGTTTCAATCATGACAAAACTAGAACTGAAGGGGCGGGAGGTGGGACAAGCAGTATTTTCTGTAACAGTACGCTTACCCGAGATCGTTTCTGAAATCAAAATCAACATTTTGTGAACATTTTATTTTCGTCAGGTTTTCTGGCCACTTGACGTACATCTGAAGTTTTACTTCTGACATCAATTTGACGTCAGGATATTTACGTCAGATCCTCGTCAAATACTCGTCAATGACGTCCTGACCATCATTTGACGAAAATATGACGTAAATTTGACGTACAATGCCTGCTGGGAGCGGACGGACACTTTTTAATTCCTTTATGTTCAAAAGTGGTACACTTCGTTGAGGTATTTCCACAAGTGATCGAATGTGTATCTTTTAAACACCAGCAACCGTCAACGGTCGCACAGATTAAAGCACTTTTTATTCTTCAAAAGTGTAACGTATGATATATTTAACTGTACACTCTTATTCAGTTTTACAGTTTAAGGTGTACCACGGTACATTTTCAGCTGACCGAAAGCGGTCAAAGGTCAATTGATGATATTATTTTGTGTTGAACAATGCTATAACAAAAACAGGTGGAACTTATTGATTCGTTTAATGAGGTACCCAAAGGGAAAACAGAATCAATTGATATTGAACATTTTTGTAATTAGAATAAAATTGTCTTTCAACTGGATATGACAACAGGAACAATGTTTTAGATTTAATGAGGTACCCAAAGGGAAATAGAATAAGTTGATATTTAACATTGTAATTAGAATAAGATTGTCTTTTCAACTGGATATGATAACAGGAACAATGTTTTAAATCGGAATTCTTCTCTCTGTATCATTGGTTGCTGAACAGATATAGCAATCACAATTTCGGAAGAATGGAAACGAGTGTTAACAAGTGAAAAATGTCATGGTAAAGCTATGTTGATTCAAAACAACAGACCTGTTTCCCCACAGCCATTCATGCCAACAGTAACTAAATACTAACGGATCCAATGGATGTTTCTTTGTGTAACCAGAGTCCGTTTTCGACTGTAACTGCAGGACAAATGCACATCCAAATTTGTACATAAAGCATTAAAGAGCGAGACTCACTCCGTTATAGATATTTTTTTCATATTTCATTGACTGGAAATGTTGTTGTATACTAATAGATAATGCATAAATAAAGACTTGTATACTGTTTCGAACTTGAAATTGAAAGGGTACCGAAGATATCGATGTCAGAATTAGTCTCATTAATCAACACTAGGATATGAATATTGATGAGTAAAAGTCACATGATACGTGCAGACGCGGTCAGAACCAAAACAAAAATGGAGGACATGTGACATCGCTTGTAAAGAGATTTTATCGATAAAATAAAAAAATAACTATATATTCTGTATGGAAATCACTTAACGTATGTATTGATAAGATCTTTCAATACTTAGATATGACACAAAAACGTGCAGATTACTAGAAAAACTACGATTAATTGCAAAGAGGCCCTCAAATATAGAACACCGCGAAACGGATCTATCTAAAGCGAATATTCGATGATAAGAGTATTTATGAACATGATTTTGGAGTGATGCTACACGAGAGAGCCAAACTGAGAGCGATACCGAATATGAACCAGCCACCTTCCTTCTTTTGGCCTCAGAGTCCGTCAAAACACGTTTTCTTCCCCGCTTCCCTCCCACGCTTTCTGCCATGTTGGAAGACGGCAGATTTATTTACAGTTCTTTGCGCATGCGTCAGAGGGCAGGACTTCCCTCATAATTATGAATTAGCACTGAGTCGTTTCGAATTCTTTTAAAAAATTATTTATTACGTTAGATTAGTAGCGATTTACTTTAAAATTGCGGTATTACAGGGTTAGTCAGAAGTTTTGCTACCCGAGAAAAATAGAAAATCAAGATTTATTTATATATACTAATATTGGTCGAGGAGTGGGTCTGGATTTTTAAAGTGTATCATAGTAAACTTTTAAACATAAAAATAACGAAGATTATCCAGTTGCTATCAGCCGCCATGAAAAATGAGGGTAGAACCGTCTAAGAATTTTAGTCGTCTTCTGTGAACATATATGTGTTTTGATTGATGCATGTGAATTTTGTTTCAGATTCCTGTCATGACGTGGCTGTGGTGGGAGGGGGAGTGGGAGGGGCGTACACAGTATGGCGACTTCGTAACCAGGGACTCCGTGTCGGTTTATACGAGTTCTCGGACCGATTGGGTGGCAGATACCACACACACACTTTCCCACAAGCTCCGGACGTCCCGGTTGAACTAGGAGCAATGAGATTCAATAAGGAAAAACATCCAGTTTTGTATCGTACCACTCAGAAGGTCGGATTAAAGACAGAGTTATCTGTAGGTCCAAATCCTTTGACGAATAAGGGTGCTTTGTTCTACCTTAGGGGTCGATACCTCCGTAAGGATGACTTTAAGGGAGACCACGTGCCCTACAATCTACGTCCACATGAGAGACGTGGAATACACGAAATTTACAGGTAGGAAGTTAAAATTTACAGGTTGTGGATATCTGGTACTAGAACGCATGACTTTGTATAATGTGACAAAACAGAAACATGGAGTACATGCCGAAGAATATACCTGATATCACTGTTTCGTTCCTTTCGGTCGAAACGGATCTTTTCGGGTGGATGGTACTTTCCCACAAGCGAGCCGGGAGCCATGTTCAATACCGAAGTAAATCAAGCATGTACCATACCGCGCAAAAAGTTGAATTAAAGAGTTATTTTAAGTGGTTATCAAACAGGTGATGCATTGTTCTGAAAGAACGGTCTCTCAGGGATGAAGACATTCGAGAGAAAAGCGCCCTGTACAACCTATATCCACGTAATGGACTAGGGGTGATAATATCTATACTAGGCATTGGTACAAGGATAAATATCAGACAAAAACGTGTTAATTGTGATTAAATTGTAAACTCATCAGGATAGGGAAAATAGGGAAATCGTTCGTTTGCAATGTTGTCCATTTTAAGCGGACGAATGTATACGGATTTTATAAACAGTTTTCCATCTTCATTACAGAGAAAATGACTCGTGAAACTATTTCGTTTCGTATCTCTGATTTATTCTTTGTTATCGGCTTGTTTTTCCACTTGAGTTCTGTAGTTTTTAGTAACAATCTATTTTTTAATTTATCAACAGGACAAAAATATGTTGTTTCAGGTATTTAATACAGCACACTAACTTCAGCGGAAATATCTCTTCAATTGACCAGGAACAGCCATACCTTATTTCAGAAGATGGTGTTAAATTGGAACACCAGACGTAAGTAGGACTCAATGCTTTGGTATCGTATTAATATATATATGTTTTATTTATTTTACAACCAAAGCGAAAGAGTTATGTCATTTGAATCACTCTTGTTAGCCCGGCTAGAAGCGATCGAAGAGTCTTATAGTGTGAGGAAACTAGATAATATGTGAAAATGCAACACCTTCATTGCTGCAGATAAAAATTACCAAATGATTCTTCGGGTCCAATCTGGAAAACGAACGCCCGTTACTTCGGTGAAGTACCTACCCATAATTGTATAGATATGAACTAGTATGATATTTGTAACAGAATTTGATAGACCAACATTGGATCACGTCACACATTTGTTGGAGAACCAGCCAGATGTAGCGAAAGCCGATATTTTGTCTCTAAACAGAAAATCACATACTTAGCGTTTTGCTCACTCTTCCTAACGTGCTTATTGAGCGTTTAGTGTGTGTGTGATACTCATACATATGGATGAGGTGTATACTTTAAGCGGGATGATATTTTAAGTCCCGTGTGATGAGAAATCGTGCTCTAACTGTCTAACTGTATACTTCTCACCTCCCACAAACAGAAAGGACGAGAGAAAAAAACTCTCGGCTTCATACCCAGTAATTTACCTGTAGGTGAGTACTTCTCGGCACCTGGAAAGTCTTCGATCGTTTCTTGCATCAGTATGTCATAATCTTTTTTAACAGACACGAGACATACTTTACATTACTTTTTAACTCCTCTTCTTCTTACAGATTTGTTACCACAGTCAATTTGCACTCAACCCCTTTTAAGGTCATATGATTCTGATAATCTATGATGGGGATTAGCTGGGTACATGACTGTGGTATACAGTGATTTATTGCCTACACTTTTTCATTTAAGAGGTGTGAAGTATGCAAGTTAGGTTTACATGTGCTTGAAGTGGTCGGTCAATGCCACTGACTTTGAGCAGGTTTGGTTTAGCTTGTATGAACTGATTTGCTCCCAGAGGAATGACCACTTGCAGCTGATTATGCTTCGATGTTGTCCTGTTACTTTTTGACAACCGTCTTACGAAGCAGGAACGTGGCCCTGTTGTTACAATATTTCTATAGGTTTTAATTGTCTATTTGCCCCGATATCCTTATTGTGCTGATGGTACATTCGCTTATTCACGCTTCCCTCCTAATCATTGTTAGTTCTCTAATTTAGGAGGATATTCCCCACGCAACCACTGATAAGTCCTCTAATTTCAGAAGGGTATTCCCACGCAACCACTGATAAGTCCTTTAATTTCAGAATGGTATTCCTATGCAACCTCTGACAGTCCTCTAACTTCTTCGTCAGTCTTGTAAGGTGTTTAAGCGGAACATTTAGGGATTATCGCTGTAGTGGTGATCGGAGAAGGCATTAAACGAGTGTTGATACAAAGCTTTGTTGATGTGTAATCAAATACATATGTAACCTGAGTAAGGTCTCTTTGAAGCTCAATACCATAACAGTGCGTTACTTCAATGTACCCTGGTGGTTAAGACGAGAGACTGAATAAGATACAACTTTAGGTACGGCGAGGACATATACGAGAAAAGATTTTCTTTACTTCATACTTTTTTGCTTTAACAGGATTCAGGAGTTCCTGAGGAAATACCTCAGCACAGAAGCAGTGGAAATGGTATCAAATGTGATAAAGACATTCTTATACAATAGGTCAGCTGCCTCAGTAATGAAGTACATTATAAGTCATGAAAAGTTTGCCGGCTACGATTGGTTGAAAATATCAGGAGGTATGCAACAACTTCCTCTGAAGCTTGTGGAGCAATTCCTGTCCGCAGGCATGTGAGTATCTAATGTTTTATGACCTGTGTTCATACCAGTGATTTCTTTTCTGAAACACTTGTCTTTCACAGCTCTACTTAGACCAGCAGTAAGTATTAGTGTAAGAATAGATTATATCTCACGACCGAAGGGAAAACTTGATATATATAATCGTAGACATATCTGTCATGGGGGTCATGGTGGCATACGTCAATACAAATCTAGAATTAGATAAAGACAAATAACCAATCAAACTGCATCGTAGAGTTGTTTTGTCCTTTTTGCATATTCAATTCTACCGCCTTCTATCTCGGAGAATGACACACCAATTGATTGTGCTTACAATACAAAACAGTAGTGCCAAATAACAATTAACTGCATCCTGCATCTGTTCCGACCTGCTAAGACTTGTCAATGACGCCAAGGGCCTAAACTTTAAAGCCTAGGAGGCGACTGAGGACGTCCAAAATGATCAAAAGAATTGTCAAAATCCAGGTAGTGAAGTCACTAGCCCCATATTTCTTCAATTTGGTTTTTTTAATTTTTCGTTTCAGATTATTTTATTGTCGTGGTTTTAAAAACAAAAGGAATAAATTCTTTAAAAAGACGTCTGGTATTAGTAATGAATCGCTGAATCAACTCAAGAATGTAATTGTTCGTAACTGTATCTAGCTCACGGAAACCATTTAGAAATGTTTGAATGTTTAAAGGAATACGATCGCTCAGATCAGAAAGAGAGTTGTCTTTGGTCAGTGAAAAGAGGACAATGGAGAAAGAAACGAGAACAATCATCATAAAATCATATTAATTTTCCTGTCTCTATTAGAAGTTTGAAGTTATCTAATAGTTTCAAAAGTACAAGTGTATTTTCTGAACCATGTTGATTCGGAACCGTGCAGCTATTTCACGGAATTACAAAGTGTCTTGCAGGTCACGGCAAGCCTCGGGGATTAAAAGTCCACCAGCAGCCGTGGCTACCACCTGCAAGGTTAGAAGGGATTTTATTGTTGACAATATTGAAAACATGATTGTGTTATTTAACATTTTATAGGACACGGAGAAAACTCCTTGTGGAAAATCTAACCCCAGCGTCTGTAAGTCTACCTATGAAGGTCATCGTGTTAATGATTATTCCTCTGCTGTTTATGAATCATGCTTTGTTCTTGTGTAATATGTAATTACATCGAATGCACAAGTAATGTATGGGGCATACCTGACTCTTTCTCGTCTACTTATATGTTCTGTAAAACAGCCAGAGGATGAGAGGATACTCCAAGTATATTTAACAAAGAACAATAACACTTTGTTCTACATAAATCGTTCTTAGAATGAGAGCAGCATTCACTACCTCCATTTCACAACAGTCATGGTTATGAGAACAGCTATCACTGTCTCTTTATCCCACGTTCTGAGGATAAGATAAGCTCTCTGTTTATTTGTTCTACACAGAACAAGTATTGATATGAGAGAAGCTCTCTGTTTATTTGTTCTACGCAGAACAAGTACTGATATGAGAGAAGCTCTCTGTCTATTTGTTCTACACAGAACAAGTATTGATATGAGAGAAGCTCTCTGTCTATTTGTTCTACGCAGAACAAGTATTAAGATGAGAGAAGCTCTCTGTCTATCTGTTCTACGCAGAACAAGTATTAAGATGAGAGAAGCTCTCTGTCTATTTGTTCTACGCAGAACAAGTATTGATATGAGAGAAGCTCTCTGTCTATTTGTTCTACGCAGAACAAGTATTGATATGAGAGAAGCTCTCTGTCTATTTGTTCTACACAGAACAAGTATCAAGATGAGAGAAGCTCTCTGTCTATTTGTTCTACACAGAACAAGTATTAAGATGAGAGAAGCTCTCTGTCTATTTGTTCTACGCAGAACAAGTATTAAGATGAGAGAAGCTCTCTGTCTATTTGTTCTACACAGAACAAGTATTAAGATGAGAGAAGCTCTAACTCTCTTTGTCGGAAATTGTGAGAAAGAAGAATACAATAAAACTGACTTTAACTACACTAATCAATACTCGAAATGTCGTTCGCTTTTCTGCATTTTGTTTTCAAGGAACTTTTCTAACTAGTAGCCATTTTCTTTGTAGGAAGCATCATCTCCATCTTAACCACAAGCTGGTCAGTATCTCAACAACGGGGAACATGAATATTCTAAAGTTTGTGACGACAAGAACGATCGACGGAGAAACACGTCCGAATGATCAGTTTGTCACTGTTTGTAGCAGAAAGGTGATACTAGCTATTCCTACCCCTGCTTTGCTTCATATAAACTGGAAAGTTTTACAGAAACGACATATTCAGGCAAGTTTGGACACCGTGAGCTACCATTATGCAGTTAAATTGTATTTAGTGTATGATCGCCATTGGTGGAAAGGCATCTCGAATAAATTTAAGTCAATCTGTGGAAGTTTGAATCCATATTGTTATCGGCAAAATTACTGTTGGCCAAAGCAAGCCACGCGACTCTACTGTTGCTGGTGTGACGCATATGGACAGTACATGAGGTATAATTCCGACCTGCCTCTGGACAGGACGATAGATTTCGGGGTATCTAAAGAGACAGGAGCAGCTGTTTTGTTAGTTGCGTTCTCTGTACACGATATATGGAACGAGCTACAGAAGCACGGTGATTACTTGTGGGCGATAAATCAGAGTGTTTCAAGTGAAGTAGTGCGCCACGCCCATCTGTACCTGGCGAGGCAATACCAGATCCCCGTTAGAAGCATTCCTGCCCCCATCGGTGGTCTAATATCTCAGTGGGATGATTACCCTTACGAAGGGTCCTACTCAAGCTGGAAAATAGGTGTCGAATGGAGGCAGGTCTGGGAAATTATCCACAGACCTTCTATGACCGATGACATTTTTCTCGCATCGGGAACCTACTGGGATTATGATTCTGATATATGGACAGAAAGTTGCCTGGAGGCTATTGATGAAATAATGTACAGATATTTCTGAAATGTTTCCATATCTAGTTTCTAAATTTCATCAACATACTAATCTAAATATATATTATCTTAAGAATAGGGTCTGCTGTATACCACTGCATGTTTGTATGGGGCGACTAATCGTGGGCCGCGATAGAAACGGAGTATTTCCCTGAGATTTCTGTCTTTTCCTTTCTTTTCTGTCTGTTCTTTCTGTCTTTGCTTTGTTTTCCAATTTTGATGTCCTGCTTTACAATTGTCCTAAATGTCCACGATCGTTGCATTGGCATTATACTCTATAAAGTAAATAATGACGTTTTATACCATAGCAAATATTTCCAAAGTCCTAAAGATTTCTTTTACATCGACCCAGGCGTGGGTCGCTTGTTTCACTCACTTTATATAGGGTCGGAGTTCTGACGTTTATCGACCCCAGACCGGTATAAAAAAGTCGAGAGAATGACTATTATTGTCAATATTCGCTGACATCTGTGACATACCTTAATTGCCATTTTATGTTGTTGTTTCACGACTCTGCAAACCTTTTTATGTTACAATAGATTGTGCCATAAATTGCATACGTTAGATGTCAAACTCTGCAGCCTAATATAGCGCGCGTTCTGACTTTTCATTATTTATATTCTGCGCCCTATATCGTGTGTAATTATGGAAGTGCAAAATAGGCAAATTGATACATGGAGTTTTTATACAGGTCACTCGGTACTACAAACATATTTCATAATATTCTGTATGGGTATATATATGTCTTGATTTAAAAAAAACCGTCAGCGTTCTTTACCCATTGGCGATATTTCGTCGAAAATCAAAATAAAAAACTGAACAGTCACGGGGTATCAAAAATGGGTACGAAAATCGATTCTCGGAATGATGGCGCTCTTGAGCATTTGTACTCCTTGAATTCTTTTTGATATTAAATAAGTAAAGCATTTGGTAGGGTTTGGCATGATGGTCTTATTTATGAAAAAAAATATGGCATCAGCATAAATTTAACATGGTAAATTGGTTTTCATGGCACCTAACTGATAGGAGATATATTGGTTAAAATGGATTCAAATCGAACTGGAAAACTTAGCAGGCAGGGGTACCCCAAGGATCAGTTCAAGGTCCACGCTTGTTTTCATTATATATTAATGACATCAGTGATGAATTCGTCTAATGTAAAAAAATATGTTTACCGACGATACGTCCCTGTATGATCTGATTGATGAAAACGGACAAGAAATTGCTAATACCCATATTAATGATATGAGAAAAATTTTATTTGGGCCAAACATTTGGAAATCATTTTCATTACTGATAAGTGTTAGTCCCTTCTTTTGATTCCAAACCGGATTGATTCTGAAATTTTACTTCCTTATATATATTTCAACAACTTAGTTATTAAAATGTTCGTAGTCATAATCACTTTGGTCTATTTTTCAACAGCCATGTTTACTGGTCTTATCATGTAGGTCATATAGCTATGAAAAAAAGATTACAAAAGAATGAATATACGTAAAATGCTGAAATATGCATCGACAAAACTTCGCTGAGAACTTACTGAATTACCACAGAAAACGTATGCCTCTCTATGTTTTTTAATTGTTTAAATTAACATGTGTGAGTGGTTTTTTTCCGTGATGTCTACCTGACAATTTCATGTGTTCTTTAGTCAATCAATCAATCAATCATTCTTTAGTAATGACATATGGTTGTTATGTAAATACTTAAATACTAACAGATATGTTTATATAACTACTACATACCATCGGACATAAAATGCATCTTTAGCTGGAGTAAGGAACCCTAGGAGACTTAATATACATATTAGTAGACTATACCCGGCATGGGGAATCCATACAATATCTCCATCAAATGAATTATCGTCTGATGCTTTTTTTCAAAGAAAATTATTTAAATGCTGTACATGAATATTGGGAATAGATGGCACATGGCAGTGAATAAAGAAGCAGCAGAGTTATGCTGACTATCCATAGGACGTTTACGAAGTCTTTACCACACGGTATATTACTGGTCAGGCTCCATATGTCATGTAGAAATATGTGAACCTTTCGTAGTTCCTTCCTTGTCAATGGGTTCGTGGTGTTTGTAACGTCAATCCCACCATCTCCTTTATATAACTGTGCCTCGTCCGTCTGAATATTTGAAATAATTTCTACTTTCGGTATTTTATGATCTCCGAGGATATCCCACGTCTAGGCAGGTCAGATTTTGCATTGCTAGAGTTCTTGTTAAATATTCCCATAAAATGATATATGGTATCATGAAATATAGCAATCGGTAAGCTTTGGTGTAGAAATGATGTCGTTAGCTGGCGGCTTTGGGAAAGATATACACGAAGTTCTGATAAACAAAACAGGAAAACGACAGTCTCTGCTGTGACCCTGGTGGCCTGTCTCGTGTCAGGTTATTCGCAAGGTATGATGTTACAAGCATATCGGTATTATCTCTACTACGGTAGGTGTATGGATATTTTATTCAAGACTGTTTACTCAATGAAGATTAATGAAGTTTCTTTTTTATTTCAAGGCTGTTATTTGACGGATAAAATCAAACGATTAATACATTTATTGTGTACAGTATTCTCGAAGAAAGGACCCGCCAGTTCAAGGAATAAAATATTTCTAAACGTATGTCAACAGCAGAAGATACAGGTAGATGATACATTGTACTTACACAACGTGTAAAACAAAACACATTGCAGTAGAAAGCTTGAAGTATTTTAGTTAGAAACACTTTTAACTTTAGTTTTTTTCTATTCAGAATAAAATTGCATCGTCCTTCTAAAACTCTTCAGTGATAAGATGAAAAGTGAGAACTTCAAACAAGACAGATTTTTCTCTAAGTATTATCATCAAAATCTCGTCCGACAGGTAGCATTGCTGATCTGTTTACAATGCAAACACATAATGAGACCCACTTTCCTACTAAATCTGTGAATGTCTTGGTATTGTCCAACAGTATACAATGTAACGCCTGTATTCGAATGTAGCCCTCTTAATTTTACATTGATACATCTCAGATCCAGCTGACTATGTCTATTGAGAAATTTTATTATGAAACGTGTATACGGCAGTCATGATAAAGATAATCTCTTGGCATTCATCATGAGACATCTAGAACGGACCATGTCTTCAGCCTTATACCTCGCTATTTTTGACTGCTGGGATAAATTGATAATAGAAAGATTTGCTCCCGAGAATCTGTGGAATATGTGTCATTCAAGCGAAGATATTAATGGGATGGGATTAGTGGGATGGAGCAGTGGTAACGCACTTGTCCTTGATTTAAACGTATGGGGTTCGATTTCCCGAACGGACGTGAAGAGATATGTCATCTGCCCAACCACGTGGGTTTTCTCCGCGTACTCGGATTTCCACCCACAATAAGACTCCTTGCGCACTTCTGTTGTGTACAGAGACACAAAAACTAGCATGGCTGCTTGTAGTTTCGTTTTATTCAACTTCGAACAAACGCTTTACCGACAATATATTACTTGACTAGATTACTTGACTAGATAGATCAAATTCAGTAACCGAACCATTGAGATACATGACATCCTTCCCTTTAAGCTAAATCTAGAAATGTAATAAGATCAAATACATCTGAAGTTAATTCAATATTATATATGCAATTTAAGAATGAAATTGGATTATACTTGCAATCAACTTATAAACTCTTGAAATTCACTTATGGATGAAATGTATTTACTATTTACTGAAAATCATTATTTGTATTTAATTCACTTGAATGAAATTGTTAGTCCATTATTATCAAAGTCAGTATATATTTCATAGACTGTATCACTGTAATTTGTATGAAAGAATCAATTAAACAAATTTGATTAAATTCGAATAAAATGCAACACACTGCATTACTTATGAATAACTTTTGAAAGTGTCAACACTTAGTATAACTAACTAACTAACTAACTAACTAACTAACTAACTAACTAAAATGTCACTATTTTACTAAGCAGTAAAACTAAACTGAACTAGCTAACTGAATGATTCACGACACATAGTCACAGAGTTTTCTTGGGGGCACCACAACCCTTCCAGATCTTGTACATTTTTGAAGTGATGGTTCAAAGTTAGGTTTTGGAGAAATCAGTTGTTCAGAACTCTGTCTCACAGAGTTTGGTTTATCCACCAACACAGTTTCTGTTGAAGCCTTTTCTGGAGTGTCGAATGTTGTTAGTGGAGGTGGCTCCATAGACGGTTCCTCGGTTCGAATCTGAATGTCTGCTTTTGTTGGTCTGATATGTTTCCGGTTCCGACGGTATTTCCGGCCATTGGAGTTTTCCAAGATGTACGATTTTGGATTTTTGTGTTTTCCAGACACCGTTGCAGGAATCCAGGAATTGTTGTGGTTCATAATAACTTTGTCACCAGTGTTTAGTGGTTTCAACTCTGGACCACTATGTCGATCAAAGAACATTTTATGTTTCGACTGTCTGAGTTTAAGCCGTTTCTTGATTTCCTGTCCGTTTGAGACCTCCTGAGATGTGAGTAATGGGTAGGTTGTAGGGAGATCTGTTTTAAGACGCCTTCCATAAAACATCTGAGCAGGGGAAAGTCCAATTTCCTCCATAGTAGTGTTTCTATATGCAAGTAAAGCCAAATACGGATCAGATGCCTTTTTGATAAGGTTTTTCACTGTCTGCACTATCCTTTCCGCTTGTCCATTGGACTGTGCATAGTGCGGAGATGACGTCGGATGTATGAAGCCGTATTCCTTCGCGAATGTGGCGAATGCATCACTCGAGAATTGTGGACCGTTATCTGTGATAAGCTTGTCTACAATGCCATTCCTTGAAAACTGACTCTTCAAGTAGTGTATTGTGTTGTTACTACTGAGGTTATCAAGCTTAGCGACTTCAGGCCACTTGGAGAAGTTGTCAACGGTTACCATGTAGTTGTGACCTTTGAACTCAAAGATGTCGGCTGATACTACTGACCACGGACGGTCAGGTATTTCTGTTTCTGTTAGTGGTTCCTTTGGGTTTCTCGCGAGATGTTGAGCACACGTCGAACATTTCGCAACAGTTTCCTCAACTTCTGTTGACATTCCTGGCCAGTACATAACTTCTCGGGCTCTACTCTTACATTTCACAATTCCCATGTGAGAGTTATGTATAGTTTTCAGCATTTCCTTGCGCATTGGCTTTGGAACAACCAGCTTATGGTTCTTGAAGAGTAGACCATCTACAGACGAAATTTCATCACGACATGACCAATAATGACGAGCAGACACTGGCACTTGTTCCTTGGTGTCTGGCCACCCTTTCAGAACAATGTCTTGTAACACCTTAAGTTCTTCATCTTCTGCTGTCGTTTGTTGAAACTTTCTGTACTTTTCCGGAGACACAGGAAGATACTGTAGCAGATGAACTTCATTGACAGTTAGATCCGGAATTAGATCCTCATTGGTTTCCTTCAAGAACGCACGGCTAAGCGTATCTGCCAGGAACATGGTTTTCCCAGGTTTTAACACAACGTCAAGATCATATTTCTGTAAAGTAATTTCTGTAGCCTTGGCGGGGCTTGTAGGAGAGGTTTTCTGCAGATCGACTGCAGTGGCTTATGGTCGCTTTCCACAGTGACTTTCCTACCGAACACATATTGGTGGAACTTTGTACACCCGAACACAATTGCCAAAGTCTCCTTTTCAATTTGCGCGTAGTTTTGTTGCGTCTTAGTTAAGGCTCGTGAAGCGTACGCAATAGGTTTTTCTTCCTGAACGAGAGCTGCTCCCAGTCCTTTAGAACTTGCGTCCACGGTGAGTGTAAGGGGTTTCTTAGGGTCATAATAACTGAGTACTGGAGCATTCGTGACCATTTGTTTCAGCTTCTGGAAACTTTGCTCTTGTTCACTTTCCCAGTGCCATAACGTTTGTTTTTCCAACAGTTGTCTCGAGAGGCGCACTAACCTCAGATAGGTTTGGGAGAAATTTGCCTAAGTACTGGATAAAACCCATGAAGGTCACTAGCTCTTGTGTGTTTGTAGGGGGTTCCATTTCTTCAACTGCTCGCACTTTCTCAGTATCAGGCCTCACACCATTTGCTGAAAGTTCATGACCTACGTAAGTGACTCTATCCTTCCTGAAATAGCACTTTTCCTTGCTCAGCTTCAGGTTGTTTTCGCGAATTCGATCCAAAACGCTGAATAGGTTTTTGTCATGGTCCTCCATGTCATGACCCCACACCAGTATGTCGTCTACAATAGCTTCACAACCGGCAAGTCCTTGTACCATATCAGATATGCTTCGTTGGTAAACTTCAGGAGCTGATTTTATGCCGAAAGGAAGTCTCGTGAAACTGTACCGACCATACGGTGTGTTGAAAGTACATAACTTAGCACTCTCATTATCCAGACGGATCTGCCAGAATCCGGATGTTGCATCCAGTTTCGAGAATACCTTCGCATCAGGAATTTGCAATATGACATCCTCAATACACTTCATTGGGTAGTGTTCTCTGCAGATTGCTTGATTCAAGTCTCGTGGGTCGATACAAATGCGTAATTTGCCGTTGGGTTTCAACACCGTCACCATCGAGTTAACCCATTGTGTTGGTTCCTGTTGTTTTATTATTACACCAGTCTTTTCCATGCGGTCCAACTCCGCTTTCACTCTGTCCCTGACTGAGATAGGAATTTTGCGTGGTGCATGAACTACTGGTTCAATGCTTTTGTCAATCTTTATCGAGTGTTCACCTGGCATACAACCCAGACCTTCAAAGAGATCTCCATAGTTATTTTGGATGTCTCTTGGCAGAGTTTTGTAGATTTCTGTAATTTGGTTGACGCGTTGAATAAGGCCCATTTGTTTGCAGGTACTTGCACCTAACACCGGTTTAGCGGGAATGTCCACAACTTGGAATTCAACATTGTCATGTGTTGCCTTTGTATTCGCAGGTAAGTTGTACAGTACCTTTGGTTTCAATTTTGTGACCTGAATAGGACCGTAGTGGGACACACGATGACTCAATTGCGTGATGTTTGTTCATGTCTCTCACCGTCTTCATTGGAAGAACGTTACACATAGCACCTGTATCCAATTGGAAATTCAAGGCTGTGTTGTGTATGTTAATGGTTTCAGACCATTCCAAATCAACTTTGTTAATTTCGACATTGGTTTCCAAGCAACCGACAAATAGTTCATCATCAGACAAAGAATCATCTAGCAGGTGCACGGTTTTACGTTTACTACGACATTTCTTCTCAAAATGATTAAACCCGCCGCATTTGTGACATTGTTTACCTTTCGCTGGGCAAACCTCATGCTGATCACCGTACCCACAACGACCACACAGTTTTTCAGAAAAATGTTTATTCTGTTTATAGGTACCAGCTTGACTTGTGGTATGTTGACTTGTGGTATGTGTTTTTACTGGTTTTCTCACCTCAGGCTTCTGTTTATTTGTGAACTGTCTCCTGGATTTATTTACACTTTGTTTCAAGGCATTTACCTTAACATCTTCACCAGCCATTGCTTTAACTTGAGTGCTTGTTAGTTCATATGTTCTTGCCACATCCATTGCCTTAGCAAGGGTCAAATCGGTACCGACATTAATCAGTTTCTCTCTGATTTTGGGTTTTTTTTACACCAATAACAATGCGATCCCGGACCATCTCATCATTGTCGCCGTAATTACAGTCTTTAACCATAATTTTCAGTTCTGTTACGAATTGGTCAAAAGATTCCCCATCTTTCTGGACCCGACAATGAAACTTGTATCTGTTGTAGATTGTATTTGAGCGTGGTTTTACATACTCTTGGAACTTTGTGTAGTACGTTTCTAACCGTTTACTTTCGTCTTCAGTTAGTGTCCATGTAGTGTAAATGTTACGCCCCTTTTCCCCAACCCAAATCATCAGATACGAACATTTTTCCGGCTCTGTTTTACCCTGTAGCGGACCCGAAAACATGAAGTCGACATGCTGTTTGAAAGCTTTCCACGTGCTCTCGAGGTCGTTGCTTTGCCAATCCATGATCGGCATTGAACCGGCTAACCCTTCCATTCTGGATGTTTATATGGGTCTTACCACCTTTACCAGTCCTTTTTACAGACGTTTGACTATCGATGGGTTCTTTTCCGGTGTTTTAGGCCCACTTCTGACACCATGTTGTGTACAGAGACACAAAAACTAGCATGGCTGCTTGTAGTTTCGTTTTATTCAACTTCGAACAAACGCTTTACCGACAATATATTACTTGACTAGATTACTTGACTAGATAGATCAAATTCAGTAACCAAACCACTGAGATAGATGACAACTTCCTTCCGGGTCAACAAGAGTGATTAACTTAAGGTTTAAGTTTGTTTCACAATTGTTGTAAAATAAAGTCTATACTTACAAACTGTGATGCTTAAGTAATCTTTGGTAATCTTTCCTGGATATTCTAATGTAAACTATTGTCATCTTCTAATATTGCAAAAACGTCATTTTGTTTTCGTTCATTCATATATATTCGTCAAGAAAACAATCTAAACCTTTCCTTTTTTGGGAATAAACTTCTCGAGTCAGCAATATTGTGAATACATATTGTAATGACATGAACTATTATAATAACTGCTCCCTATATAATATCTAAGTAAGGGATGCTCCCCGACAACTTCCGCTTCCGCCATAGTCAGCATGGCTACCACACATGTAAATGACCATCAGACAGAATACAGTCATATCAGTCTTTAAAACGGACTTGTTGAGTTATTGCATGGTGTCAGAAGTAACAGTAAATGTCCAACGTCAAGGATGAGTGATTATTTTCCTGCGCCGAAGCCATTTTCCTTAGATGGGAACATTTCAGAAAGTTGGAAGCGCTGGCTACAACAATATGAGCTATACATGTGTGCCACTGAGAAGGATAAGAAATCTGAGAAACTACAATGTGCCACTCTATTATCGCTGGCAGGAGAGCAAGTTATAGAGCTGGTAGGTACATTTAACTTCGGAGAGGAGGAAAAGGATAAGATAGAACCTTTGAAACAGAAACTTTCTGAATACTGCATTCCGAAAAAGAATGAAACGTATGAGAGACATGTGTTTAATAGCAGGGTACAGAAATCCGGAGAAATATTTGATCAATTTCTAACAGAGCTCAAAGTTCTTTCAAAAGATTGTGGTTTTGGGAATCTGAAGGAAGGTCTGATTCGAGATAGAATTATAGAAGGGATCGGCAAAGATCAAACCCGGGCACGCCTGTTAAGGGAACGCGAGCTGAATCTGGATAAATGCATTGATTTATGTAGAGCCGCGGAAAGAACTGACGTACAAATGAAAGGTATCGTGTCAGAAAACACTACTGAAAAGAAATCCGTAGATTTGATAAAGAAACAGTCTCAAAAGAATCCCAACCAGAGTTCATACAAAGGAAAAGGCCCACGAGTCCCGCAACATAATACATCTCGATGTCAGAAATGTGGAATGGATCATAAAGGAAGTCCAGGTCCAGCTAAGGAAAAAACTTGTTATAAATGTGGTAAAACAGGACATTACCAGAAACTGTGTAGGACAAGAACCAATTTTAACAACAACAATTTGAAAACGAAACCAAAACACCAACAGAAAGTACACTCAGTCGAGACAGATCAACAATTCTTTGTAGATGCAGTACATGACAGCAACAAAACTGATGATTCATGGATAGTTAACATTGATGTCAATGGATGTGCTATACCGATGAAGCTCGACACAGGCTCAGATGTCAACATTATGGGTATTGCAGATTTTAATAGGATCAACAAGCAATGTCATAAAATTAGACTTCACCAGTCAACAGTTAAATTGACAGCCTACAATGGAGGATCTGTCCCAACCAAGGGACAATGTGTACTGGACATAAAATACAAAGGTTTTACAAAGAAAGCGCTGTTTGTCATTGCTAGCAGTGTTGTTAAACCTATCCTAGGTAGAAAGCAGTGTGACAGTATGGGACTTGTCAAACGGGTACTGATGGTGGACAAGGAGGACAGTGTAAAATCACCAGATATTTTCACAGAGTACAAAGATTTATTTGAAGGGCTAGGATGTCTTGCCGACAAAGTAAAGATTAAGTTAAAACCTGATGCAGAACCAGTAGTGGAACCCTGCAGAAAGGTACCATTTGCACTCCACGACCAGTTGAAACAGGAATTAGACAGGATGGAGGAACTACAGGTTATAAAACCTATTGAGGAGCCAACTGAATTTGTAAATTCCATGGTAATTGTACATAAAAGCAATGGAAAGTTGCGTGTTTGCCTGGACCCCAGAAACTTGAATAGGGCTATATGTAGAGAACATTTCAAGTTACCCACTCGTGAAGAAATTATGGCGAAGTTTGCTGGTGCAACAGTCTTTTCAAAGCTTGATGCATCAAGCGGATTTTGGCAACTACAACTGGAGGAAAAAAGTTCCAAATTATGTGCCTTTAATACTCCATATGGTCGATATCGGTTTCTTCGTTTACCATTCGGAATCTCCAGTGCACCAGAGATCTTCCATAGAACTATACACCTTTTGTATGAGAACATGAGGGGCGTGGATACATCCATGGACGATATCATAGTATGGGGAGTTGATCAGGCAGACCATGACAGAAACTTGCGAAACGTGTTAGATAAAACGCGAGAAGCTGGGTTAAAACTACAGCGTGAGAAATGTGAAATTTCTGTGCCCGAGCTAACATTTCTTGGAGATAGAGTTACAAAGAACGGTGTTAAGCCTGACCTCGAAAAGGTCAAAGCTATTCAAGACATGGAAAACCCCAAGTGCAAAAACGATATTCAACGTTTCCAAGGGATGATCAACTACTTAGCGCGTTTTATAAGAGACTTGTCAACGCATACAGCACTCTTGAGAGGTGTGCTAGATAAGAAAAACTGTTGGGAATGGACAGATGTTCATCAGAAATCGTTTGAGAATTTGAAAGAAATTGTCTCAAACAGTCCAGTACTTCAGTACTACGACCCCACAAAGTTGATCAGGATTTCTGCAGACGCAAGTCAGAAAGGACTTGGCGCAGTACTTCTACAAAAGCACAACACCGAGTGGCTCCCTGTTGCGTATGCATCACGGGCATTGACGGACACAGAATCACGATATGCATCGATCGAGCGGGAGGCATTGGCGGTTGTCTATGCATGTGAAAGGTTCCACCAGTATGTGTACGGAGCAAAGTTTGAGGTCGAAACAGACCACAAACCACTATTAGCGATTTTTACAAAAGGTTTAAATGATTGTCCGCCCAGGATACAACGATTCCGACTACGGGTACAAAAATATGACGTAACCTTATTACATACACCAGGAAAGTATATGTACACTGCGGACACGTTGTCGCGAGCTCCAGTTCATGGTGAACAGTCCACAACCGAGAATGACGTTGAGGTATATGTTGATGGAGTCATGGCAAATATTCAAGTCGCAGATCGTAAACTTGAAGAGATACGTGTACAAACACAAAAAGATACAGTGCTCATTAGCTTAAAAAACACCATTATGGATGGATGGCCAGAGAGTCGCACTGACTGTTCTTATGAGATACGACCATTTTGGAACTATAGAGATGAACTGTCAGTGATTAAAGGGATAGTATTCAAGGGATCCAGAGTGGTAATTCCTAAAAATCTCAGGAAAGACATGTTACAGAAAATACATGCTGGACATTTAGGCATGAGCAAATGTAAACAAAGAGCACGCGAAGTGTTATTTTGGCCTAGCATGACTGAGGACATAGAGAATTTGGTGAAAATTTGTGAACCATGTCAAGTTCACCAGAAACAACAGATGGCTGAACCATTATTGTCACACCCAATACCGTCAAGACCATGGCAGAAAGTCTCAACAGACTTGTTTGAACTGGATAGAACCCCATATATTGTTGTCGTAGATGCCTTTTCTGGCTACCCTGAGGTGGTACAACTAACCAATCAAACCTCAACAGCGGTGATCCAAGTCATGAAGACTACTTTTGCTAGATACGGCATACCTGAACAGGTAATGAGTGATAATGGCCCTTGCTATAGTAGCAAGGAGTTTCTTAAATTTGCGGAGGAATGGGATTTTCAGCACGTGACTAGCAGTCCAGGATATCCGAAATCCAATGGTATGGCTGAACGAGCAGTCCAAACTATGAAATCCATTATTCGCAAATGTAAACAAACCAACCAAGATCCACACCTAGGATTATTGGCATACAGAACAACACCTATGGAGAATGGATTATCTCCTGCTGAGATGTTAATGGGTAGACAACTCCGCTGTAATTTGCCCATTGCAACTGGAAAACTAAACAAACCTTTGTCATGTCGTGGAAAGAAAGACAGAGAAAAACACAGAAGTATTATCACGATCGGGTTGCAGTTAAAACGCTTGAACCACTCACAGAAAATACAAAGGTTCGACTTTGTGAACTAGGAAAAAAGAACTGGAGAAAATATGGAACTGTGATTGGTCCGGCAGGACCAAGGTCCTACAAGGTTAAGTTGAATGACAGAACAGTGAGACGAAATAGAAAGGATCTACGTGTAACAGATCCTAACCTTGAACGCGAACTTGATGTGGAACGTGAACCTGATGTTGAACGCGAACCAGAATTTGAAGTTGACTGCAAACCAGAACTTAACCCAGAGCCAGAACTCGGCAATAGTGACATTGAGACGAGTAACATGTACAAAACACGCAGCGGTCGTGTCATTAAAGCCCCCAAAAGGCTGATTGAGGCCTAAAGGAACTTGCCTTGTGTTATAAGACTGTATATATGTTAATGTTTTAGTAGTTGACTAGATAAGATAAATAACACAGAATACAATGGTGTAAAATGAACAATTTTAATTCAATTTGAATCATTTAAAATATTCATCATCTAGTCATATGTGAGCTTAACTAGTTTATATTGAGTTATTGTTAAAGTAGTTAAACCATGTTAGTTATTGTACATCTATTGACTGATTGGTGGCCATGTTTGATATTGTTAATAACATAGATCTTAACTTGAAAAAAGGGAGATGTAATGACATGAACTATTATAATAACTGCTCCCTATATAATATCTAAGTAAGGGATGCTCCCCGACAACTTCCGCTTCCGCCATAGTCAGCATGGCTACCACACATGTAAATGACCATCAGACAGAATACAGTCATATCAGTCTTTAAAACGGACTTGTTGAGTTATTGCACATATCATTTCTCTTCAACAGTGCGGTGAATCAACCATGGTCATGTTTCAGGTCGAATAATTGTAAGCTATAATCCTATGCACAATAAGGCCGAAAATAGTGCGACGAGATGGTAAACAGATTATAGACCAAAACTACACACGTTGGTAACAATAAATTGCAGTCAATTCGGCTTCGCTCTGTATAACACTTGGTTATTAATGTACGAGAATCTGTGGCTCCCCTCGTCCCGGTTTATTACTAGCCCGCTGAGGCGCATCCAAACAGAGAAAGACAACAAAACGGGGCAGTACAAAACAGGGACGAGGGGACCGATATACTGCACGAAAATTGTAATGTTTCATCTGTGACAAGTTAACACCGTGTGGGCACGTCTGTCAATCAGGCGAGGCTAGTACCTGAGGTTAGAGGAGCACAATATTTACCGAATCGAAATGGAAAATTCACCACAGGGAAACCGAAAACATCACGTTGTATCGATGTCCCTAATGCGTGTATATACAATGGATGAATGAGTTAATTGTTATATTACTATCGCCAGTCCTTCATCCATTGTAATGTTAATGAATACAAACATTTTACTCTCTTGGCATAATCATGTGATTCCAATCAGCTGTTTTAGCCATACAAAAATATTTTGTGTTTTTGTCACTTTTATTCTACATTGAATTCAAGACACACTTTGTAATGCTCACAGGGGCTATTGATGATAACTCTTTATCTAGAATGGATAACCTGCCTTGGTACAACTTTCCTCATTTCTTTATTCTGATATCATTTTATTCCGTGTCGCATCTATCCGTGTTTTAGTAGGTCCCGTAATTTTAACTTTCCCCGCTCCATATTTGGTATATATATCATGCATAATTTTGCTCCTTTGCATATCAGTCCTCTCTCTTTTATTAAGGGTTTCAAATATATCTTTTATATATCTATATATGTATATTTAATTATTTTAACCTATTAGTATGGGTTTTTTTTTAAATAATGGTGTGCCGGAGATACAGTCCTAAGAGAAAGTTACAGCGAGCAAACTATCAAATATACAGTTTGTTGTTTTTCTTGGCTTATATTCTAATCTGAGTTTCAAACTCAATATCATAAATCTCTTTCTGACTCCCTGTAATGTAAACCGAATGATGAACACTTTGCCTAAAAGGATGTAACGGTATAATATCACCATACGACGAAACATGAAGATGTCGGTTAATTTACTTAGTAGAGAGTCAGAACTCATATTAGAAAAAAGTTCAGTAAAAGCCAGCTTGGAGTATTGCCTTTTTTTCTTCTTTTATAAATAAACGAGTTTAGTTAAAGTTGACGTGGCTGTGGGGATACACTCGGAACGCTTCAGTTTTGTTCCTTTCTTGACCATTTCTCTATTGATAATGGTAGTTAACCGAAGAAAATCTCTCATCTCGCTGTGTTCACGATTCTTCTGTATCACGTCCGAGAGAGACTGGATAAACCATGAACCTTTGTCGTCGTCTGTTTGGAAACGAGATATATGGTTATGTGTGAACAAATCCGTCGACAAGACAGCAGATTATTAACTGTTCAACAATACAAAATCCGATAAGCTGTAACATTAACAGATAGGTCTCGGAAGTTACATTGAAAGACAGTCTGACTACAGAAAGTAAAATTTAACCAACAGGGTAAGTGAAACACCGTCTGACAGGAAGTAACAATAAATCAACAGGTTAACTGAAACACAGACAGGAAGTAACGATAAGCCAACAGGTTAACTGAAACACAGACAGGAAGTAACAATAAGCCAACAGGTTAACTGAAACAGAGTATGACAGGAAGTAACAATAAACCAACAGGTTAACTGTAACACAGTATGACAGGAAGTAACAATAAGCCAACAGGTTAACTGAAACAGAGTATGACAGGAAGTAACAATAAACCAACAGGTTAACTGAAACACAGACAGGAAGTAACGATAAGCCAACAGGTTAACTGAAACACAGACAGGAAGTAACAATAAGCCAACAGGTTAACTGAAACAGAGTATGACAGGAAGTAACAATAAACCAACAGGTTAACTTTAACACAGTATGACAGGAAGTAACAATAAGCCAACAGTTTAACTGAAACACAGTATGACAGGAAGTAACAATAAACCAACAGGTTAACTGAAACACAGACAGGAAGTAACGATAAGCCAACAGGTTAACTGAAACACAGACAGGAAGTAACAATAAGCCAACAGGTTAACTGAAACAGAGTATGACAGGAAGTAACAATAAACCAACAGGTTAACTTTAACACAGTATGACAGGAAGTAACAATAAGCCAACAGGTTAACTGAAACAGAGTATGACAGGAAGTAACAATAAACCAACAGGTTAACTGAAACACAGACAGGAAGTAACGATAAGCCAACAGGTTAACTGAAACACAGACAGGAAGTAACAATAAGCCAACAGGTTAACTGAAACAGAGTATGACAGGAAGTAACAATAAACCAACAGGTTAACTTTAACACAGTATGACAGGAAGTAACAATAAGCCAACAGTTTAACTGAAACACAGTATGACAGGAAGTAACAATAAACCAACAGGTTAACTGAAACACAGTCTGACAGGAAGTAACAATAAACCAAAAGGTTAACTGAAACACAGTCTGACAGGAAGTAACAATAAACCGACATGTTAACTAAAACACAGTATGACAGGAAGTAACAATAAACTAAAAGGTTAACTAAAACACAGTCTGACAGGAAGTAACAATAAGCCAACAGGTTAACTGAAACACAGTATGACAGGAAGTAACAATATACCAACAGGCTAACTGAAACACAGTCTGACAGGAAGTAACAATAAACCAAAAGGTTAACTGAAACACAGTCTGACAGGAAGTAACAATAAACCGACATGTTAACTAAAACACAGTATGACAGGAAGTAACAATAAACCAAAAGGTTAACTAAAACACAGTATGACAGGAAGTAACAATAAATTAACAGGTTAACTGAAACACAGACAGGAAGTAACGATAAGCCAACAGGTTAACTGAAACACAGACAGGAAGTAACAATAAGCCAACAGGTTAACTGAAACAGAGTATGACAGGAAGTAACAATAAACCAACAGGTTAACTTTAACACAGTATGACAGGAAGTAACAATAAGCCAACAGTTCAACTGAAACACAGTATGACAGGAAGTAACAATAAACCAACAGGTGAACTGAAACACAGTCTGACAGGAAGTAACAATAAACCAAAAGGTTAACTGAAACACAGTCTGACAGGAAGTAACAATAAACCGACATGTTAACTAAAACACAGTATGACAGGAAGTAACAATGCACCAACAGGCTATCTGAAACACAGTCTGACAGGAAGTAACAATAAACCGACATGTTAACTAAAACACAGTATGACAGGAAGTAACAATAAACCAAAAGGTTAACTAAAACACAGTATGACAGGAAGTAACAATAAGCCAACAGGTTAATTGAAACACAGTCTGACAGGAAGTAACAATAAACCAAAAGGTTAACTGAAACACAGTCTGACAGGAAGTAACAATAAACCGACATGTTAACTAAAACACAGTCTGACAGGAAGTAACAATAAACCAAAAGGTTAACTAAAACACAGTATGACAGGAAGTAACAATAAGCCAACAGGTTAACTAAAACACAGTATGACAGGAAGTAACAATAAACCAAAAGGTTAACTGAAACACAGTCTGACAGGAAGTAACAATAAACCGACATGTTAACTAAAACACAGTCTGACAGGAAGTAACAATAAACCAAAAGGTTAACTAAAACACAGTATGACAGGAAGTAACAATAAGCCAACAGGTTAACTAAAACACAGTATGACAGGAAGTAACAATGAACCAACAGGCTAACTAAAACACAGTCTGACAGGAAGTAACAATAAACCAACAGGCTAACTGAAACACAACACAATCTGACAGGAAGTAACAATAAACCAAAAGGCTAACTGAAACACAACACAGTCTGACAGGAAGTAACAATAAGCCAACAGGTTAATTGAAACACAACACAGTCTGACAGGAAGTAACAATAAACCAAAAGGCTAACTGAAACACAACACAGTCTGACAGGAAGTAACAATAAACCAAAAGGCTAACTGAAACACAACACAGTCTGACAGGAAGTAACAATAAGCCAACAGGTTAATTGAAACACAACACAGTCTGACAGGAAGTAACAATAAACCAAAAGGCTAACTGAAACACAACACAGTCTGACAGGAAGTAACAATAACCCAAAAGGTTAACTGAAATGCAACACAGTCTGACAGGAAGTAACAATAAACCGACATGTTAACTAAAACACAGTATGACAGGAAGTAACAATGAACCAACAGGCTAACTGAAACACAGTCTGACAGGAAGTAACAATAAACCAAAAGGTTAACTGAAATACAACACAGTCTGACAGGAAGTAACAATAAACCAAAAGGCTAACTGAAACACAACACAGTCTGACAGGAAGTAACAATAAACCGACATGTTAATTAAAACACGGTCTGACAGAAAGTAAAAATGAACCAACAGGCTAACTGAAACACAGTCTGACAGGAAGTAACAATAAACCAAAAGGTTAACTGAAACACAACACAGTCTGACAGGAAGTAACAATAAATCAAAAGGCTAACTGAAACACAACACAGTCTGACAGGAAGTAACAATAAACCGACATGTTAATTAAAACACGGTCTGACAGAAAGTAAAAATAAACCAACAGGTTAATCAAAATACAGTCTGACAGGACGTGACAAGATTGAACGAAACACGGTCAGACAGGAAATGAATGGCAAGTGGGATAAGAGGTAACAATAAAGCACAGGGCTTACTAAAATGTGGTAAGACAGGAAGTAACAATAAACCGACAGGTTGACTCCAACACATTCTGACAGTAAGTGACAATAAACCGACAGGTTGACTCCAACACATTCTGACAGTGACAATAAACCGCCTTGTTAACAAAATATTGTTTGGTTAACAGTTGGACAGGAAGTCCTGGTTATATGTGTTAAAATCATGATAATACAGTGGTTAATGGACACTTTTTTCAAATTTCATATTTGACATTTGTAATTTGGATATAAAAACATTTGTTCAGCTTAAAATCAACCCCCTTAAAGTCATGACATTGAATGAAAATAAACCAAGGCTATTGATAGTAATTCAAACAACTAAGCAGACTTTTGAATATTCGTCACTTACAGTAACGGTTTAAAACAGTGATATATACTCACAGCCTTGATATCCTGACATATGACATGCATATATCAGAACATCAGAATCGGTTGGTATCTTGGAAATCTTTGGTTCGTCTTGATCACCATCAGACACTATTCGACTGTCTGGATCTTTGTCCCATGACTGTAAAAAGGAAACTTTAAGATGAATCTAAGAAACGATCCCTTACATCAAATACCGACAGCATCCCCTTACCTTATCAACAAAGAATGTACTAACACAATAGTAACATTATGTTGTTGTCCTCCTATTCTTGCCAAAATTATGTTGTCATTACACTATTGTAGCCATCATTATCCTGTTGTCACACTTTTCTAGCCATCATTATTCTGTTGTCACACTATCTAGCCATCATTAAGCTGTTGTCACTCTATCTAGTCATCATTATCCTGTTGTCACTCTATCTAGCCATCATTATCCTGTTGTCACTCTATCTAGCCATCATTATCCTGTTGTCACATTATCTAGCCATCATTATCCTGTTGTCACTATATCTAGTCATCATTATCCTGTTGTCACTCTATCTAACCATCGTTATCCTGTTGTCACTATATCTAACCATCATTATCCTGTTGTCACTATATCTAGTCATCATTATCCTGTTGTCACTCTATCTAACCATCATTATCCTGTTGTCACTATATCTAGCCATCATTATCCTGTTGTCACTATATCTAGTCATCATTATCCTGTTGTCACTCTATCTAACCATCTAGCCATCATTATCCTGTTGTCACTATATCTAGTCATCATTATCCTGTTTTCACTATATCTAACCATCATTATCCTGTTGTCACTACCATCATTTATCCTGTTGTCATCATTATCCTGTTGTCATCTCTAGCCATCATTATCCTGTTGTCACTCTATCTAGTATCATTATCCTGTTGTCATCTATATCTAGTCATCATTATCCTGTTGTCACTCAATCTAGTCATCATTATCCTGTTGTCACTCAATCTAGCCATCATTATCCTGTTGTCACTATATCTAATCATCATTATCCTGGTGTCACACTTTTCTAGCTATCATTATCATGTTGTCACACCTTTCTAGCCATCATTATCCTGTTGTCACTCTATCTAGTCATCATTATCCTGTTGTCACTCTATCTAGTCATCATTATCCTGTTGTCACTCTATCTAGTCATCATTATCCTGTTGTCACACTTTTTTAACCATCATTATCCTGTTGTCACTGTATCCAACTATCATTATCCTGTTGTCACTCTATCTAACCATCATTATCCTGTTGTCACTCTATCTGGCCATCATTATCCTGTTGTCACTCTATCTAGCCATCATTATCCTGTTGTCACTCTATCTAACAATCATTATCCTGTTGTCACTCTATCTGGCCATCATTATCCTGTTGTCACTCTATCTAACAATCATTATCCTGTTGTCACTCTATCTGGCCATCATTATCCTGTTGTCACACTATGTAGCCATCATTATCCTGTTGTCACTCTATCTAACAATCATTATCCTGTTGTCACTATCTATGTAGCCATCATCATTCGTTATCCTGTTGTCACTCTATCTAACCATCATTATCCTGTTGTCACTCTATCTGGCCATTATTATCCTGTTGTCACTCTATCTAGACATCATTATCCTGTTGTCACTCTATCTAACCATCATTATCCTGTTGTCACTATATCTAGCCATCATTATCCTGTTGTCACTCTATCTAACCATCGTTATCCTGTTGTCACACTTTTTTAACCATCATTATCCTGTTGTCTTATTATCTAACCTTCATTATCCTGTTGTCACTGTATCTAACTATCATTATCCTGTTGTCACTCTATCTAACAATCATTATCCTGTTGTCACTCTATCTAGTCATCATTATCCTGTTGTCACTCTATCTAGTCATCATTATCCTGTTGTCACTCTATCTAGTCATCATTATCCTGTTGTCCCATTATCTTGCCATCATTATCCTGTTGTCACTCTATCTAACCATCATTATCCTGTTGTCACTCTATCTAACCATCATTATCCTGTTGTCACACTTTTTTACCATCATTATCCTGTTGTCACTATATCTAGTCATCATTATCCTGTTGTCCTATTTTCTAGCTATCATTTTCCGGTTTTCACTCTATCTAACCATCATTATCCTGTTGTCACTATTTCTAGCCATCATTATCTTGTTGTCACTCTATCTAACCATCATTATCCTGTTGTCACTTGTCACTCATTATCCTGTTGTCACTATCTAGTCATCATTATCATCATTATCCTGTTGTCACTATATCTAACCATCATTATCCTGTTGTCACTATATCTAGTCATCATTATCCTGTTGTCACTCTATCTAACCATCATTATCCTGTTGTCACTATATCTAGTCATCATTATCCTGTTGTCACTCTATCTAGCCATCATTATCCTGTTGTCACTCTATCTAACCATCATTATCCTGTTGTCACTCTATCTAACCATCATTATCCTGTGGTCACTATATCTAGCCATCATTATCCTGTTGTCCCATTATCTAGCCATCATTATCCTGTTGTCACTATATCTAGTCATCATTATCCTGTTGTCACTATATCTAACCATCATTATCCTGTTGTCACTATATCTAGTCATCATTATCCTGTTGTCACTATATCTAGCCATCATTATCCTGTTGTCACTATATCTAGTCATCATTATCCTGTTGTCACTCTATCTAACCATCATTATCCTGTTGTCACTCTATCTAGCCATCATTATGCTGTTGGCACTCTATCTAACCATCATTATGCTGTTGTCACTTTATCTAGCCATCATTATCCTGTTGTCACTCTATCAAACCATCATTATCCTGTTGTCACTCTATCTAGACATCATTATCCTGTTGTCACTCTATCTAACCATCATTATCCTGTTGTCACTCTATCTAGCCATCATTATCCTGTTGTCACTATATCTAATCATCGTTATCCTGTTGTCACTCTATCTAACCATCATTATCCTGTTGTCACTCTATCTAGCCATCATTATCCTGTTGTCACTCTATCTAACCATCATTATCCTGTTGTCACTATATCTAGCCATCATTATCCTGTTGTCACTCTATCTAGCCATCATTATCCTGTTGTCACTCTATCTAACCATCATTATCCTGTTGTCACTCTATCTAACCATCATTATCCTATTGTCAATCTATCTAGTCATCATTATCCTGTTGTCACTCTATCTAACCATCATTATCCTGTTGTCACTCTATCTAACCATCATTATCCTGCTGCCACTATATCTAGCCATCATTATCCTGTTGTCCCACTATCTAGAAACAGTGATGTTCTGTCTTGTCTAAAACTCACCATTATGATAAAGATTTTTGGTTTCAACACCAAGGATTGGCATCTGTTTCCTCGGAATGGATCGCTGAGTTTCTCAATTGTCAACATTTTGGTTTCCCCATATCCTTTAATGAAGCCACGTCCACCGCTTGCCATGACAACACACATAAAGCAGTCGGTTTCACTAGGCATGGCGTCTGACGCTTTAGATAACATATAGAATTCAAACATTAATCATCACACTATATTTACATAAATCTATTAAACAGCATATTACTCGGAAATTACAACATCATGTTGATGAGTACAAAGCAGAATATTTGGTAAAGAATCCAATAGCAAAATTATTTCCTACGTAAATAAATTAGAAATCTTGTCACTTAGGCGTGAGCACACTACCTTTTCCCAAATGTGTTACCAACTCTTCCACTGACAACTTAGTTATAATTGTGACTTTGAAGCCAGTTTCCATAAGAGTATTCTCCATCAATTTGGAATCCTTTTCTCCGGTGGACTTTGAAAGATTGTTGATAATGAGTGCCTGGCGAGAATATTCATTCTCACTTCTAAATCTGTATGCTTTGCTCGTCAGGTCATATTGGCTCCTCACCGGAACACTGGAACTGAAAATACCATGATTCTGGCTATCTATTGTAAGTAAGTTTGGTAAAGACTGAAGTAAACCAAAAGTCCCGAGTTCGAATCATAGCGAAGGCATTGAAAAGGACCTATTTTACATATGTATTGTTTTGTCTTTGATTATATGATAATGTAAGATATAAGTTGTTAAGACACAGTACACGAAAGGAAATATATAGAACAACAAAACAAAGGAGGAGTGTCAAAGTGAACCTGCCTACTTCTACTCTGTGATAGACCTTATAACATCTAGGGCTGTATATAAACAGCATGCTATTAAAACACAAGATTTTGTATTTCTCATTGAATAATTGGGGGTAAAAGTAGGGGAAGATGAAGCGAAATGGTTAAAGTTCTGATATATTATTTGGGTAAAAGTTGTAATTTTCGTGTTTTCTGTTCAAGTAGTACTAAGTGTGAAATACAATGTGAAAATTAACAATAACGTAGATTGCATTCGAATAATTAAAAACCGGTTTATTTTCACGTCAAGTAGGTTTTTTATTTACCTAAAGCCTTCCATTAATTAACATTTGAAAATTTGACAATGGTAATTTCTACCACGATGGATTTTATCCACATGCGACCATACAGGACCCGCCAGGGCCTGGTCAGGTCACCCCACACGCTTAATTTGAGCCTGAAGAATGGACCCACATGTGACCATACAGGGCCCTCGAGGGCCTGGTAATGGCACCGCACACGCTTAATAAGGCCCTCAGAATGGACCTACATGTGACCATAAAGGACCCTCGAGGGCCTTGTAATGGCACCCCACACGCTTAATAATGCCCTCAGAATGGACCTACATGTGACCATACAGGACCCGCGAGGGCCTGGTAATGACACCCCACATGCTTAATTAGACCCTGCAGAATGAACCCACATGACATTCACAAAGTTTTATAATAACGAGTAATAATAGATGCATGCAACAATGTTAAAAATATATAGCATTATTATCACTCAGAACTGTACGGCAAATATGTAAACTACATATAGCATGCAGGGTAAATATGCACAAGGATGAACGGAGTAGAAATGTAAATATATACAATGTACTGAGTAGTGGCGTTATTGAAATCTGTAGAAGCTTTGGGTGATATGTTGTTTCGAATAAATTACTATCAGAAAGTCGAACCTAATCTAACCAAAATTTGTTTTCTAATCCTACCTCTCTTTCTTTCGAGCATGAGAGTCTTGTTTTTCTTCAGTATCGGCTGGAAGCTTTCGTACGGAAGCATCGGCTTGATCTGTACCGAAACAAAATTCAAAAGGTGAACAAATTAAAATTCCTAGATTGATATGGTATGTTGGTTTTTAGTCTGTATGAATTATGTCGATGCAGAGCAGATATAGAAGTATATTCATAAGGGTAGGAATCATATCCACTCAAAATGTTTTCTTAAAGATATTTCAAACGATAAATTTTGAATTTTAAAAAAATGTTATAGTTTTTGTTATCAAATTAATTTTAATACGTTTCTGAATTCTATAACGGTTTTAAAATCTAAACAAGATGCCGCAAAGCGTGGCATTATCCTTGAAGTTGTAGCTCAGAAAAAGCCTTCTTTTGAGGTTATATGTGCAGAAAGTTTTGTGAAGTTGAGTGGAACGGTTTGGAAGTTATAGCCCGGAAAAGCCCTCTTTTGGTGTTTTCTTATTATGTTTCCATGGTAACAAAAAAATATAATTAGTGAAATGTCGACAATAGCAAAAGGCACAACTAGGGCAATGACTTAATATATACATAAAGTTTTGTGAAGTTGAGTTGAATGGTTTGGAAGTTATAGCCCGGAAAAGCCCTCTTTTGGTGTTTTCTGACTATGTTTCCATGGTAACAGAAAAAAAATATAAAAAGTGAAATGTCGAAATAGCAAAAGGCACAACTAGGGCAATGACTTGATATATACAGAAAGTTTTGTGAAGTTGAATTGAACGGTTTCGAAGTTATATCCCGGAAAAGCACTTGGACGGACGGACGGAGCCCAATTTAATAACCCCCGCAAATGTGTTTCGCGGGGATAATTATAGACCAACATTCCTGCCTGCGGTTCACTGAATGCTACATAGCTAGAGAAATACAGGTTAACTAACTGCATCGGTACATAAATAGCATTTATCTTTTTCATGGGGGGGGGGGGGGGTTGATAAATAAGAAGCCTCTAACAAACACAGAAAAACAGACACAGATTAAATGGATAAAGTTGACATCCTATGGACATCTTCACTCTATAGTGCATATAAGGAAGTACTGTACTTGTATGCTATGGATATAAGCCGGAAACTATAAAATAGGTGTGAGAGAGGACAAGTCGTGGAAATCGTCGGGGCCGAGATCTTTCTTCTCTCACTCATATCGTACAGGCTTATCTATAACTTAACAGGAGTGAGTGGTAAGTTGTGAGCCGTGTATTGAGAAATTAAGCAGTGATGTCCTTTTCCAGCTCTACTGGTGTCATTTGGTCAGTTAATGTCGAAGAGTTAGCACTTGAAAGAAAGCAAGGCAAGTGACTTTTACAAAATGGACAAAATCGCTGAAACAGCAGTAATTCCCTATTTGCATACGAAAGTTCTAGCACATAAGGATATCCATACTGATATGGTAGCAACACTAGGGAATGATGCCTCTTCATATGCTACAATGAAAAGGCGGGTGGCTTTAAGCGTGGCAAGGCAGAGCTTTGGTGATGACGCCCGTCCTGGAAGGCCTGTCACTGTGGCAACCCCAGAAATGGTCAATAAAATTCATGATATTGTTATGATTGACAGCAGAGTTACAGGAAGACGTATAGCCAGCACTTTTCGTATTTCACAGGAAAGAGTACATTTCATTCTTACGGGAGATCTTGCAATGAGAAAGCTCTCAGTCCGTTGGGTACCAAGATTCTGACAATTGATCAGAAGACCAACATGCGAACTTTGTCGCGTGCTTATAGGAACCTCATAGAGGCAGATCCTACTAACACTCTGCAGAGGTTTATGGGTCCGTGATTTCACCCCAGAGGCCAAACAACAACCTAAACAATGGAAGCACACTGGTTCACCCCACCAAAGAAGGCAAAGGCTGTTCCATAAGCTGGAAAATTTATGGTCTCGGTTTTAGGGGATGATGATGGTATTCTGATGGTAGATTATCTGCATAAGGGACAAATAATCAATGACATATGTCATGCATCACGTTTTAGGCAGCTGAGAGAAAACATTTAACTCAAGCGCGACGGAAAACTCAGTAAAGGCGTGTTGTTCCACCAGGACGATACCTCTGTTCACAAGTCTGACTTTGCCATGGCTGCCATTAAAGGACGTGGCTTTGAATTAATTGAGAATCCGCCTTATTTATCTTATCTTGCTCCAATATTTTCATCATTTCCGGTAACTAATTTCGGTCAGATGATGACGTCATACATGCAGTGGAGAACTTTCCGAACAGTATTGAAAAGGAATTGTTAAAAAGTGGTATTGAGGCTGGCAAACGTGTATAGAAGGGGATCACCTAACATCAACATTGAATGAAAAAGTAGTATTGCACATAACAATAACATCTATAAGCAAACACACAAGTAGTGAATAGAATAAGGTAATTGAAAAGTGTGTTTAAATCGATATCAGGAGGTACCTGCATGCAAAACACTGGAGGTGAAAAAAAGACGAAAAATCGCCTACCGCAGACACTAGAGAACATTAACGCTGGAAGTATGCCCTTTCTTTGAAATTATGGAAGTGATGACCCTGTAAATAATGTGAAAGTCTTTGTATATATGCGTACGATTGTCTTGGTGTATTTTTGTACCAGATGGATGTTCTCGGAATAAATTGCATTGAACTTGTTCATTAATTATGGTTTCCTTTTGGAACATGTCAAGTTATATTTAAACTTGCTCTTCTGACACAATGTTGTCTATAACATTGTACTTTATGTATCCAGACTAGGACAATAGAGAGACTAAACAATCCCGAATTACCTTTAGCTGTCTTATAAATGACTAGCCAATAGCTGAATCACGTATAATAAGACAGTAACAGGTAACATACCCTATTATAGTAGGGTGTTCTCCGAGTGCAAATATTTTTGTAAACAATAGGATGTATTGTTTCAGGAAACAATCACAAGGTAATTATACGTTATTTCATATATACTGCCCTTTTTTACCTGGACTTTACCTGAGATTTACCTGTGTTTCTCACAACCTATATTCACATGATTGAAATATTAAACAAGGTAATAAATAAATTTTATTTGATAAAAAATAATAGATAATTAAATTTGACTTCATTCAGCAATAAAATAAATATAACTGAATGAAATGATCATGTTGGATGATTTAGCACTACACTCTAACATATTTTTTAAAATCATTATGATATGAAGAGAAAAGTATGTGAAATAAAACTAGAGTATTGGAAATAAGGAGAAAAAGTCCGTCATTATTGGCACAGAAAGTGTCACATTTCTGGTAATTGATATCCAATCTACTATTTATCAATGATAAATGATTAATAGTCATCTCAGCTTCATTTACTTAAGGCCTAAGGACCCATCAATACATTATTTGCACACAAACACAAGGTAAAAGGTATATGTGAATATTGTCAATGATCTAACATGTGATGATTTAAATCATTGTTTTTATAAACTATACAATATTATCATAAATATTACATTCAAAATCAAACAAAAATTAAGACATTCAAAAATTTTACAAGGTTTATGAAATATGTTTTATCATACTTAATAAGGTTATACAATAAAATCAATTAAAACGTGAATATTGTTTAAACATATCCTTAAATATTTATATGTAAAAAGAATTATCATGAGCAAAAACCATTGGAAAAAATTATAAATACAAGTAATACTAGTAGTTGAATACCAACAGGTGAAGTTAAACCGTTTTTACCAGTTAGAACTAATACTCTTTTAACGAAAAAGACTATAATCACTATAAAAACAAACTGCCTTGTAGGGGATATAAAATGGTTGTTTTTAGAGATACACCCGTTATAGTAATTAAATTATCAAAATTCATGTATGTAAAGTACAAGATGGCGGAGGACAATTCCATTTATATACACATACATATAGATGGTAGCTGTACTAATATTAACACCCGCACCTCTTCCTCTGTTCTCGAAACAACTGTTCCAGTCTGGAATTTGTTTAATATGTCTATTACATTGGTAATTAAACCAATAAGAAAATCATGTTCCCACTAACACTACAATACAAAGGGCAGTCAAGGAAAGACGAGGACCCCTTTATATCTGGCGACACTTGATACTTCAGAAACTAACCCAGTAACTTAAAGAATAAATAATAGCAACCAGGAACCGGTGAAAATAGAGGAAACATGAAGGTTTTTAATTTCTAGATTTCCTTGATAACACAATATGACATGAAAATTGTTAATGTTTTTTACTTCTTTGATATCACAAGAAGATTTTTTGATTTCTAAATCTATATGATATAACGTTATGTAAAAACTGAAGGAACAGCTTTATTGTACTTTATCCCCAAAGGAAGTACATTTCCCGCATATAAACCTTAAGGTATCAACCTAATAATAATGGCATGATTTCAGTGATGTATACTTGAAACTCATGTCAATATTTCTACATCAAAATCATTACAATTTAGACAATATATTTCCTTTGGACGTGGCCGATCTCCCTATATTACTGACAGAGTAACCTTATATAAAATAGCATGGATTTCTGATTTCATTCTTCTCTCAGACACGTCAATTGTGTGTAACAAGCTAGCGGCCATTGCCTAAATTAAGCATTGAATACGGCTGACGATGATTTTACTTTGTATAAGAAAGGTTACAGGTATGTTATGGGGATAAAATACGAAATAAAGCCAGAAATTAATCTGCTTTTCGTAATAAATCGCTTTCAAAATTTAACATCATATTCAAATAAAAATCTACCCACGATTACCATATTTACACACTAGTTTCCAAACTAGGTCAGCAAAGCCATACAATGGACACCCTGTTACATGTATACCAGCAGGAAGTGAAAGAGCAAACTGACATCCTTAATTCGTGGTGAGTACGAATATTTCATAACACATTTATATCCAGTTAATTAACACCTGGTCATTGTAGAGAGTGGATTTGCTACTCTTAGTCAAATTCTTACTTATTTCAGCAGATGAGTTTTATTTCTTCTAAATCCAACCAACTTTACAGTTGCTTCCGTACCATGAGATCATTAGAAAGAACAAAATAAATCAACATAAACAAGTTGTAATCAAAACCGACCATGTTTATGAATAAATGTAAATCACTAGGGTTAGCAATTGAACGTTTCGAACTCAGCAAGATACACGTACTTACCTGACATTTTACTTTCGTTTTTGTGTAAATCCAGATCGAACGTTTCCGTATAGGAGTCTGTCTAGGACTCTATCTTCGTTAACAATTGATCTGTTGATATGTCTCGTGATTCTAGAATCTAACTAAAACACGTTGAGATATCTTAATTACTGGTACTATGTGATGTCAATTATGTCAATTACTAAACACGGCTCAATCTAAAAATAGAATATATATATATAGACATTCCCGGAAAGTACTTATAGTTTCGTTTGTGGTTGTATCCTACATTTAAAACTTAAACGGGAAAGCTTCCACATACAAACGTACATATATACCCTTCCATTCTACGTACACACACACATCTACACCACCCTCCTCATCACCTACACACCACCTCTCACCCTCACACACACACACACACACACCCTTACATACACAACCACACACCACCACACACACCGCCACCACTACATGAACAAACACACACACACGAAGTTCAACAACTTTAAAAATGGAATGTTTTTTGTCAAAAATATTTCTTGATATACTTCTTCCTTAAATCTACCAAAAGTTGGTAAAAAAATTCGTCTTCTACATCAAAAGCATTACAATTTAGACAATACTTATAACGCCTGTCAATATTTCTATATCTTCCATATTCGATTGCTAATTCTGAGCAGACAGTCGTAATTTACTTATCATCATTCTTCTGCATTTCGGTAAGGATTTTGTAAGATAGAATTGTCGTGTAACTTTATCTACAATGTGTCTAAAGATATCACATGTACTCGTGATATTTATCGAATTGATTAAAGTTTCATTCGCCTGATCGTCAATTCATTGCTTAATGTTGGGCAATGTCATATCTTAACCCCAATTCAAGTTACTTTTTTCATAATTACAAGCCAGGTGAACTTAGTGTTTTGTCTCTGCGTTTCCATATAAAGAAAATCATGTTCCTCCTTTAGTATACAATCATCAGCCTTAACAACTTATTTGATCATTCTAAACAATTTGTGTGTTTTCCAGAGGCTGGCGCCCGAGGTCAGTATATATCGTAATGTTACAGGTTGAATTCTTTAAATGCAGTAGATTTTTTCTGAAATCGAAGATGTATTTTTCTGACTAAGCTGCTTTGTTACTTCCCAAAACTTCACAGACATAAAGAAATGCTTCCAACATACGTACCAAAAAGATTCAATGTCGTTTTGACATTTAAATTCGTTTTAAGCATTTGAAGCGAAGAGCAAAAAGGGATTTTCGTCCTTGATCCGCAACCTGAATGAACCGAAAGAGAGTGCCCAGGTTGTAAAACTAATCAAGGATTGAAATAACTTTCCCATTATAAATCCAAGTTTCGTTCATTTATTTTTTTTTATATTATTTTGACCCCATTTCTGAAAACAAAAGTTTCATTTTTTCTGTATTAACTATCATTTTCCACTTTGCTGAATAAACAGATAACAATTCAATAAGGTTTGTAGTCCCTCAACTGATTCAGAAAATAATACTAAATCATCATACAACAGGAGAAATTAATCTCCACAAACATAACAAGAAGCGCCATTTTCGATAAAGCTATTTTCACAATCATTTATATAAAGACAGAAAAATGAAGGTGATAAGATTTCTCCTTCCATCACACCGACATTACCAGGTATTTGGGAAAAAAAGTCTGAACACATTCTGTTCACGTGGTTTTACTGAATTTTGTACATATTTATCAGTTTCCACGAATGCCTAGCTTATCTATTTTGTACCATAAAATTAATTAAGTCTGAAGAACCTAATAATGCCTTCCACTTCAAACGGACAATGCACGGATGCTGACATTGACACGGCGCATGTGCGTACTCTCATCTGGCCCGTCGAATCCGCGTCAGATGACGTGAAAATAAATAAATGAACAAATAAATCTTCTACTCTCTCTTGTGTTTAGAAAAGTTGTCAGCTTACTGATACAGATAAGGTTGGATTCTTAAATTCCGTATTTAGTCTGGCCCGGCTACATTATTGCATGAAATATTGAGCATGCCAAACACGGGATATATGTATGTGTTATTGGTATATATGACATAATTGTCAAATTTAGCAGGGATGTATGATAAAGAGGTCAGAAACTAAGCATAGTGTGGATTTCTCTTGTATTGTCATTAACTGTGTCACTGAGCCGTGAAGTGATCGAAGCGCACTCTACTTTCAACTCTTATATAATCATTGGCTTTGTTTGGCCTCGGGCCATGAGCGGCCTGACCACAGCTATTTTGTGAGAGAATGAATCTCGTTTTCACAAAAAGTTTGACAAACATATTGATGACATCATATAAGCTACACGGATCGAACGCCGAATGATTTTCTTCATACCTCTGTGTAAATGTGGTGTACATTACCTTCAACGCTCGTTTTGTTTCAAAAGAATGAATTTGAAAATTAAAAAAAATATGATTAAGCTTTCTTCTATTGTTTATTTTTATAATATAAATAATTCACTTTTGAAGAAATACACACAGCAAGGATATTTAACTCATCACTGTAGCTTTATATATGGTAGTTTCCTGTTCTTGACCTGGGGCGAAGACAAAATCTACATATACATATAGGTCTAACTGAGTGTTTTGATATGGTATCTTTTTACGCCGGAGACCAGAGTTCGATTCCAGTCAACAAGATTGGGTATTTTCCTGTGCTCTTTCATACAATAATAAATTGATTAAAAAAATCTACAGTACAGTTTTGGGTGCGAGCTCAACTATGGTGTCAGCGTACGCTTTTCGTATCCACATTATTTCCATCAACCAATCAAAACACGCTATAGAAAAATAGTTTGGACTGCAGTCGACAGCGACCACATCCTGGTGCCACATAAGACGGTAATTATCTTAACTTCCCACAGTATGTGTGACTTTTATCTGGTAGTAAAGTTTGTCTAAAGTATTACATCTAACTGGTATCAAAATAATAACACAAACAGTTAAGTACGATTTCAGCAAACGTCCAGATCGCGAAATTACATCATGTGGCAGACATCAGATCTGCCTAAACACTACGGCTTTTTTGTTTACGCGTTATGACTAATTTGATATGTATTGAACTGTCTTAGGGTCAGACGGAATAAGATATAATCCATATGTGATTATGTCATTCATGTTTGTATAAGTTTTATATGTTGTAGGTTATAACTAGTCGATAAATATGTGGAACGTGACTGACAGAAACGTTTCAATGGCGAACTCGAACGTCCTTGACCTTAATTTCATCGCTAGAGATTTTGCTATCGAAAGCCGATATGATTTATCAAAATCTGATTGATATGTAGGTCTATGTTCCTATTCGTTACAAAAATTATATACTTTCCCCACAAATAGCAGTGACATGAACCAGGAACATAAGAATGCAGATAAAATTAAGAATACCAGAAGATTCGTAATAATTTTCAATTGAAAATGCATTTGTATGATACTCATTAAAATACGTGACGTCTAGGCTACTCGTTAGAGTCATGATATAGATGTGGATTATTACACCGAATACCTAGGTTATAATAATTTACTAGTATGGCTTCAGTGATCAGTCTACAATTTGTTTCCATGAGTCCTTCAACTTTATTGCTGAAACAATGAAACCAGCAGTGTAAGAGATTCTACCAGTCCCATCAAAAGTCTAAGAGAACAGGACTTGGGACTCTCATGTAGATTGGTCACAGGGCTTGTGGTTAGACCATATAGATGGATAGTTCATACAGCTATATTTTACATATATAGAACTATCTGATTCCTGGTATCGTAAGAGATTGGTATACAGATCACAGACTGTTTCCATGTGTATTGTGAAAGAACTATGGTGTTTTACTATAAATTTGTATCAGGTAATTGTGTTAAGACTTTCCCTATGATACTAAGTCAAATAAATAATTTTAAGCCTCATACCAGGTAGATATATTTGGTAAATACCAATGATGTTAAATCAATGTGGAATTACTGCACTATACAAGCAGGCATGTTCTTTTTTCAGACATGTACTTTCTTTATGGCAGAAAGCTATACACTCAACTTATACTGTACTCCCATCCATGCAAAGTCTTCAACCCTAAGACACCAACAACCCAGGTTCTTAAACCCCAAGGAAGTTTCTCAATTTCCTAAAACTGAAACCCATGGAATGGTCAATAACATCAATGTCATCATTGCGTGACTCTTGTCATTTTCATGTTGTGATATTGCCACCTTGTAGTGACTGTTATTTTTGTGTTGTTATATTGTCACTATTAAGGGCCCATTTGTTTTCATGTTATACTGTCCCCATCGAGTTACTCGTTTCATTTTAGTGTTGTGAGGTGGTAAATATTGGGGTTATCTGCTCTTCTGTACAAATCACCTTCATAAATTTTCAGGACAAAAACTGCTAAAAATTATGTATCTCTGGTGAATACATGTGTCTGTTGTTATGAAACCTTGAACTGAATCTTTGACAACAATTATAGATTCTGTATCATGCAGATATCCTATAGTGTAATCTATGTCAGTGATAAACAGCAGCTAAATGAACCTATATTAGACCCTTTATAATGATAACATTGGTGTCAGTACTTCTAAGGTCAACATGTGTTTACTGATCCACATTGATGTTGTCAAGATAATGTAAATATATATATATATCTGGTTAGAATGATAAAAATGGGAAGCTGAAAAAGGCACTTGTCATTTCTGTATGGAATAGTGTAGATTTTATGTTTCACATTGTGAAACTTTTAACATTAAAATACAACTGATTTTGTACCTAATAGCATAAAGTTTTTGGGAATACATTCAGAATTGTGCATTAATTTTAATCAATTAACAAAAATAATGTATATTAAAACCATGAAACACTAAACAACATGGATCCTATCAGGGTTTTCCATAAGTGCCGGTGACCGGCCAATTTGACCGGCTACTTTGATCATTTGGCCGCCTACACCAATCCAGTTCCGTAATAATGTTCTTTACACTACTACACGTACACGGCAGGCCAGCCTCCTACTTTCACTACATAGTCTACTACTAACAAAATTATGGAAAACCTTGTCCTATTAAAGTGAAACATACCACTAAAGCAGTTCAAAGCGGATGATCATTAGAAAGAAAGCAATAAAAGCAAAGAGTTTTCTCCCTTTGGCCCTTTATTGGCTTTTCATGCTTCAATATGATTCAGTGACTTAATTAATTGTTGTACAGAATTAGATTTTCAATACTCGCATTTTTAAATGTAATTGCTACATTGGACTGACATCAACAGATGTATTAAGTATTAAAAAGATAATTCATACTGATACAAGGTAAATATCAACTGCTATTGATTACATTGGTTACCACAGTGTATGGTGAGAGTTGAATCAGAATACCAAAAAAAAATTAATTAATTAATTAACACTTACCTGGTAGTTGTTGGTTGTAATGCTTGAACTTAAAATTAGAAATAAATTATTTCTATTTTTTTTTATTTCTTTAAAGTATGCTTGCAATTCAAATGCCATGCATTGAAAGAAGTGAAACTTATAATATGTCAAGTCATTATTTTGTGATTTTGTGACATTAGATGATTTGAACTGTCTTTCTAAATCTATTTTGACTTTTTTCATAAGAATATTATTGTACCAGACTTGTCAAACAGATCTGAAAAGTTTCATGAGATTGTCACCGTTTGACATCATGAACAATTAATCTTGATAAGAACAATTTATTTTCACCAACAACAATTATACATGTGTACTGATATCAGATAAACCTCATCAAGACACGAGTTGAGTAGTCCTTTGGACATGTGATCTAGATAAACATGTAATATAAAGGGGTTGTGTTTACAAGACCTCATTATAAACCAGGCACCTGCTTACCTTCTGTACTCAACAATTTATACTCAAAGTCTAGGTACAGTATAAAATGTCTTAATTTCTTGTAAAAAGATCATCAATCATAGTTTCAAATTTGAAACAATTGGTAACATTATTCTCTTGACTGCAAGATTGAATTTGTGTGTGGTTTTTTATGCAACTTTTTCGAAATCCTGTACTGTACAGTAGATGTGTATGTTTCTAGATTTATTTAAAGTTACAAACATTACCAATATTTAAAATATCTTCAGGTTAAGCATTTCTTTATAATTCAGGACTTCAGGCTATGAGCTAAGGTTATGAAAACATTCAAAAAGTTATTTTTTAAAAATTCTGTGCAATCCTGTTAACAGATTCTGTTCTTACTTATTTGAACCAGATGCACACATCACATATTCTTGCTCTGCCACAAACATAATTATTATTTTAATCATAAATATCTTGTTGCTAAATGATGTAAAGATATTTAATTATAGATATTTATTGATTTTCAGGTCCCAGAGAAGTGATTTGATACGAGTGCCATTGGTCATAGATTGATCCTGAAGTATGGACTTGGAACAGAACATCCGGGATGTACAAAATGCTATTCAGCAGCTAGAGGCTATAAAGACACACTTGGACAAGAATACTAGTGAAGTAAGTAAATTTTATTATATTCATTATTTGTTGATGAAAACAAGACCAATGAGGCAGGAACATTCATGTGTACCAGAAAAATATATTCACTAATTTACAGTGTTATACTATATACACACTATAAATAGGTTTCCTCCAGTGTCAACACAAGACTTAATCTTTTGACAGCTAGATAAATGCCTGATTAACCAACTACTCATTTGGATGTCAAAACAAGAGGGATGTCAAAACATTGAAAGATGTCTCGTATATTTATTGAAGTGAAATAGATATATATTTCAATTAGTAAACCAAAGTTTTGAAAAAAAATCATATTTCACAAAGTCTGAATGTTATAACTTTACTTTGTTTCATATTTCTTTCTCATAACTTGAATACTTCAAATAGGACAGTTAAGGTTTTACAAAGTAATTCATATGGGGTCAGCTTAAATAACAGACAACAATATACACTTTTATAAAACCAAAATTGTATGCTGACATGCAGGTTTTTTTAATGTAGATTATTCAGAACTTGTAAGATGGTTCTACATACATGTATTTACAGGTTAAGAGTAACCTAAATACCACATTCCTTCGTCACTTGCGGTCCTTGTGGAACCGACAAGTATTCCTGGCTAATCAGGTGGACCTCATTCACAGCAGTAAAGAAGAAGTGCTACATCGTCAGCTAGTACGCCTTCACAGTCTCCTCACCAGTCTGCAGAATCAGTTACAGGGAGCAGGAGGCAACATACTCTTTGACACGTATGTGTTAGATAAATTGGTATAATCTTCAAGTTGAAAATTGTTCATGAAGCCATTCTTTCTTGTGACAATAAATCTCACTTTCCCCCAAAATTTCCATTTTTAAAACATTTGTGCACTGTATTTTGATAACCATTAACATGGTATATTGCTAGTTTGAATTCATAATTACATTGACAGATGAAATGCCAGCTTAACCTAGATAAAATTGTTAAAATTTGCATGCACAGCTTTGATGAAAAATAATTCATGGTGTCATTTGCTGACATGCCATAGTATTCTATGTCCAGGAAAACTTACTTACCAATTAAACTGCAAATGTAAAAAATGCATCTTTTTGAGAAAAAATAATGTTATGCATTTATTATAATCAGCTTAGTAAGAATCATATAGACAAGAGATATTGTGAACCTCTGTCTCTTACTTGAATGAGAAACATAATAGAAAAATTTCAAGAAATCAAAATACTCTGAAAAGTTCTACACAAGAAGTTTGTGTTTTCCTGGGATGACAATGGCACCCACAATGCAGTAACAGTTGACAACTTGAACATTTTGGAAAATGAAATGCAAAAATCACTGACTTCAAAGTCCTAGTTGTCTAAACAACAAATTATGATATTCAGCAATTTTCTGTCAGGTTTATAATATGAACATCCTTTTTCATAAAATGATTTGAACAGACATTTAATGTTTACAGGAATGACCTGAGGCCAGAAGAGACTCCCTACATCAGTTTTAGGGCTGATAGTGCCTCCCTTAGGGATGCTATAGTCAACTATGGACGTGTGGACCACACAGGGTTTCCTCTAACATCACAGTTCATGGACCCACGCAGCCCAGCAGCCAGTTTGCCACCTCACTTTGAGGACTACGATGATGCAGAACACCATATCCTCTACAAAACTGTGGAAGAAATCAAACACGCCAAAACCAATAGCCACAATGTAAGTCTGTTACAGAATTTTCCTTCACGTTGAAAACATGATGATGCAAAAGCCATGAGCACATGTTTCTTTTCATGTTTTTTAACGGTAGTTAGCGTTGATATATTAGTATGCTGAGTTTGGCATTATCATTACCAATGTCTATACACAAGTCATCCTCAGTCTTACAGACATCAAATGTAATATTCTTGTGCAGTTTCCTGATTGTGGATTTTGATTGTATATTTGTGACAGATTGATGTCCATATACCAAAGCTGTCTGCCCGCCCTGAGGACTGGCTGACTCACACCACTGCCACAACTTCCACTGCAACTGCCTTAAAACCAACATTTGCCTTCCCAACTTTCAGTAGAGATCCCACTGATTGGCTAAAATCCTCGCCCTCTACTGAAGTGTCTGGCTCAGGTATGCAGCCTATCATGTCAGTTATCTCTCCTAACCTACCAGATACTTCTCCATCGGTATCGATTTGCAGTGCATCAAGTACGACTTCTGGACGATGTACTCCTCGAGGGATCCCGACTGTCACCTCCTCTGCCTCCAGTATTGACACTTGGTTACTTCAGATCAAACAGAACCCAGATATGGAGGAGGAAGATGATTTTGAAATTGTTGATGGGTCAGCATCTTCAGGTAAGTATAGGTTGTAACATCTAATTTAAAATTAAACCATTTTGTGAAATGTTGATATTATATACTTATTTGATGAAGAACTAGGAAAAGATGTTGTCACCTGTTCAACAGGTATTAGGGGTAATACAGATTAATTAATTCAGATTAGACATTCACTTCAGAGTCAGTTTCCCTCATTTAGTTGAAGAAATAAGATCAAAAAGTTCAATATCAGCAGAAATTGAGGCATATTTGTCAAGATCATATTACTTATATAGGAGTGCTTGACATTGAGGATGTTGTTGATGAACCCACTGGGACCACTCCCACAGTAGACCTAAACCGATGGACTGTGTCACAAAGTTTGTGCAAGTTAGACTCCCAACCAACAGACATTGATCAGGCAATTGGACATGATGTAATGGCCAGTTACCTTGCTAAAAGGGATGATGACATATCATTGTGGCTGGCTCCAAAACAGGTACAAAGGTCTTCACTACAAATCAAGTTTCATTTTGGCTATAGCTTAATTTCTTTTTTCTCTTACACTTATTTATAACAGGCTGAAAATCAAATAAAAAATAAAGAGTATTATTTTCTTCAGTGTTTCTTAAACAAACAAAAAAAAAACAAAAGAGACAATTTTCAGATGATGCTAATTGTGATATTCCCTCCCTTACTGAAGCTAATTTTATGTGTTTACTCTAAACATTTTATTTTTCTGTCTGATTTTCATCTGTAGAATTCATACTCACCCTCCCATACAGCTGTTTAAAGATATTAAAGATAACCTACTCACCCACTTACTTAATATTTAATTCTAACGTCAACATGAAACACATACACCCTTTTTAACCTTATTGTTGATATTGGTCTTACAAGACAATAATATACATTAATATTTATAATTTTCAGAAGACAGGTTGCTGTGGTGATTCCTGCTGTGACAAACCAACAAGCTCTTTTGAAATTGAGAATCTAGGCAACTGTTTAGCTGACAAACTTTGGATCAAATTGAGCAGCAACAAAGAGAAATCTGAGCAAATCAGCAGTCTATGTAAAGCCAATGAACCATGTCAGTCCTTCGACGACTGTTTAGGAAAACCATCCTGCCTTGAGGAACACCATGGTAGAGTCGGTGGCATGAATGCAACAGATTTGCCAGGTTTCAGTATCTTTAAACATAACAGTGATGACCAGAAATGGCTTGCCAATGGAGGAAAGAATGTTGGACCAACAACCCGATGTGTCGGATTTGGACATTTCACGGAGGCCAGTAAGGAGATCAATAACTGGTTACTAAATGAAAAGGACGTCTGTAGTCAACCCAACATATCAGGTGAGATGACCTTCTCAGCATTCAGTGAGAACACAGACAACAAGGTTTGGCTTCGCCTGGATGAGGCAAACAGACTACCACCAGCGAACACTCCCTTGCAATACTGTACCACTTGGGACAAACTGACTAAACAACATGGAGATATAGGTATTGACCAATGGCTTCTACCACCCTGTGCCAATAGCAACGCTGAGATGGGCAAGGTTTTACCAGACGTTGACCAAGAGATCTGGCTGTCACACAAAGAAAGCATGGAAACTGAAACACTTTCCAAGGAACAAGTCATGGAAATTCCCTATACTCAGGAGGACAATAAGTTCTGGTTGTATGCTTAAATATGTTCCTCATTCCTGGTATATTAGTTATACTTGGATTAAAAATCAAATTGTTGTTGACTTGATCCAGTTTCTTGCGTGAATGTGAAGACAGGCAATGATATACAAACCTTGTTATGTCAAACTCGGCAGGACCATAGGAAAACTTCAAGATAACCGAATATCCAATTTAAGTGATTTTAATGTTTTGTGTAAAGTTAGACAGGGACTGACGAAATGCTTCAAATAAAACAGAGTCTTCGAATTCTAAGAGTTTGAGATAACAAGATTTGACTTTACTTACATTCATCTTTATTACAACTTTAGGAAGTGGTTCAACAACCAAAGTATTGTAAAGTTAAACTTAGTGCAATGAAGAAGTAGTGATTCTATGTTAAGATTAAGTTAGATATAAAATTGTTTATCCTAAGTCTGTAATCAAAATGTTTTCTTAAACTGTATGTAAAATACTCAGTTTCCATTTCAAACAAGCAAAGAAATAGACGAATTTCATCAGTCTCCTGTGGAGTTCATTCAAATAAATTAGTATGATTTTTAAATAAAATCTTAACATTCTGAAAATGATTTTAACTCGGTCAGATAACTATGTTTTCAATAATGCTGCCTTGTAATTTACTGTGTTTTAAATGTTGTTTTTATGGTAACATCATAATAGTTTTTTTACAGATAAAGTGATACATGTATGTGAAAAATAAGATTAATTGTAAGCAAATTAATTGTACACAGAATTCTGTAATACTAAGTATTGTAAGACGGATGTCTACTACAATTTCAATGTTACAGTAGCACAGCATTTAAGGCTTTCTGTTGCTGTTTTGGATTAAAGAAAACCTCACTAGGGAAAAATAACAGAACACAAGAATGTGAACTTCTGTTATTGACAGTACATATGTTGCATCATTTTGTGCAAGATATCCACATTTATGTGTAGTAGTATTATTTTAAGAAAGATGTCCACTTTTTGTAATAGTACCTCCACCTTTAGTACTTTGTAAAACTTGTTATTTTTATGCATTTCAAGGATGCAAACAGGAAAATATTTCAATGCTTTTATTTAAATTTTTATATAAAAAATGGTGTGGTACACTTTTGTGAATAACTATTTAAATATATTGTAAATGCATTTCTATGTCAGTTGTCTGAATTAATGCATTTCATTTTCAATGTAAAAAGCTGAAGAATAAGGAAGCAGTGTCATGTAGACGTAGAAAAGACTTGAACCTTTACAAGATGAAAGCTGTCATAGTTAATAAGCATTTAAGATGGAATTCTGTACATAAAAGTATACATGCAGTAAATCACCTTGTGATTGCAGTTGCATTAAAGTACATTATGTATTAAATAATGTGTAAACAAGTGTTTCCCAAGTTTACACAAGTGTTGTATAGAGATCACGCAAGTTTTACCCAAAATTTGATGACAGTAAATTGAGAATTTTTTCCTATATCTTGAATTTAACATTGCCTTCAATGTGTTCATGTTTCAAACACTGCTTCCTTGTGATTCATTTCAGTCAGCGTTAATCTATTGAGACTGTGATAAAAATATTCCTGTAGAATGGAGTTGTACAATAACTTTATTCTATAATGTCAAGTGATATGTCCCCATAGCAAGCATATCCCCACCCCCATTACCCTACCCTACCATAGTGAATTATGTTTCTTGGGAAGATGAGAATTGGACCAATTTGTGCCGATTTTGTTGTAACCTTGGGCAAGACATTTTAATCACAATACTCTGGACGGCATGCAACAGCCTCTCATATGTTGTTGGGTAAGGTAGACATCTGATTATAAAAAGAGACGTCACCTCACAATGACTCTTGCCGTTGATGAAGTGATAAACCCAGCAAATAAACAGAGCAGTATTCTGTAGTAAATAGTCTGAAATATCCCTCTCTTGCCACCAACATATCTGTTAAGTCGGGACAGTGTGGACTTCACAAGGTATTCTTCATCATCACACTGATTATAATTCCCTTATATAAGTAGTGTTGAAGTTTTTGTATTATCATTGCAACTATAAAACAGACAAAATGATGCTGATTCTGTTGAATTGATTCATTCATAAATGCATTTGCCGTAGGATTGTGAAATTGCAGAGAACATTGATAATAAATGTTATAGGTAATTAACCATTGATAAGTGGAAACCTTTAGATAACGTTGAGTGAGGTATGATATTGAATTTTAAATGTTTGTTTTAAAAACATAGAATTCATGCCCTCAGATACAAAAATCATCATCTGAAGTCAATCTGTTACGCATTAAATGTCAGTGCAGTATGAAGAATAGTACAGTGGATGTTTTTCTGAAGATTTTGTGAAACGAAGTATCCGTTCCAAATTTCCATATGATAACATAATTATTGTCTTTATTAGATATGTTTATCTATTAGTGTATGGTATTGACCACATACTGTTACATATGAATATTTATCAACTCCTGTTATGATTATAATATTGACTTTTGTAAAGTCTATACACATCCATCACAACCATTATGTTGATGAATATCCATGGCAGCTGAAGTTGTTATGGGAACTAGTCACTGTGCTTACCATATTTTCCTGATTATAAGTCGCACCAGTACCCATTCCTACGATATGGTAACCATGATGTTAACCAAAGTTTGTTGAACAAAGGAAGGCAATTTATCAGATCATCAGTCAAACATTTAATAAAGTTTGCAAATGATTAATGCACAAATAATCATTTGTTTTATTGATGTATTTTCTGAATATTCAAAATACATGAAATAGCAAATATCGAACTAATTTGCCATGATCCATTTCAGTCCCAAACACATGGTAGGCAGGTACGCTTTGCTGTCTCGTACTGGTAGGCCTTTTTTTTCTTTTTTTTATGGCATTCTGACGATTTTTTTCTCGTCCAAATATAAGCTGCATGCCCAACTCGTGAGGAAAAAAGTTGTGTCTTATAATCCGGAAAAATACAGTAGTTATCTTTATTTGACACACAGACACTCAGCAACACTAGCTGACACTTACCTTTAGCTCCACTGCTTGCACTTAACGCTTTCTGCAAATAATATCATAAAGCACAAGTTGATAGATATAAAGATATTTTATATGTAGAATATGAAATTGTAAATTATTTTTGAAATATCAGAAATGATATTGTGTAATAGTTTTGGATGGTTTTCCAATTGATAAGAGTAAATCTGTCCATGTGAAGGGTCATGGTACAATTTTGTACTTTTCTTGAATTTCTGTACATGTCAATTTTAGTCATTAAGCATTGTTTATTATTTGTACATTGCCCTGTTTCATGAATGTGCCCAGGAGCTTACTGAATTCTTGGAATTGAAATTTTCATTTCAAGGGGAAAATGAGATTTTCTGATCTCTTGGAATTGGTTATTAAAAAAAAAAAAATTGTAACATCTAATCTTAACAGATCCCTACTCCCCCTGGATTTCCCCTACTCCCCCTAGATTTCCCCAATTCTAAGTAGTACTTGTTTTGATATTATAATGCAAAAACTTGGATAATAATATTAATGAGAAAAGTTTCTTGAATTTCCTTTACATTATGTATACATGTATTGATTTTTTTAAAACATTTCAATGGAAAACTTGTTATACTGAATGACATAAAAGAACATTCGTGAAACAGGAACAAGCTACAGTGATACATAATGATGGCTGCAAGTCAAAATGATGTAGAGGATTTACAAAGATGTGTTAATATGATGCAGAGAAGTTTAATTTAAAGATACAGACATAGCTAGGATGGCATATGAAAAAACTGTTGAAAGTTACAGATGTGTTAAGGAATAAAGATGCATATGGTCTACACTTGTTAATTGACAATTTTTGGGGGAAAGGAGTTGATATACTTTGTACATGTTTAACTGTTGTTAAATAAATAATCATTCTCAAGATAATCTTTTCTTTTGCTTCGTTTATTTATTCAATCTAACAAATGTGATGAAACACAAAGTTACCAGAACTTAGAGATACCTTCTCCCAACAAAAGTCTTCTGTTGATTCTCTCGGTTAATTTTTCAAAAAAAAAAAAAAAAAAGAAAAAAAAAATAGAATGAAATAATTGTTCAATGGACATCTTTAACATGTATTCAGAAAACACTGTTTATATGTACACAGGCACAAACTGATTTGGGATGCAGGGGTATGGTCCAGGTTGGAAGCCCCCAACACCTGGAAAGAAATGAGGATAAGACTGGTTTACTAGTCTTTCTATTGGCTGAAAAAATAAAGAGAAGTTCTCTGAAGCTAAAATTTATGTTGTAGCTACCAGGATTACATATTTCAGCTTCAAGCTTTAGTAAGCATGTTGAATCAGGTGAAATAGGTGTATCGTTTCTTCATTATTTAACGATGGTAAGTCTTACTTCATAGAAGTGTAAAATCAGTTCTACGGACTTCAATCCTTGATTGCTTTTAATGCTTGTATGAAAGCTACTGATAGGAATGACAATTTGTTTCCTCCATTGGAAAGTGGATGAAATAAGATTCCAAGAAATAATCATTTCAGTTCTGCTATCTATCATATTCCTCCTTAGTTCCTGTATCTCGATCACCTAGTGTTACCTTTAGATGATTTGCCTTTGATTGCTGTGGCATGTTAGCATATTATCGTTGTTAATATTATTAATTATTATACTAGTGTCTTCCATCAAGATGCACTCAGTGTAAAGCAGAATGCATTGTTTAAATTTACTTTCATTTTATTTTGATATGATACAGATTTATTTCTGTGAAAATTTGAAATTTACATATCCTGTGTTCTGATATTCAAAAGACCTATGTTGCTTCGCGTACCTTGTCCTTCAAATAAAATTGAAACAGAAATAAGGCCTTATAATATCAAATATCAAAAATATAACTTCACAAATTCTAAGATATTTTTTATCATGTCCATTAAAAAAGTTACTGTGTAATCTGATTTGAAAATATTGATTTACTGATTTATAAATGCCATGCATCTTAGGGACTTCCGTGTTTACTTTCTTTCTGGCTGTTTCCTACACCGAAGTTTTTTTATTTTTAACGGGCACTTATATCTACCACACAAGTCCCTTCCCCTAGAAATATTATTGATGCCCCTGTCCGAGCTACTCAACTGCATGTCATTACTATACATGTCACGTGATAATTAGGAGTATATATACGGCCTGACATGAATAATGAAAGCGACGAGAAGTTAGAATTCATCTTTGTATACCATGATTAATAGGAAAACGTTGCTGCTCTTCAGTCTTCTATTTATCTTTATCTCGGTCCATAAGTATGTGTCTATATACATACTTAGTCAACTCCTTCACTGGTTCATCACTATCTCTCAGCAAAGACTGGAATAACGCGTTAATAGATAATAATCTTAAATATCTGACAGGATAAAAGGCAATAATTCTTATCATTTTTGCGAAAGATTAACGTAACGGGAATCGTCTGCTACAACAAGAGTTATCTACCCTTGACATAACACGCCGCTAGGATCACTGCCTATACCAACAGGTGCTCGATAGCCTATGCAATGACAACAGTGTTCAAAATGCTAACGTCGGAGCAAGTTTGAATGTGGTGGCGCGGACCGATCGGCGAGTAATTTAGAATGTCAACGAAAATAAGCAAACGAGTGGATTCAAAATCACAAAAGAGATTATCTGTGACTCCAAAATGTCTTGCTATTGTGTTGTTGCCGGATGAAAACGAGTCGGGTAAGAATCATCCAGATTTATCCGGGAGAGTAATTTTGGATGACTTCAAACTCCGAAATAAGACGTGTTACTGGAATCCAGCACTCGTGGAAAGCATCCAAAATCTGGAATATCGGGGATATGTTGAGCCTGATACACTGCTAGTTGGCGGAGAGGACATCCACCTTGAAAATCTACGGACTGCTTGGGGACGACGTGTTCTCAATGATCCAGCACACTTCAGAATCACGCGCATCGGTAAGCTTTGTCATCTTTCTCGTGATAATTTCAACCGGTACTCTTGTTTCATTTGGTTTGAATTAGGAATTGTATCTGCATTATTAGAAACTACATTCTTTATGTTAAAATTATTGTAGATGACATCTCTAGCAGGATTTTCTTCATTTAAGACAAATTACAAGAGTATGGACCTAGTTATCGCTTTAAGTTTAAATATCCCATGGTTTCGTTGCAAATGAACATAATGGAACATCGGGAGTGGAATGCCATGCGAATCGCACGATGCGACCCATCTCAAATATATCTTTTGTAACGACCCCCACTGCTTCTAGGAGGATTGTATATTAATGATAAACACACATGAAACGTAATGATCATTTCGTCAGTTAGACGAATTTATCCAGAGTATAATGTGAAAATGGTTTGTGATTTATATTGTTAGCATGAAATTCGGACATGAGTCATGTTTGATTTTCTGCAGTATTTATAGCCTTTTGAAGGGTTTACAATACTTAATTCCTTTTTATCCTTCGTGGCATTTGACAACACCGACTTAACAATAACCCAGGAGATTTAAAGAGTCTATGAAAATCACTACAGATTTTTCCTTTTTTGGTAGGCTTATTACAAAAACGTTCCCAGTTGTAACCGTAATCAGTTAAGTTTGAAAAAGGTTAATTAGATATTTAAAGTGTGAATATAAAGTTTAGAACACAATGTAAAAGTTTAGGAACAAATTGAAAATATAGAGAAATATAAATGTGTATCAGCAATATTTTTTTTTTATTCAAACTTCTGTTTGTTAAAATTGTCATTAATGTAAATCACTATTCACAATTTTTGAAAAAGTATAATTTTTAATGGGTGTTAATTCAAAAACATAGATATTGAAAATGGCTTATGAACTTGAATGAAAATAATGCAATGAGGCTTCGTTTCACAAGCTGTGCAAAATAAGAAAGAAATGAAAAGGTTTACACAAGTACAAAAAATGATATCCGGTGAACTTATTGATTCTTCAAATGACATCTGCCACCTGCCTTACCTTAGAGAAAATAAATCACACTAGATTTAGCTAAGGACTTCCATAATGGAAGGTGAGCACAGATATTGTTGATCATGCTTGTAAAATTACAAAGTCATATTTTATATCTGCAGAATTTGTGACCATATTTATTTTGTCATAGGAAAGGATACTTTAATTCCCATAATTGCTTCATGAGTGCATTTTACATCTATCCCGAAATTGTTTCATTTTTTTCTCAACAAAATTTATTTGCTTTAAAGCAAATTGAATCTAACCATTGTTCAGTCAGCTGTGAAATTAAACATATAACAAGCAGTGTAGCTTTTGTAAGTGTATTTCTATATGTAATAAACATCCTGTGAATTTGTAGAAACAATTGTTGATATAATAAGAGACATTTAATTACCAAATGTTTGGAATTCTCTTATCAAAAGATTTAACACACTTCTCACATTTCCTGTTTTGTTAGTAATTAACCACTACCTGTTTTAACTGATGAAAAGTTGACAAGATCATCTCCTTTGAAGCTCACCTGTAGAGCTGACCTGTCATGTTTTAGTTGTATGGCCTGAGGACATAACAGCTTGTACAATTACCTGCTTAATTAGCTTTTTGATCTTGACCACCACTTACTAGCCATGTAACTGTCTCACAGGTTTTCACATTAGGGTACTATTAATCTTTCACCTCTTGGGCATATCATAAATTACAAATGTATGATTTGATATTACATTACCAATAGCTTTTTTCAAATTTAGTAAACTTTCTTTTGTAAGTTTCAAATTTTGTTTAGATAACTGTTTTGCCTTCAAGTCAATGAGAGATCATGGCATGTAGAGTGTTTGAAGGTTTTGGGGAGATAATTACAAACTAGACACAGAAATGCAGTTAATATATTTTTAGTGTAATGTATCCTGAATTGTTAATTGATTATTGTTATGACCAAATGAGGCATTAGTTGCTTTAAATTCACATATTTTCAGTAATATCTGAACAATGATATCAACTTTGATTGGGATGGATGTATCTAACTGATGAGGTGATCTTTCCATGTCTGTTAGAGAAATGACCTATAAAACTGTCAGTGATCTGGCTTAGATGTCAGGACCAGATCATTAGGAGATGAAGATCTCCACCCTATCTCATTAAAGATGTATGCATGTCACATACTACTAAATAAACTGGACACTGGGTCATCCCACTCTATAATTATAACACCCTGGTAAGTCATGATCAGCCTGATCTGGTTTTGTGTGATGTAATCATTAAGACTTGTCACCCCAGGACATTGGCCATTAGACATAGTCTACTACTGTATATATATGGTGCTCATTTAACTAGAGAACGGCAGTCAGAGTCTGCAAACCTTAAAAAAATAAAACGTGTTGAAAAATAAAAAAAGAAAGTACAAATAGATAGCCAACTAACGATATTACAGATTTAGAATGTGAAGAAAATGGTCTACAGAAGATTTAAGAATACACTTTTTTCTACAGTTTTAGAAATGCATTTTTCGTAGAGTTTTAAAGATAACCTTTGTATGAAAGCATTATTTTTATACCTGGTATTGCATTTTTCCTCCTGTCACAAGAACATACTTAAACTGTGGCCTGAAAGGAGTGTATTATATTCTATAGGCAACACCAGATTTTTTTTTATATTATGTATCAAGGTAATTAAATCTCACCCTCAAAAAGTAAAGAAAAGGTACAAGTGTGATAGCTATTGACAAGACATTTTTGATATGTAAATAGTACATATTGTAGGACGTGATAGAAAACTGCTTAAAATCCATAATCGTTTATAATTATCAGGTAAAATTGGATGGCCTTTATTTAATCAACTACATAATTTACAGTGTTTTATGTTCATGGAAAGCTAAAACATTCTTCAATGCAGTAACATTTTCTTGTTTTTTTTCTTTTAACTTTAACCTAGAATTTCCATTAGAAAAGATTTATTGGAAATTTTGATCTTAAATATGCATGGTATGGATTTTATTTTTGCTAAAACACAGGAAAATATTAAGATATGATAATCATTTATAAAAAATATTGTAATTGATCATCACATCACAGGAGGTTATATCTGATAATCATTCCATCTCTAAATGTAGGTGTAATTGAGTATTTCCCTTAAATTACTCAATGATAACAGATTTGGTGATCCCAGCAATAGTTGGCGTTATATCTGTTAATGGTAGGTGTTATAAAGCATTACAAGTCTTTATGACAGACCTTATTTAAGGCTGTACTTGTGGCACGCCTCTATGGGAATGTCAACGCCACCCTGAATGCTTGTCAGAAATATCAACACATCACATGTTTACACTAGCCTTACAAATCCTTGTTAGATTGAGCACCAGATTTACTTTTTCTAATGACACTCAAGACATCTCAGGCTTTGACAGACCTATATAGGAATGTATTTATTTATACAGCTATTGTGTGTTTTTATCGGGTATATTTGTACACATAAATGTTAAATAACTTTCAGTGTGTATGTTTGTAATAAACGCCAGTATTACATGCAGTGTATATGATTTGCTTCAGGAAATCATTACAGCAACAAGTACTCTACATACAAAAACACCACTATGTAAATAAAGATTGCTGAAGAAATAAAGAAGATATATTTTATGATAATCTGTTATGTAGTGTTATATTTGTTGACATGTAAGAATAATTCCACAGCGCTGAAGTTATTTCTTAAAAAACAAAACCTCAAATAAAATCTGGTCCCTTGTCAATACATATAGTTATTAGATTGATGAATTCCAGGTACTTGTAATATAAGGAAACAGTGATTGCTGTGTATGTACTCATAAAAAATCTGACTTAACACACTATTAAGTATTTATATAATAACTACTACACTCAGGTGATTGGGCAAGAAACAGTACTGAAGATGTTTAAACTGTCAAGATAAAGAAATGTAAAATTAGATATTTTTCCAGCTTGATTTAGTGCCATTCTGATTTTAAGTAGAATGCATTATACCATATTACACTACTTGTATAGGGACATTACTGTGTGTACTTCTATCCACCACCGTCATCTTGTATAACTTTGCTTCTCTAGATAATTGGATTTTAAGTCTTGTCCTATTAAATTAATTTTTTGGTGTATAAGATAGACTGAAAGGAAGGAAATTTACCAATTTTGATATAAAGAAGGAAAGTCCTCACCATCATATTGCCAACTTACTGGAAAATAGATAGGACAACCCTTGGTTAATGTAAATAATTATAGCTACATAGATAGGTACAGGTTGATCAATAGCCACTAAGAGGACAATGCTGATTGCCTTCACATGTCTCCCGAACTCTGTTCATTACACCTTAACAACAGTAACCAATTGCAACCTACCAGAAGTTTTACACAGGTACTCTTTGGGATGGCGACATCATGGAGATTTGGTCCATTTTACTATAAAAACTGCCCTGCCAGGAGTAAGAGTCAATATATACATATGAGAATATCTTAACAGATATTTTTCCTATATCATAGAGGTGATCTTAGGTCAATATTAATTGGTCAATGGTCATATTTTTATAATCACCGCAGACATACAAGCCAGCTGAACATTCGTTCATATCTTTTACACTTTCTAGTATCAAGATTTTAAATTAAACATATAGTATCACAGAGCCAGGAAATATTTTTATGCAACATTAATAGGTAGCATTTAATTAAAATGACTTTAATTTGATTACTCACAGAAATGTAAATGTACATTATCAGGTTTTTTAAAACATAATATGATGAATAAACTAACAATTTGATAGTAGTTAATACATACCATAATTATTCAATGTATATTCCCCAGAATAAAGATTTGACTGCTTTAAGTAAAAATTATTTTCAATAATATACCACGTGTTCAACTCAATTAATACCCTCTTAAATTCTCATGTACTTCATATTCCTAGCTCAATAACATTTAAAGTTCGTATACACTTGATGTTCCTAGCTCAATATTTCTCCTTTTG